TCTCCTCTCCTCTCTCCTCCTCTCTCTCTCTCTCTCCTCTCCTCTCTCCTCTCCTCTCTCTCCTCTCCTCTCTTCTCTCTCTCTCCTCTCCTCTCTCTCCTCTCCCTCCTCCTCTCTCCTCTCTCTCTCCTCTCTCCTCCTCTCCTCTCCTCTCCTCCTCCTCTCTCTCTCCTCTCCTCTCCTCTCCTCCCTCTCCTCTCTCTCCTCTCTCTCTCCTCTCTCTCCTCTCCTTTCCTCTCCTCCTCTCTTCTCCTCTCTCCTCCTCTCCTCTCCCTCCTCTCCTCTCCTCTCCTCCTCTCCTCTCCTCTCTCTCTCCTCCTCTCCTCTCTCTCCTCTCTCTCCTCTCTTCCCTCCTCTCCTCTCCTCTCTCTCTCCTCTCTCTCCTCCTCTCCTCTCCTCTCTCTCTCTCCTCCTCTCTCCTCTCCTCTCTCCTCCTCTCCTCTCTTCTCTTCTCCTCTCCTCCTCCTCTCCTCTCCTCTTCTCTCCTCTCCTCTCTCCTCCTCTCCTCTCTCCTCCTCTCCTCTCCTCTTTCTTCCCCTTCCCTTCTCCTCTCTTCTCTTCTCCTCTCCTCTCCTGTCCTGTCCTCTCTTCTCTTCTCTTCTCCTCTCCTCTCCTCTCCTCTCCTCTCTCCTCCTCTCCTCTTTCTTCCCCTTCCCTTCTCTTCTCTTCTCTTCTCTTCTCCTCTCCTCTCTTCTCCTGTCCTGTCCTCTCTTCTCTTCTCTTCTCCTCTCCTCTCCTCTCCTCTCCGCTCCTCTCCTCTCTTCTCCTCTCTCCTCCTCTCCTCTCCTCTCCTCTCCTCTCTCCTTTCTCCCTTCTATTCATTCCTTTTCTATCCTCCTCCCTTCCCCTTCCTCCTTCCTCCCTCCCTTCCATCTGTCTTCCTCCTTCCCTTCCTCCTTCCATCTGTCTTTCTCCCGTCCTTCCATCTTCCTTCCTTCTTCCCTCCCTCTCATCTTCTTCCTCCCTCCCTCTCATGACTCTGAATAAAGAATGCTGCTGTGTTAAATTGAATGAGTTAGGTCTTTCGTGTGGCAACCCCTTTTGCCTAACTCTGAAAAAGAGGGGTTGCTTGAAGAGAAGAAGAAGTGCTGTGACTTCCCCTCCTGCTTTCTCAGCTAGCAGCGGTTCTATTGTAAACAGCCAACTCTCGAGAATCAATTACCAGGAGCCAACAAGCAAACAAACCAAGAAAATAAAAACATACTTTCTGCAGTCGTGTCAACAGCCAGCTCTGGGTCTCAGAGGCCTTTGGCTTCCAGACCCCCCTGGGAGGGTCCCTGCCACTTCCCTAACCAGATTGCAGTTATCCATTTCCTTGCACACTTCCTCTAAAAAAAAAATCCCTGTTTTCCTGACAAGGAAACGAACAGCTTCGTTTGAAATCGCACTCCCCCCCCCCTTGAGGTAGATTTTTAGGGCAAACTGGAGAATTTTCAGAAAAACAGGGGACATGGGTCACTTTGGATATTTGTTGCTGAACTGCTTATCGCTGCAATTGGTGGCAACAGGTCAGTTTAGCTCATGCCTTGAGGTTAAATCAAATCGGATGTGTTTTAGGTTAAGGGAGATCAAAGAGGCAGAATTCAAACCAAACCTCTTTTTTTTTTTTTTTTTTGCATTGCGGCCAAGGAATGTCCATGAACAAAGCTGTGGAGTCATCAAAAGTTCAGCTCCACCGAGAATCTTCGTCTTTCTAGAAAACGTCTCGTGGGGCTTAAGTTCTTGCCGGTTGGTGTGTGCTGACTCAAAACCACCAGGGTCCCCATTTTCTACGGTTGTGATCATGAGACGTCTGGTGAGATGGAAAACTGCAAAGCCACGAGATCTGGAAATGCCCGCTTTCCCCTGAACTAGATGGCGGGCCTGGTTCTTATAACTGTCCCCCAGAGACTGGGTTAAGGGGCAAGACTTTTAACCTGGAAAACACAGGCTAAGGTGGCCCACGGGCGGAAAGAATCAGCCCGAGAGGAACTTGTGACTTTGCAGAAGCGGCTGAACCTCGGTTCTAGGCGTCCCTCTTCATGGGCAGGGCTGGGTGGGGTCTCTGGGGAGAATGCTCGGGGGCTGGTAAGAACCACTGTCGTGGCAACCTCAGGGCCCAGGCGTTTGTGGCTGTGCAGAAGGTGAGAGAGAGACACCCTTTTTCAGAAGGTGTCGCTTTCATTTTAAGCCATTGTGGTTTCTCAGTTCTGGTTCTCTGATGTTCGGGCTTATCAAAATAAATTGGCTCCCTGCTCGGGGGACATAGCGGCATGAAAATAACAGGAGAGGTGGAGGGAACCTCCAGGCTTTGAGCAAAATAACATTCCCTGGGCTCCAGTCAAGGAAGTTCCTCTGCTCACTTCCCTTTCCTGAAGCCGACAGCCTGAAGTTTTTAACGCTGGCTGCTTTCTTTTTTTTTCTTTCTTGCTTTTCTTTCTTTCATTCCTTCTTTTTTCTTTCTCTTTCTTTTTTCTTTTCCTTCCTTTTCTTTCTCGCTTTTCTCTTCTTTCTTTCCTCTTTCTTTCTTTCCTTCCTTCCTTTTCTTTCTTTCCTCTTTCTTTCTTTTCTTTCCTTTTCTTTCTTTCATTCCTTTTTTCTTTCTTTTTCTTTTCTCTTTCTCTCCTTCCTTCCTTTTCTTTCTCTTTCTTTCTTTCCTTCCTTCCTTTTCTTTCTCTTTTCTTTCTTTCCTTTCTTCTTCCTTCCTTCCTTCCTTCCTTTCTTTTTTTCTTCTCTCTCTCTTTCTTTTACTTACTTACTTTAATTTGGTCTAGTGTACAGCCAGTTTAATGTAGTTAAGGTGCTGGCTTAGAAACTGGGAGATGGTGAGTTCTAGTCCCCCCTTAAGCATGAAAGCCAGCTGGGTGACTTTGGGCCAATCACCAGGAAACGGTGAGTTCTAACCCCGCCTTAGCCATGAACCTTGGTTGGGCGACCTTGGACCAATGACCAGGAGACCCTAGTTCTAATCCCGCCTTAGTCACGAAAGCCAGCTGGGTGACTTCGGCCCACTCCTTCTCTTTCCGCCCAACCCACCTCACAGGGCTGTTGTTGTGAGGAAAATAGGAGGAACGAAGAAGCATTAAGTATGTTCGTCGCCTTGAGTTATTTCTAAAATAATAAAGTGGATTAAAAATAAAGGAAAATGTAATGAATATAGGTGGGCAGGCTTTCTTTAGGCCAGACCATGCCTCTCTCTTCCAGACTTGCTCCCCTTTAGCAGGGCCCAGGCCGAAAATAAACACTCAGGAAGCCGCTGTATGACAAACAGCTTCATCCTCTAATTTTAGCTTCTCTTGGGTCTGGAGCCTGCTATTTGCTCCCGTTTAGTGTCATTATTTTTTAAGGTGTGTGTCTCCTTCTATATCTGCAGCTACATCCTCCTCTCTCTCTCTCTCTCTCTCTCTCTCTCTCTCTCTCTCTCTCTCTCTCTCTCTCTCTCTCTATATATATATATATATATATATATATATATATATATATCTGCCCTAGAGTTATAATTTGCACAATGAACTTGAGTCCTGCTCGCCCCTCTGAGTCACTTCTGGAAACTAGGTTAGCCCACGTGACACACCCTGATTGTGGGCAGGTGCTGGTTGTTTTTGTGGTTTGAGCCAGGATGCTCTTTGCTGCAGTGAAGGAAGGTGATGTAAAACACACGAATCCTCCCCTCCCCCCCCCAGCAATGTGGGGGGGTCACAACCTAGAAATGCTTTGAAAATCTTTGGGGGGGGGGAAGTTGGACTCCAGGAAAGGACAGGCTTCAGGCTTCACCTCTCACCTTTGCTAATTAGTTGGTCAATTATCTTTGCTGCGGTGTGGATTTATTTTCTGGATGCTTTTATTGATTTTAGTTGTTTTCACTGTTTTAGAAATTTAAGCCACCCAGAATCACTTGGCGGAGACGGGTGGCTACAGAAGTTCAATAAAAAAAAAAAATTAAATTAAATTAATTTTCACATTCTGTCTTTAAAGCCAGGCCCATATCGGGCGAAGAGTAAGAGACACCCAGTGATAGAAGCACAAATATTCGGGTTCTACAAGTTTTTCCCTGAAACGAATCTTGGCCTGGGGTGTCCAGCAGCTTTGTGTAATTTGGAGCCATCCAGCCACCCTGGGACTACAGCATTCAGAATCCCCAGCTCTCTTGGCTAGGGATTATGGTCCTAGTACTAGTCCTGCCTTAGGCAAGAAAGCCAAGGGGGTGAGTTGCCCCCCCCTCTCTCTCAGCCCAGTCTATCCCACAGGGCTGTTGTGGGTAAAGTAGGAGGATGGAAGAGTATTAGGGATATTCGCAAGAAAGAAAAGAAAAGAAAAGAAAAGAAAAGAAGAAAGAAAGAAAGAAAGAAAGAAAGAAAGAAAGAAAGAAAGAAAGAAAGAAAGAAAGGTGCCAGTGTTGAAGGAAGGAAGGAAGGAAGGAACGAAGGAACGAAGGAATGAAGGAAGGAAGGAAGGAAGGAAGGAAGGAAGGAAGGAAGGAAGGTGCCAGTGTTAAAGAAAAGGAAGGAAGGAAGGAAGGAAGGAAGGAAGGAAGGGAAAGAAAGAAAGAAAGAAAGAAAGAAAGAAAGAAAGAAAGAAAGAAAGAAAGAAAGGTGCCAGTGTTGAAGGAACGAAGGAAGGAAGGAAGGAAGGAAGGAAGGAAGGAAGGAAGGAAGGAAGGAAGGAAGGTGCCAGTGTTAAAGAAAAGGAAGGAAGGAAGGAAGGAAGAGAAAGAAAGAAAGAAAGAAAGAAAGAAAGAAAGAAAGAAAGAAAGGTGCCAGTGTTGAAGGAACGAAGGAAGGAAGGAAGGAAGGAAGGAAGGAAGGAAGGTGCCAGTGTTAAAGAAAAGGAAGGAAGGAAGGAAGGAAGAGAAAGAAAGAAAGAAAGAAAGAAAGAAAGAAAGAAAGAAAGAAAGGTGCCAGTGTTGAAGGAACGAAGGAAGGAAGGAAGGAAGGAAGGAAGGTGCCAGTGTTAAAGAAAAGGAAGGAAGGAAGGAAGGAAGGAAGGAAGAGAAAGAAAGAAAGAAAGAAAGAAAGAAAGAAAGAAAGAAAGAAAGAAAGAAAGAAAGAAAGAAAGAAAGAAAGAAAGAAAGAAAGCTTCTTGGGGTGGGTTAACTCTGCTTGAATCTGGATGGGGCTTTGCCCGTTGAACCCGAGAGCGCGCAATGCAACGCAACGCAACGCAACGCAATGCAAAGCAGGAAAAAGCGGTTGTGTGAACGAAGCTTAACGGGTCCCGGAGAAAGGACCCCCCGGGGCATCCCCGGAGCCGAGCCCCCTCCTGCAGCTGGCCCCTGCCGCCCACCCAGCCCAGCTGTTGCATCACCCCTCCCCCCCGTCCACGTCACTTCCTCGCAAAACTTTTCCCCGGGAATGTCTGCACGAAAGTTGTTGTCCTTGCGAGCCGCGGGACGGAGGAACGGCTGGGTCCTCGCCCTCTGACTGCGGGCGGGGCGGGGGGGGGAAGGAGAAGAAAAGATTCCTTCCTTCCTTCCTTCCTTCCTTCCTTCCTTCCTTCCTTCCTTCCTTCCTTCCTTCTCTTTTTCTTTTCTCCCCCGGCTTTTTCCGGGCTCTGCTTCCGCGGCCATGGACGACGGCTGAGCCCACGAGAGCCGCCGGGCAGCCGCAGGGACCAGAAGCCGCCGAAGAGCCAGCTAGCCGGGCCGGTCGCCGCTCGCCCCGCTCCTCTGCAGCCTCGCCCAGCCCGGAGGGCGCCCGCCTCCCCGCCGCCCGCTAAGCCATGGCCGGCGACTGCGCTGCCCGGAGCCTGGATAACACCGACCTGGGAGCGCTGCGGGTAAGTGGCTCCCGCCCGGGGGGAGGAGAGGAGACGGGGAGAGAAGCCGGGCTGCGTTCCCACGACGCGTGTAGCCCGCCGGGGCTGCGCCTTCTCCTCTGCGCGCCCAGCTTGAGTCGTGGGGCTTGCCAGCAAGGCTGAAACGGACCCGGTTGGGCATGGTCGTGGGAACGCGGCCGCCACAGCTGGGTCCTCAACTTGCCACCACAGCTGAGCCCAAACTTTCTGTGGCTGACAATTCTTAAGTGAGTTTTGCCCCCTTCTACGACCTTTCCTGCTGCAGTTGTTCAGTGAATCACTGCAATTGTCAACTTAGTAACACGGTTGTTAATCTGGCTTTCCCATTGACTTTGCTTGTCAGAAGGTCACAAACGGGGATTGCGTGACTCTGGGACACACTGCGACCATCGTAAATATGAGTCAGTTCCCAAGCTGACACAAGACTGTGGGGATGCTGCAAAGGTCGTCACTCTGGAAACTGGTCCAAAATTGCATTTTTCATTGCCGTCGTAACTTTGAAGAGTCACTAAAGAAATTGTTGTGAGCTAGGGGGGCTACTTTTAGTCACCAAACTCTTCAGAGTAGCATTTCCTCCCCCTCCCAAACATTCAACTGGAACTGGCTGCTGTGCCTCTGAAAATCATTGTGTTTAATCATAATAATAAAGTTGGAAGGGTCCTTGGAGGTCATCTAGTCCAACCCCCTGCTCAGGCAGGAAACCCTACACCATTTTGGACAAATGGCTGTCCAGTCTCTTCTTAAAAAACTTCCAGTGTTGGAGCATTCACCATTTCTGGAGGCAGGTTGTTCCACTGGTTAATTGTTCACACTATCAGGAACTTATTGTGTTATTGTGCTTGATTGTGTTATTGTGCTTTATAGTTTAGAGCAGGAATATGCATAACGGAGCAATATGTTTATTCTTTATATTGCATGGTATACATTCCTGCTATAAGCTGTCTACAGTCTCACAATAGGATGGAATATAAGTTTTGTCTCCAGTAAATAAATGCCTGCTGCTCGGGAATTAAAAGACAATGGATCACAGCTTCGTGGATGGGCCCACGAGGAATACAGGCATCCTTGAATTACGTTCATAACTGAGCCCAGAATTCCTGTTGTTCAGTGAGACCTTTGTTAAGAGAGTTTTGTCCCATTTTACGGCCTTTTCTTGCCACAGTTGTTAAATGAATCACAGAGTTGTGTGATTCATTAGTCACATGGTTGTTAAGTGAATCTGGCCTCCCCCATCGACTTTGCGTGTCGGATGGTTGCAAAATGGGATCACGTGACCCCAGGACACTGCAACTGTCTTAAGTACATTCCAGTTGCCAAGCATTTGAATTTTGATCATGTGATCGTGGGGATGCTGCAAAGGTCGTAACTGTGAAAACAGGTCCTAAATCGCATTTTCCAGTGCCGCCGTCACTTTGAATGGTCACTAAACGAACTATTGTAAGTTGGTTCTACCATTATTGTAATGTGATTTTTTTGGCAGATCTTCTATCCAGATTCCTTAGTCCCTTTTGGAATCCTGGATAGGTCCTTCTGAAGCATCCCAGATCTTTTAAATCTTTTCCAGGATAATAACTGCAGAGTCCTGAGGTGGAATTTGCTGAATAGAGAGGAATTGCTACTTCTTAAAACAAATGCATATTATTATTATTATTCAAAGAAAGCAGAAGCTAAAACGGCATTTGCCTTTCCTGAAGCCACATCAACGCTGGTGATTCATAAGAAGACTCATAAACGCAGATGACAACGTTGTTTGTGAGATATGTTGGGTGGGGTAGATTAGTCTATCTAGCTGAGGAAAGAAAGGAAGTGAGGCAGAAAGCGTGGATTTCCTTTGATCGGCCCAGTGTTTCATTTGTCTCTCATGGGATCTTGAAAAATGTTAAATCAGTCCAGATTTGGAGAAGAGTTTGGGAAATAGTGACCATCATTAACTCATTAAAATGTGCCCACGGAGAACTTCCTTGTTGCCTTATGCAAGGCGTAACGTTTGAATCCTAAAGATGCTTGTAGTTGTGGCGCGGTGGGTCCCACTCTCCGTATTTAGGGGCTAAACAAAGCTGGAACCTGAATCTAGAATTTGAGAGCACCTGATCTAGAACCGTTCGTTGGAGGTGGAGACCACCACGTTTTGGTGGTGGACAGTTAGATAGACTGAGGTGGTGGACCACCTTTCAGTCACTGGATGCAAAGTTGGAATGAGTTACAGTTACAGATGTGGTTATCTGTAGGATGTTTTTCCTGAGTCTCTACAGCAGTTTGACATACTGTGTGCATCTCTTCTTTGTTGAGGTTGACAATAATCTTCTAAGGTCCTCCATTGTTCAAATAGGGAGTTGAGGCTGAGAGATTCCATGATAGATGGAGACTTTCAATGAGTCTCTGAGTATGGGGGAGGGGGAGGAGGAGGAGGAAGGGAGGGAAGAGAAGGAGAAGAAGAAGGAGAAGATTACATTCAACCACTACGTATTGTGTCCATGCTCTTAAGATCTCATTGTATTCAGTTGTATCCGACTCTTGGTGATCCTATGGGCCAGGTCTCTCCATATCTTCTGATCTTGCACTACTTCTTTGAGTTTTTCTATGTTCTGGCTGGTGTCCGCTTGGATGGTATCCAGCTACCGTGTTCTTTGACCGGAGCTCCAATCCCAGCTTAAACCAACCGTTGAGATGAGTTGGGTCAGGAGGGCAGTCACACGGACTTGGGTCAACCATCTGGATAAGTTTGGCAACATCTGGACGTCTGGGAATCCAAAAGTTTTCCTTCTCTCTTTCAGATAGACAATACCCGGAATGGAAGGGTGGCTACAGCCCCCCCCCCCAAAAAAAAGTTTCTTCTGAAACTTGGAACTCCTAAAAGCTTTAGGAGATGAAGTCACCTCATTTAGAACTTTTCCATTTGCACGTCTGAAACTCATATTTTAAAGATGTCTCTTTTGCAGCTTCAGCTTCTTTGCAGATTCATAATCCTGAATGCGCGCTTTGTCAGAAATGTCATTCCATCCCACTGACCAATATTTTGGATAGCGGAAGAGTGCTTGTTCTCTCTCTCTCTCTCTCTCTCTCTCTCTCTCTCTCTCTCTCTCTGTGTGTGTGTGTGTGTGTGTGTGTCATTTAGTGCAAATCTCGTGTTTGCTTTAAGAAATGAATTTATTTGCTATGTTCCTTCCCAGCAGTTTCTGGATTAAGGCCATCCAAAGTTTTGTTCTTCCCTTTATTAGTTCAGCTGATCCCTGCCCCCAAAAAGTTGGGAAGGGTGGGGTTCAGGAAATCCTTGGATTTATGAGAGAGAGCTTCTGTGTGTCTTTGTCTCACCAGCAAATATGAGTTCTGCAAAGTTTTTAAAACCCGCTGAAATGAGGTTAAGGCACCCTTTGTGCATCGGTTGAGCTGTTGGTATGACTGGCACAGACGGGGTGGAATTGCTCTTCTAAGACCTTTCCAATAAATGTGCCTCCAGGGTCTGCCCCTTCCCCAACCCCGGCCTTCCTGTCCACAGACGGTCTTATCAATTCCCCTCTGAGATGTGGAGTCATCGCCACACATCCCTGCTGTGGACTTGTTTTTATATATATATATATATTGTTACATTAAAACGACAACAAAAAAGTTGCACATTCTGCAAATTCTGCAATTGGAATAAAGAGGACTGGTGTCCTGGGTACAAAAAAAAACCCCTCCACAACTTTGGTTAAACTTCAGTGGAGTTCTTTCATATATACAAGAAAAAGAAAAAAAGAACCCTTCAAGAACCACATCTGACGTCTTTAGCCATGCAATTTTTTTATTTTTTTTATTTTTGGGGGTTGTGGGAAAAGACGGTTGGAAGTGGCTGCAAAGGAGGACTCAGTCAACCAATTTTTTTTTTCTGTAGCTGTCCTTACAATTTGAGAGCAGGAATCTTGCAAGATTTTTAGGCCATGTTAACAGAAGTTACAGAATGACAAATTTGATCTTCTAGTCCAGAGTTTCCTAACCTTTCTGGCTTTGCGGATCATAAACGGGAGGGGGGGAGGAAGGGGGGGAACCTCTATATCTCCTTATATGTAGAATGTATCTTGCTTATTTACTTGAGATAGATAGATAGATAGATAGATAGATAGATAGATAGATAGATAGATAGATAGATAGATAGATAGATGCCTAACAAGTGAAATTAAACTGGCTGTTGTGTTGAAATTAGCAGCAATCTGCCTTTAGGCTCAGATATTCAACTTTGATTGACTCTTGTTCCACTTGGTGACCCAGCCATGATATATTACAGTCTTCCAGATTGGGCAAATTTTTAATTATTCCAAAACTGGACCCATTTTAGATACAGCTTTTCCTTGACCATCCCTTTGGGTCCCTGGACCATTTGATCTGCTGCTTCTGCCAAAATAGCTAACAGTTTTCCTTTGACAAATGTCAACAGTTTGACCCAACCATTTATCACTCGGATGTTAATTACTCTAATGGGCTCCACCATATGGTTTCTCCTCTAGTTTGGTCTTTATTCATTGGACGAGGAAGCCAGCCGGGTGAAAACGAAGCAGGCAGGCAGTGACTTGAAGGCCATCAAGTGTGTTTGCTGCCTTCACATACTTCTGGGGTTGCTGGCACAGGAAATAGGAGCATAATGGATTTCCTTGAAGTTTAAACCAGATGGAGGTTAAGACTTGGGGAAATGGACACGTTTGTTTTCTGCAGTGGTTCAACCTGTTTGCTTTGCAGTTCCTTGCTTATTTTCAGGTTGGCTAAGCCAAGCCTTTAGATCTCATGTCTGTGTTGATTATCAATCAATCAGAATAGACCTGGAAGGGACCTTGGAGGTCTTCTAGCCCAGCCTCCTGCTCATGCAGGAGACCCTATCCCATGTCAGACAAGTGGCTGTCCAGTCTTTTCTTAAAAGCCTCCAGTGATGAAGGAGGCTCCATCAACTTCTGAAGGCAAAGTGTTCCACCAGTTGATTGTCTTCACTGTTAGGAAGTTTCTCCTTAATTCCAGGTTGCTTCTCTCCTTGATTAGTCTCCATCTGTTGTTTCTTGTCTTGCCTTCTGGTGCTTTGGAAAAGAGGTTGTCCCCTTCTTCTTTGTGGCAGCCCCTCAAATCGTCACCCCTAGTCCTTCTTTTCTGTAGACTGGCCATAGTCAAATCCTGCAACCATTCTTCATATATTTTTGTCTCCGGGCCTCTGATCATCTTAGTTGCTCTTTGCACTTTTTCCAAAGTCTCAACATCTTTTTTGTAATGTGGTGACCAAAACTGGATGCTGTATTCCAATTGTGGCCTTATAAAGTTTTATGAAGCGCTACTAATACTTCAGCTGATTTTGATTCTATGCCTCTGTTTATGCAACCAAAGATTGTATAAACAGAGGCATAGAAGCATCTTTTTTGACTGCTGCCACACACTGTTGGCCTTATGACTAAATTGTGGTGGGCTCCATTAACACCTCTCTGAAGTGGAACACATTATGAGCAGACACTAATAAGAATGTAGTCCATATATAACATTAATTCTGGACTTCCTTTTGTTTCGCTTTTAAAATTGAACAAATTTTAGGTTTTACATGCAAGTACCTGAATATTGCAGACTTCTTATGGAAACACAAGCATTTACATATTCAAATCACTTTAGGATTATTATTTTTTTAAAGACAGCCTTGCATTAAGTGAAAGCCACAGGTGGAAATTAACTTATTTTAAACTTTATTTGCATCCTTAGCTGAAGCAGAAGTTAAGTTTTTGTGCCCCAGTCTGTAGAAGAGTTTTGAGTTTTGCTGTGGTAGTGTGACCTTAACTGCACTATGATTTTGGATGTGCCAATCTTTCATCTCTTTTCCAAGCTGTTTTTAGAAAATAGAATTGCCTGACCCTGGGTGAGGTTGACTCTAGTTTAATTTTGGGTTCTGTTGATGTTCTCCAAGAATAGATGTGGCTCCTTTGCATGCACTTTCCAATATTCCAGACGTTCTTCTCCACAAGAAACATGTAAACATACTTTTGTCTTAATTTGGTTCAGATAAGAAGTATTTGTTCGTTTGTTCATAGCAATAATACTTAGACCTATATACCACTTCATAGTGCTTTACACCCTTTTCTAACCCGTTTATAGAGTCAGCGTATTGCCCCCCCAACAATTTGGGTCCTCATTTTACCAACCTTGAAAGGATGGAAGGCCCGAGTCAATCTTGAGCCAGTTAGAATCGAACTGCTGGCAGTGGGCAGAATTAGCCTGCCTTACTGCATTCTGATCACTGCCCCACCACGGCTCTTAAATTCATATTGAATTTCTTTGCTGCTCATCTTGTAGCGAAAGAATCTGGGCAGTTTCCAACTTCAAAACATTAAAATCCTAAATGTTCTTTTCCTGTAGATGGGTTCTGTTGGGGGGGGGGCTGTTAAGTTGTTAAATCTATTGTTTTTAATGGACCAGGGGGATTTTACCCTCATCATTTCACAGACTGTATTTAAGACGTGGCTTTCATATCACCCAAAGATCACATTTGACCCGTGCTTCCTTCCTTGTAGATGGTTGAAGAGCTTAATGCACCAAATTGATACGGTCGCCCATTTCACAAGAAGTTATTCTGGGCGGCATACAATCATTAAATAAAATCACAAATCTATAAAACAATCGTTATTAAAGATTGAAATGTTGTTTTTTTAAAAATGAAAATACGCAACCCATAAGGCACAGGGAGAAGAGGGGCTATGGATAAGTTTGTAGAGTGTGCATAACCATCAGCTGCGGTTCATCAATGCCAAGATGCTTAGCCAAACAAACTAGATAAGGTTTGGATGCAGTCTGTAAAACTCAGCCAAGGAGCTAATCTTCCTAATATTAACTTCCTCTAATTTAATTCTTTTCTAGGATCCAGCTGGAATATTTGAACTAGTGCAAGTCGTTGGAAACGGGACATATGGACAAGTCTATAAGGTATGGGATATTTCTGAAGAATGGATGGCTAAAAAAATTAATATATTTAATGGCAATTGGGTATAATACATTTTGGAAACAAAGATATGCTTGAGCAAGATGTTGGTCTAGATTAGAAGACCTTCAAGGTCCTTTCCAACTCTGATATTCTGTTATAACCTTCTGTTGTGTGACTCCAGTCCATGGCATAAACATATGATTTGAATTTTCTTCAATTTACACTGTGGTGGTCTAGCAAAAAAGTTGTGAGATTAGCTATGATTCGAAATGGTTTTGTAAGCTACATTTTAGTCTGACTGTGGTCTGTAATAGGTGTGAATTCTTGAACCATGATGAAGGCAGTTGTTTATCATGAGAAGGAAAGTGAAGTCATCTGGATGTGTGCTAAGAGAAAAAAAATCAGAAATTTGAAATTGCGGTTCTTTTGTACATCCAGATGTTGCTATGAATTTCTAACTGTGTGTATGACAGCTAACTGATTCAACGGCCGTTGAGACAATGGCCTCTTACTTGCACAGCTTCCTGTGGCCTTCAAAGAAGTGTTGAAGGACACCAGGAAACCATGATTAACCATAATTTCTTGCTATATCCACCTGACAGATTATGGATAATGCTTTCCAAAACAAACCAGGAGAGCAGTTTTCAATTTTAAATCACGTAAAGCTTGACAATGAAGGTACATTATAATGTGATTTAATTTGGGTGAGTAGAAGATTTCCTCGTTTGCACAACTTACCTAACCAAGCTCTGCTTATCCAGAGTTTTCTAATAATTTATTTACTATTCACCAAATCATAAACTTCGGTTTATAATCTGCTGTGGTTAGATTCTTTAAAACTATGGCTGTTTGATTTGGGCTTAGTTAGTTCAGTAAATTTGGCCTCAATAAATTGACTGGATACGGCTTAATATTATGTGCAAAGCTGATGAAACCTGGATTAAAGTTGGATAAGGTATCCTGGTTTGCTTGGGCATCATTAGCCATGATTTTCATGTTAGACACAAGAGCAGTGAGGGCTTGGTGGCTGATTTCTCTGCTGGTGGAAAGGGAAAAGTGAGACAGAAATGATTCGGCAGTGATCCATATTAGTTTGTTAAGCCAAACCTCAACGCATCAAATGTGGCCAGTGATTAATGCAGTCAAGTCTTGAGGGGATGTGATGCTGTCGTGTAACTAATTCCATCTGATTATAAAGCTCCGAGCATCGTTGATTGATGGTTGAACATCCATTCCAACTGTTTTTGCTGACGTTCACTTCCTCACCGACATGTCTTGTGGTTACTGTGCAACTTTTGGACCGTTTGGATACAAAATGAGCCGTTGTGCATATCACAGCAGGAATCGGCTTTTATCCATGACAGATGTTTGAAAGTGATTTTTTTCTTACAAGAGATACAGCTTGGAGCTTTGATCTGTCACTCATCCATCAGGTGTGAAACTTGATGCTTTGGTTGAGTCTACCGGTTGTCCTAAAGCCACAAGGTGTATGGTAGGCTGTCTGCCTTAACACAACAGGAGAACCCAACTCTTGTTTATAAATCGCAGCTTATTTATTTACTGGTTTGCAGTATATCCCATCTTTTACCTTTTGACAAATAACTCAGGGCAGTGAACATATTCAACAGAACTTCCTACTCCTGTTTTCCCTTCAACGAACCCTGTGAGGTGGGTTGGGCTGAGAGAGAGGGACTGGCCTAAAGTCACCCAGCTGGCTTTCATAGCTAAGGCGGAACTAGAACTCACCATCTCCTGGTGATTACCCCAAACTCACCCAGCTGGCTTTCATGGCTAAGGTGAGACTACAACTCACGTTCTCCCAGTTATTGGCCCACAGTCACCCAGCTGGCTTTCATAGCTAAGGCAGGACTAGAACTCACCATCTCCTGGTGATTGGCTCAAAGTCACCCAACTAAGCCAGGACTTGAATTCACCATCTCCTGCTTTCTAGCCTGGTGCCTTAATTACCATACCAAACCAGCTCTCTTGCAGCTTATATTTTTTTTCTTACAGTTTAGGACAAGCTTCCATAAGATTGGCAGACTTTAAACCTAGTACTGGGGCACGTCGGCTGTAAGAGCGTACAATCTTGCAATCCCTTAAAACTGCTAAGAGAAGCTGGGCTGAAGATCTGTTTGGAGGTGGAGAAAATAGATGAATCATACAAAAATGAGTCCTTTCCAGAACTTTTTTTTTTTAAAAAAAGAACACTGTCCAGTGATAAGGCCTCTCTGTGCCAGACTTAAGAAAGGACTGCATTGTGGAGGCATGTGGTTTCCATAAGGCCTGCTGGACTCCATTTCATGCTCTGCTCAATTCTTTGAACACAAGGTTCCAAAGCAGGCGAAAGGATCTGGCATGGTGGGACTCTTTTGCGCCTGGAAGCTATTTGTGGTTGGGGGGGGGGGAAGTAACATCTTCCTGTTTCTGGGTTTCGCCTCAAAGCATCCAACCCAACCTCCAGGAGACAGCCTTTCTCCTGAGCAGAGGAATGAACAACACAAAAGAGTCGTCATCATCATCATCATCATCATAATAATAATAAAAAGTTGGAAGGGACTTTGGAGGTCATCTAGTCCAACCCCCTGCTTAGGCAGGAAATCCTATACCATTTTGGACAAATGGGTGCCCAGTCTCTTCTTTAAAAAATTCCAATGTTGGAGCATTCACCGCTTCTAGAGGCAGGTTGTTCCACTTGCTAATTGTTCTAACTGTCAGGAAGTTTCTCCTTAGTTCTAGGTTGCTTCTCTCCTTGATTAGTTTCCCTCCATTGCTTCTTGTCCTGCCTTCAGGGGCTTTGGAGAATAGCTTGACTCCCTCTTCTTTGGGGCAGTCCCTGAGATATTGGAACACTGCTATCATGTCCCCCCTCGTCCTTCTCTTCATTAAATTAGACATACCCAATTCCAGCAACTGTTCCTTATATGCTTTAGCCTCCAATCCCCTGATAATCTTTGTTGCTCTTCTCTGTACTTTTTCTAGAGTCTTGACATCTTTTTTACATCGTGGTGACCAAAACTGACTGCAGGATCCCAAGTGTGGCCTTACCAAGGCATTGTAAAGTGGTATTAATACTTCACGTGACCTTGATTCTATCCCTTTGTTAATGCAGCCCAGCACTGGGTTGGCCTTTTTGGCAGCTGCAGCACACGGCTGGCTCATGTTTGAGAAGAAGTTAGAAGCGAGAGCAGATGGCTTGGAATAGAATAATAACAGAATTGGAAGGGACCTTGGAGGTCTTCTAGTCCAACCCGCTCTTCAGGCAGGAGACCCTATACCATTTCAGATAAATGATTGTCCAGTCTCTTTTTGAAAGTCTCCAGTGATGGAGCATCTACAACCTCTGAAGGCATTGTTCCATTGGGCGATTTCTTTCATTTTTAGGACATTTCTCCTTAGTTCTAGGTTGCTTCTTTCCTTTCTTAGTTTCCATCTGTTGTTTCTCATCTTATTTTTTGGTCCTTTGGAAAATAGTTTGATGCTTTCGTCTCTGTAAGAACCCCTTGAATATTGGAAGACTCCTATTATGTCCCCCAGTCCTTCTTTTCATTAGACTAGACCAGGGGTAGGCAACCTTGGCTCTTTTATGACTCATGGACTTCAACTCCCAGAATTCTGGGAGTTGAAGTCCATGAGTCATAAAAGAGCCAAAGTTGCCTACCCCTGGACTAGACATACCCAATTCCTGCAATCATTCTTCCTATGTTTTAACCTCCACCCCACCCCTAATTATTTCTGGCTTTGTTAAATTCTGGCTTTGTTAAATTAGGAATGGTGGAAGCAGTCTATCCATCACCTAGAAGCTTGAACTGGAGAAGAGTAGCATGCTAAATTTAAGAACTATTTATCAGGAAGTGCTGAAGAGAAAAAGGCTGTTAACCAACACAGACTGAAAGAAAAAATAATAATAATTCTATTATAGTGCTGAGCTTCCAATCTGTTGACTGTTTCCTCTAGATAAGCATTGCCAACTGCTTACAGGTTCTTTTGATTTATTTTTTTATTTTTTTAAAAGAGCCTTCCTTTGTCTTTACTGACCTAGCTTTCGATGCAGCAATGCAGGGAAACCAAAGGCATGGGGGAAATTACTCCTTCCTGTAGTTCGCCTACAGCAACTGGCATCCTGAAAAGTTAGACTCAAGTCTCTTCCTCCACTTTGATTTACTATTTGCAGCATTGCTCACTTGTTCCCATGTCTGTCTGAGCTTCGCCAGATGTTTCGTGTCCATGCTGATCTCTGTCTCACCTAAATGGATTTGAACTGACTTATAAAATTGTGAATGGTCGCAAGGCAGCATCGTGAGGTTTACATCCCGGCTATGTGAATGTAGGAAAATGCTGACCCATTTCTGCTGTTGAGAAGTAGGCCAGGTGTTGCTTGAAGAGAGTCTTTAGCAGCCTGGTTGTGTTGGTGGTGCGCAGTTGCTAAATTTAAGCGTGGGGATTTGGCAACAAAAACGTATCAAACTTTAGCCCAGTGGTGGGATTCAGCCGGTTCACACCACGGGTAGCTAATTTTTTGTTGCCCAGGCCCAGAATGGACTTCCGGAAGTGGCATCCACGCAGAGAACCGGTTGTTCACATATTTGAATCCCACCCCTGCTTTAGCCACTTAATCATTTTGATCCCAATCTTTTCGGCTTCTTTTGATCTGTTCCTGTCCCTCTCTCGGATCCGGGATTTGTAACTTGGTGCTAAGTGTTCCATTACAGAGGTTGGATGGTGTGCAGGGAGCCTGCTAAATAAACAGGTAGCAATAGCACTTAGACTTATATACCGCTTCCCAGTGCTTTACAGCCTTTTCTAAGCGGTTTACAGAGTCAGTCTGTTGAACCCCCCAGCAATCTGGGTCCTCATTTTACCGACCTCGGAAGGATGGAAGGCTGAGTCAACCTTGAGCTGATTAGGATCGAACTCCTGGCAGTGGGCAGAGTTAGCAATAGCAATAGCATTTAGACTTATATATCACTTCACAGTGCTTTACAGCCCTCTCTTATAGGTTTACTGAGTCAGCATCTTGCCCCCAACAATCTGGGTCCTCATTTTACCAACCTCGGAAGGATGGAAGTCTGAGTCAACCTTGAGCTGGTCAGGATTGAACTGCTGGCAGTGGGCAGAATTAGCCTCCAATACTACATTCTAACCGCTGCGCCACCACAGCTCCCTAAATCTCTGTAAATTTGCAAGAGGCGATATTTGGTGTGAAAGAATTCAGATAGTCCAAGCCCTGCTGAATTATAGTAAAGGGATCTTCTCATCCAAGTCCCTGCTCAAGCTGGGGACCCTATACCGCTTGCTATCAGCACTGATGATGTTACCTAGTTGGGTCATGAAACATCTACAAGAAAACTACCAAGTTCCGAGAGCAGCAAGGACCCCACAGTTAACCCTCTGTTCAAACTCTCTTCTATTGCTATGAAGAACTATTTCCAACTTCTAAATCTGGCTTCAGGGAAGAAGTTCCACCTCTGAATCTTCTAAAAAAAAAAAAGTCCTTGTTAGATATCTTGCTTCTAGGTGACTTCAGCCAGATGTTCCTTCGAGGCCCTTAGGGACTTACGTCCTTTTCTCCCCAGCTGCTTATATATCAGTCATTTAGCTATTGGTGGGGGCTTATGGGAACGAGAGGCTTAAAGTCTCCCCAGGATTAATTTCTCTCCCAGTATATAAATTTATCTCAAAAGACAAAGTAGAAGCAGGACAATCAGAGATGTAATTCACTTTTGATATAATATCTGACATTGGGGCACACGTACACAATTCACTCGGGATCTCTGCCTTGGGAGACAGAGGATAAAACCTTTCCCCTCTCACAAGCAGAAAGCTAATTTTTTGAAGTTTTACTCTCCGGAACGATGAAACCCAAAGGGACACGTCTTTGTTAGAACGATTAAACCCCTCGGGGCCACTTTTCCATTCCTGATGGCAGAAGAACTCATTAAATGGAGGAAACGATGAATCTTCCCTGATTAACTGTCATCACCAGCGATGTAAAATTTTGTAAACCTTATGAGAAATTCAACCGCTTAATGAAATGTAATCCGCTTTTTTTAAAAATGTCTGTGTATATATTAAACTGTTGCATTTTTCTCTCTGGGTATTCTTAATTAACCAGAATTAGCCATAGACCTCTGCACTGCATTAAAGTAATTTCCCAGGAATTATTCCTATCAGTGTTAATGTAACTTCATTAGTAGCCAATGGATAAAGCTTTAATTCTCATGATTTTTCTTTTCTTTTTTTTTTTCAAACCAGTTTTATCGCGACTGCTGACCAGGACTTTCAATAAATTAACTTGGGCAAAGAATTCCCAGGGATCTGATCGTTCTTGATTTAATCGGCCAGGGAAATTAGAAGAATATTTCATTCCTGGCAATATCTGGGACTTAAACTAGGGTGCCAGTTTGTCTGGAAGGGCTCCACGCTGCCCTGGGAAGCTTTCAATGCCTGGAAACAGTTGAAAACAATGGTTTCCGATACAGGAACCCAAATCGTGACATCAGCTGGATATAAATTGAGGGCAAATCTTAGGCTGAGCTACAGTTGGTATGTTATAGTATTGATCTGGGCCTGTGAGTGAGAGATTCGGAGACAGATCTATGCAAATCCCAAATCACTTTAAGGAAGTTTGGAGAAGTTAGTTATCTTATCTCCCTGTCATGCTCTATAATTTTATTGATCGACTGATCATCGGATCAGTGCTTCAGGATCTCTGTTGAAAAAGTTGAACCAGGAGATATATGAGATTTTTCTCTGGCAGTCCTTGATGTTCTTGGTGGATTTCTTTTAACGTTTCATTACCAAAGTAGGTAACATCATCCGTGCAACATCAGATTTTTCTCTGTGCACAGCTCTAGAGAATCACTGCCATTCAGAGTACAAAGATGATTAGGAGACTGGAGGCTAAAACATATACGGAACGGTTGCAGGAATTGGGCATGTCTAGTTTAATGAAAAGAAGGACTAAGGGTGACATGATAGAAGTCTTCCAATATCTAAGGGGTTGCCACAAAGAAGAGGGGGGTCCACCTCTTCTCCAAAGCACCTGAAGGCAGGACAAGAAGCAACGGATGGAAACTAATCAAGGAGAGATTCAGTTTAGAACTAAGGGGAAATTTCCTGGTAGAACAATAAACCAGTGGAACAACTTACCTCCAGAAGTTGTGGATGTTCCATTACTGGAGGTTTTTAAGAAGAGATTGGACAACCATTTGCCTGAAATGGCATAGGGTCTCCTACTTGAGCAGGGAGTTGGGTTAGAAGACCTCCAAGATCTGTTAAAAAAGGCAATTCTAAACTTGATGGACAAAATAATCTGGAAGAGCTGAGTCTGATCCAGGTGGGAACCAAGAGTTTTGTGGCTTGAAGCAGCCATTATGTAAACAGATCGTAACCTTCCAACTTCAAGTCTTCAAGTGTTCCACCAAAGACCCATTAATTTAGAAGAAGGAAGCCAGGAGTCTAAATCTTTGGAAACATATGGCATCTTTGCTTTAGTGGGAAATCTACTGTGCCATATGGCTGGATCCTGACCTACAGTAAAGATTGTAATCTGGCCAAATCATCTGTGGGCCTCCTGCCACGGGAAAAGATGAAAAGTCAAGCTAAGCTGCCGAAGGAAGCATTGGAAATGCCATGATTTATTGCTCAATCAAGGAAAGCCAACATAATCTGATCACTTAAGAGGCAGTTATTTCCTTAGCTCCTAGAATTAAGAATTTAGTTTTTAGAATTAAGGAAGCCTGGCAGATGTTTGGATTTTTTGAATATGCAGACTTGGCTGGTTTGGGTTGGATCCAGCCAACGGCTTCGATTTTGACTTGAAGGTTAGCCAACAGGAAAAAAAAGGGAGGGGAAAAAAAAACTAGAGAGAATGGAGGAATGGCCAAAATTGAAATTTGGCAAGCCATCTAACCTGAAAAGGGAATTGAATGGAGCAAATGTTGCAGAGAAAATACTTTGAAAGTCCTTCGGAAAAAGATCTTATTTGATGGGGGGGGGCAGCAGTTTCGTAATCTACCATAGTTTTTCCAGATTGAACTAAAGGTTTTCTTTTGGGGGGAATTGATCACAAGCAGTCCCTGGCTTACGACCAATTTTTATGACCTTTTTGTCCAGGATTGTTAAGCGAATCACAGCAGTCGTTAAACAAATCTGGCTTTCCCCGTTGACTTTGCTTGGGGGGAAGCCAGCTAGTTGCAAAGGTTGATCACGTGATCCTGGGACGTTGCAACCGTCATAAGTATATGCCGGTTGCTAAGCGTCCTAATTCTGATCACGTGACTCTGGAGATGCTGCAACGTCTGTTAAGTGTGAGGACTAGTCGTAAGTCACTTTTTTCAGTGCTGTTGTAACAGAACAGTCACTAAAAGCATTAAAGCAGCAAGGCGCCTCTGGGTTGAAAGGATTAGCCAGTGATGTCACTGTTGCCCGGGGAACACCCAGTTGGGGGCTCTTTTCAGGTCCCCAGCAGGAGCTGGAGCAAAGGACGGGAACTCAACCCTGCCGCACAACAGAGCTTGGGTCTCAAACATGGGCTTGCTAACCTCCTGCCCAGCGTTCCAACCACTCAAGCCACTCCCAAAGACGCTTTTTCAGGAGGCAGCTGGACTTTCTTGTTTTCCTTTGAAGATATTTCACTTCTCCTCCAAGAAGCTTCTTCAGCTTTTGAGTGGATGGCGGGGAATGGAAGGATTTATCCTCCTTGCAGACAGAGCTGGTCATTTGCATTCTTTTAGGGAGTCATTGAGGCCACTTGGAGGGTCACCACAATGGAGTGGTGCAAAATGGGCGTGGAGCTTCTTGGAACTGCTGAAAGGACTGTGTTGTAGACTGGAGATTGTTGGTGTCCAGCTGTCTGCAAGGAGTATAAATCCTTCCATTCCCCACCATCCAGTCAGAGCTAAAGAAGCTTCTTGGATGAGAAGCGAGACATCTTCAAAGAAAAACAAGAAAGTCCAGCTGCCTTGAGAAAAAGCGTCTTTGGGACAACCAGAATCTCCACAGACACTCCAGCCACGGTGCTCCAGTTGCTAAACGAATGGTTGTAACTCAGTATTAAGTACTGAAGGGCTTCACTCTCAAACTAAGCACACACAGAGGCAGAACAAGCCTTGGCAGAGCAGTGGAATTGATTAGATTCATAAAACGTTTTGCTGATTGGAAATCCAGTGCTTCGCACAGAAAAGGCCCACTTTCTGGCACGTGGCCCTGCTGTCCCCGTGCTGCAGATTTTATTTAGTTCATTTCATTTCATTTATTAAATTTGTTTGCCACCCATTTCGCTGACGAAGTGACTCTGGGTAACTTCCAGTGTTAAATCACTAGGCTTGATTGCCCGAACCGTTGAATATTGACTTCCTGTTAGGTGCTGTGCAAATTGTTTACAATTGCTCGGGGTGCGGCTTTAAAAACAGCTGTTTATAGTGATGTATTTCAAAATGATGGATTTGACGCATTGGCTTACACAGGCCATTTACTCCGCTACCGTTAGGCAGTTGGGATGCTTTTATTGGCTTTGTTTTATTCTCTTTTCCAGGGTCGCCACGTGAAAACAGGGCAGCTTGCAGCAATCAAGGTTATGAATGTGACCGAAGTGAGTACAGACAAGAGTTGGTTTGGCTGGGAAAAAATAAAGAATGGGGTTCCCCAAAACACCAACCTGGAGATGAGGTGTCAGAGTGTGCACAGTCTTATTGTGCGAGATAACTCAGGAGTAAACAGTGGTCTATAATAAATGGTGGTTTATCTTACACTAGTTACAATATCATACACCAGGAACAATATACATACATGTGCTAATACAGCAGGATCCAACAAACCAGCAGAATAAAACTTGTCTTCCTGCTTATTTCTGGGTGATTATCTGTTTCCAGAGACAGGACATAGATTTCCTGTTGGCTTCCTCTACCTTTGCTGTGTTTTCTTAACATCTTGGTGCTCACCAACCTGGTTTTCTTTCCTCTTTAGAATCTAGGGCAGTGTTGCAATGCTGAGTCAAAGAGAAGCTGTAGGTTCCATTTCTGTTTTTTGTGGTCTCTGTTCCCCAATTTTATTTTATGTTTAGAAAGGAAATAGACTTTAACTACCGCTATCCCGCTTTGAAAGCATCCAGGAACTGGGGATCTAAACTGAGAAGCTTCAGATTTTTGCCTTTGCAAGCAAGCAGAGGTTCCTAAAATGTGTTTGCTGTGTTCTTCCAAGGAGGCTGGCACCATTTCTCTTCAGCTGCTGCTTTGGGTCCCTTTTCATCTTCATCTTTGATCTGCTGAGCTGCTTCATCGTGAGCTGCTCAGGCAGCAAAATGTGATGGTGGTCACTGCGGGATAATCAGCCCATCTGTCAGGCAGACCTCTGTCAGTAGAGCGCTTCTGGGAGGGGTGGAAAGAACTTTCCAGCTGCAGTGCCTGGATTCTTGAAATCTGAGGGAGCAAAGTGGGCAGGGCGCTTCTTGGCAAGGTGGAAACTTGGTGGCTTTCTTTGGATCCAGGGGAAATGGTTGATGATAGGAGCAGAGAAGGCTGGCGTGGTACCACAGCTTGATGCCAATCAAGCATGCGGGGTTGAGTAGAAATAACGCAAAGGAAGGCAAATATAACACATTCAGCTAGAGAGAATTTCTCTGAGGATGGGCTCCAGCAGGTGTCCAAAAGCTCGGAAGACTCTAAACCTCTTGTCTCACTGACTGACCCAGACTGGCTCCTGCAACTATAAATTTCATACAGTATGGAATATTGGACATTCCAGATGTTTATAAGCACCCTTTGCATCAAGACTACCTGCCACTTTCTGGCAGGGAGCTGAATTTGTAGGAAGGAAGGAAGGAAGGAAGGAAGGAAGGAAGGAAGGAAGGAAGGAAGGAAGGAAGGAAGGAAGGAAGGAAGGAAGGAAGGAAGGAAGGAAGGAGGGCAACTGTAGGGTCCTTGGTGCTCTCTGAGCTTGGTGGTTTTCTTGTAGATGTTTTATGACCCAACTAGGTAACATCATCAGTGCTAGAATGGAGTGCAGTGTGCAGGGAGGAGGAGGAGGAGGAGGAAGAGGAGGAGGAGGGGGGGCAACTGTAGGATCCTTGGTGCTCTCTGAGCTTGGTGGTTTTCTTGCAGTCATTTTATTACCAAACTAGGAAACATCCTCAGCACTAAAAGGGAGTGAGGTGTGTGAAGGAGGAGGAGGAGGAGGAGGAGAAGGAGGAGGAGGAGGAGGAGGAAGAAGACATTTAGTTCCCTTTTCATTGAGATTAAAATGAGATTAATTTAATATTGTTAATATCATTGTCTCCATGGCTCAGTAAGGTCTGCATTATGTCCCACTAAGAATATATTCATGACAGTTTATCAAAACCCTGGCAGATGCACCAGAGGCAGCCCTGTGGTTGAAGATTGGATGTTCCTGTTCTAGGCTACAGTACATTCTTATCTCCCAGGACCATCCTGGCCCCCCTCATTTTATTTCCAGATGCTTTGTCTCGCCTCAAAGAGATAACCTGCAACTTCAGATTATGCCTCTTAATTTTATCCCTTGACTGTGTCTTAGTATGGAGAACCTCACCACATGACATCTATTTTCACTCTCTCTTTGTTGAACCTGTGGACTGAATCTGAAATCAAGGCAGGGCGTGATCTGTCCTGGATTTGGAGGATCTATTGTTCAATGCAGCAGATCCCTCTTTAATCTCCAGCTGAGCTTGGAATAAGAGTATTCAGTAGAACTCAATACCCTGATTGTTTTGCCTGGTATCTTTCCATGCATCCTACCTAGTGAACAGTGTGGAATTTATTTTTATTTTTTTAAGTGCAATCTGTTGCCTATTCTGCAGCACCGAGGCTCAATTTGCACCGATTCAGTAATAAAACAATTCACACCAGATGATAAATGAGCTGTTTAGACTCAGTTTTGACATGCATATTATTTCTAGGGCTTGAAAAGAAAAAGAAGGCTAATCCAGCATTTGGCATTCTAGGGTGTCCTTTGCATATTCATGGGTAGTGAATTTCAGAATAATTTACACCTGTGGGCACCATCCATTGGATCTCAACAGTTAGGTACATCAAGCAGCCAAGATGTCTCCTTCATGTGTCAGAGGTCTTTATGTCACTTAATAAACCAGACTAATATCTGCCCAGCGTTTTGATTGCGCCAAAATAAGAGCAGGCAAAGATGAGCAGAAAGTGGCTTAAACTTCCTTTGATCTCAAGTCAAGAGAATTCGGGAAAAGGTCCCAAAATACTGGCCCCTGTATTTTCATATCCCGTATTTTTGTTCATTTTAGGATGAGGAGGAAGAAATCAAACTGGAAATTAATATGCTGAAAAAGTATTCTCACCATCGCAACATTGCAACCTATTATGGTGCTTTTGTCAAGAAGAGTCCAGCAGGTCTGGATGACCAGCTGTGGGTAGGTCTCTTCTTCTCTTTTTCTTCTCTTTATACACTTCTTCGGAAATTTAGATACTCTCAGTTCCTGTTTAGGAACTAATTGGTTCTTGGATTGGTTCCCCTCCCTCCCTCCCTCCCTCTCTCTCCCTCTCCCTCTCCCTCTCTCTCTCTCCCTCCCTCTCCCCCTCCCTCCCTCCCTCCCTCTCTCTCCCCCTCTCCCTCTCCCTCCCTCCCTCCCTCTCTCACTCTCCCTCCCTCTCTCCCCCTCTCTCTTTCCCTCTCCCCCTCCCTCCCTCCCTCTCTCCCTCTCTCTCCCCCTCTCCCTCCCTCCCTCCCTCTCTCACTCTCCCTCCTCTCTCCCCCCCTCTTCTTTCCCTCTCCCCCTCCCTCCCTCTCCTCTCTCCCTCCTCTCCCTCTCCCTCCCTTTCCCCTCTCTCTCTCTCCCCTCCCTCTCTCTCCCTCCCTCTCTCCCTCTCTATCTTTCCCTCTCCCTCTCCCTCTCTCTCTCCCTCTCCCTCCCTCTCTCTCTTCCTCTCTCTCTTCCTCTCCCTCCCTCCGTGTGTGTGTGTGTGTGTGTGTGTTATAGTTGATTTGTAGTCATGGCCAAAGGGGTCTCTGGGAAAAAAAATAAAATGCCAATAAAGGACAACATTTGTAAGTGTAAACTTCCTTTCTTTACCGGGCAATCATAATTTTGTTTTTATTTTTGTTTCTCAACTCCCCAGTTGGTCATGGAATATTGTGGAGCCGGGTCGGTCACCGATTTGGTGAAGAAGACGAAAGGGAATTGTCTCAAGGAAGACTGGATTGCGTACATCTGCAGGGAGGTCCTTAGAGTAAGTATCCTTGGCTTGAAATTGTGAATTAAGCCTCAAGCCTGAACTGGAGCTGACAAACATACAGGTAGCCCTCAACGTACGATGGCAGCTGAGCCCAAAATTTCTCTTGCTAAGCGAGACGGTTTTTTTAAGTGAGTTTTGCCCCATGTTACGATCTTTCTTGCCAAAGCTGTTAAGTGAATCACTGCAGTTGTTAAATTAGTAACGCAGTTGTTAAGTGAATCTGGCTTCCCCCATTGATTTTGCTTGTCGGAAGGTCACAAAAAGGGATCACACTGCGACCGTCATAAATATGAACCAGTTACCAAGCATCCAAATTTTGATCACGTGACCACGGGGATGCTGTGATGGTTTAAGTGTGAAAAATGCTCATAATGGTCACTTTTTTCGGTGATGTTGGAACAGTCACTAAATGAACAGCTGTCAGTCAAGGTAATAATAATAATAATAATAATAATAATAATAATAATAATAATAAAGTTGGAAGGGACCTTGGAGGTCATCGAATCCAACCCCCTGCTCAGGCAGGAACCCTACACCATTTCAGACAAATAAGGTCTATTTGTATCATACATACAAACCTTGGGGTCACACTTCACACATCTACAGTAGCTGTTGCCTACATTTTACGAGGTAATTGCCGAGAAGTCAGCCTGGCCTTTTTTCAAAGCTTGAGCCAGATCCACCATCTTTGCTCACCAGCTGGGTGCCGATTGTGCAGCTCCACGATTCCCGCCCAGCTGGTGAGCAGAGTTGCACCTGGATGCCTCTCGGAGGCGCCTGGTTGGAGAAAGCTCCTTATTCCAGGCGCTTGCAGTCAGAATTTATAGTTTCTACGGTTTGAAAAGACGCAGGAAAGGGCCAGGAAAGTTAAAGCTGGGTCATTTTTTTTCTTCTAGGGTCTGTCCCACTTGCACGCCCACCATGTCATCCACCGAGATATTAAAGGGCAGAACGTGCTGTTAACAGAAAATGCTGAAGTAAAATTGGGTACGTAGATGATCCTTCTGGATTTCCTCCGGACCCGTCCAGGCTACTGCATAACAAGCAGCCCAGATTGTCTTTTATAAGCCTGTTATTTAAAAAAGCTGAAGTACAGTACAGTCCTCGAAGGAATCAAACTGTGGGGAAATCCCGAAATTGGGCACGGTTTTCTAGCCACGAATACATAAATATATCTGTAACTGAGGTGAAATCCCAAAATCGGGCACGGTTTTCTGGCCACGAATACATAAATATATCTGTATCTATATATCTGGGAGTACTTTTAAGGATTTCAGCTGTGGTAAAATCCCGATATCAGGCACAGTTTTCTGGATGGCTACACACGTGTCATCTTCTGTCAGATTGAACATGGAGAGCAAAGCTGCCTGAATGAGCAATCAAGTGCAGCTTAATGGCTCCAGTTAGGATATTCCTTTTTCGAATCCATCGGCAACTCAAGTGGAATCTCAGCCCCATGTCAGCCTGGAAGCACTTCAGAAAGAGCGGGAAAGTGTAGCTGCTGCATGAACAGAGGATTTCCACCTCTTCTTTGAGACCCCCGAGGGAGAGACTGGACACTTTTGAATCTCTCGGTAGCCACACTTTGCTTCTCTGATGGTTTTTTTCATATCCGAAAGAACCAGCCTTGGATCGAATGAGTTTTGCATCCTGGCTTGTTCTCCATCTGTATATAATACGCAGTTGTCAAAAGTATTGCTTTGTGATGTTTTTTCCCTCCCTTTTTTCTTTTTGCAGTCGATTTTGGAGTCAGTGCTCAGCTGGACCGGACGATTGGCAGGAGGAACACTTTTATTGGGACACCTTATTGGATGGCTCCTGAAGTCATCGCTTGTGATGAAAACCCAGAATCAACCTATGATTACAGAGTAAATTTTCCCATTGAGTTCTATCTACTCCAAGTCAATGGAAAGGAAACATACATTTGCTCCTTATTAGGAGAAAAAAAATAATTCCTCCGACTGAACTTTTCAATGGTGTCCAATCTTGGCAACTTTAAGACTTGTGGATGTTAACTTCCAGAATCTATCTATCTATCTATCTATCTATCTATCTATCTATCTATCTATCCATCCATCCATGTCTGTCTGTCATCTGTCTACCCATCCATCATCTATCCATCCATCATCTATCCATCTGTATCTATCATCCATCCATCCATCCATCATCATCTGTCTATCTATCTATTATCTATCCATCCATCATCTATCCATGTATATCATCCATCCATGCATCCATCCATCCTCATCTGTCTGTCTATCATCTATCCATCTATCATCTATCCATCTATATCTATCATCCATCCATTCATCCTCGTCTGTCTGTCTTTCTGTCTATCATCCATCTATCCATCCATCCATGTATCTACAGGTAGCCTTCAACCTACAACACAATGTAGACCAAAATGTCTGTTGTTAAGCAAGACAGTTGTTAAGTGAGTTTGCCCCATTTTATGACCTTTCTGTCACAGTTGTTAAATGAACCCCTGCAGTTATTTGGTAGCACAGTTGTGGATTGAACCTGGCTTCCCCTTTAACTTTTGATGAGGTGGCAAAAAGTGATCAGATGACCCAGGATTCTGCAACCATCATAAATATGAACCAATTGCCAAGCGTCCAAATTTTGATCACATGGTCGTGGGGACGCTGCAGCGGTTGTAAGTGTGAAAAATGGTCACACGTCACTTTCTTCAGTGCTGTTGTAACTTTGAACAGTTGCTAAACGAATGATTGTATGTTGAGGACTTTCTGTATCGATCAGCAGGAAAGTGAAAAGAAGGTTGAACAGTTCTCACTTCTCAAAATTCTCTTTCAGACCCAGACAGGCACGCACAGCTGAGTATATTCTTTTTTTTCCCCTCTTTTTTTTTCTCAAAATGAGCTGCTTGGCTTAGCATTGCCTTCGGTCATAAACATTGCCTTTTATTCTCTTTGAAATGCAGCCCTCCTGGACTTTGGAGCCAGTATCATTTCTATCTCACCTTCTGTACTTCATGTTGATTTCTGTCTCTTTTTCTTTCCTTCCTCCTTGATCGATACCAGCTGCGCTTTGCTCTGGTTTGAAGCTACGTGTGGCTAAATTAGAGAGTAGAGCCAAGGATGCAATTTTCAACTCGGCAGGGCTTCCGCCTTTCTCCCCGACTCGTTAAAGGAGCCGTGTCCACTTTCAAGGGGAAAGATGGAGCTGCTTTAATGAGTAGCAGAAGTGTGAATCCAAGAAGCCTTTGGGATTTTCCGCAAAGCGAGCATCATCCTTTAAGTTAGGCACGGTGGTAATAAAAACTATTTTGCAGGAAAAAGAGGGAAGAAGGTTTTCCTTTATCAATGCTCCTTGATTTGATGCTCGCTGCTGCTTCCGATGACAGAGGAATGACTCCTGGCTAACTGAGATGTTCCTCCATACTGGCCACGTTGATTATGAGCTAACTAGGCAATGTTGTGGGTCTGTAAATTGTATCCCAACCTGTGGGAAATGCCAAGATTGAGCAAGTAGATCAAGCTAACGTCAAGCCTATGTCTTTTGGGGGTAGTTGTTGCCTCTAACCTATCGACAATGTTCCCGTGCTATGAATATCCATGATTAACTAAACCAAGATTTCTCAGCCTTGGCAACTCGAAGTTGTGTGGACTTCAACTCCCAAAATTCCCTAGCCACCTATGCTGGGAGTTGGTCCACACATCCTCAAGGTGCCTAGGTTGAGAAACACGGAACTAAACTTTGGCTTCCATAATCCGGTTCTCTGGCTTTGCATAATACACGAAATCCTAAACCAGTGTTTCTCAACCTTGACAATTTTAAGGCATGTGGACTTCAACTCCCAGAATTCCACAGCCAGCATTGCCTGGTAGCAGCATTGCTGGCTGTGGAATTCTGGGAGTTGAAGTCCACATGCCTTAAAATTGTCAAGGTTGAGAAACACTGCAACAAACCTATTTGACTCTTTTTTTTAAATAGGTGAACCGGTTGTTCACCTGTTTGAATCCCACCACTCCTTCCTTCCTTCCTTCCTTCCTTCCTTCCTTCCTTCCTTCCTTCCTTCCTTCCTTCCTTCCTTCCTTCCTTCCTTCCTTCCCTTCCCTTCCCTTCCCTTCCCTTCCCTTTCCCTTCCTTCCTTCCTTCCTTCCCTTCCTTCCTTTCCTTCCTTCCTTCCTTCCTTCCTTCCTTCCTTCCTTCCTTCCTTCCTTCCTTCCTTCCTTCCTTCCTTCCTTCCTGTGGTGGGATTCAGCAGTTTGCACCACTTCGGCAGAACCAGTAGCTAATTTTTTGTTGCCCAAGCCTAGAATGAACGTCTGGATTTTTTACTGATTTTTAACATACACTAATTTTTTTTTTACTGATTTTTAACATACACCTTAATATTTGGTAAACATCGTATCGTCTGGGTTAGTGTTTAAAAAACAATAACAATTAATTTCTATAATTCTATAGTCCAGATAATGGCTTTACTTGGTTTCCTCTTCTTCCAATAATATTCTCTTTTGCCAACCTTAAGTTAATATAGTTCTTATTTAAATAAATGACAATTAAGTATAAACATTTTTCTCATGTTTCCTGTTTGACACTTGTTTTTCATTCATCAAAGTCTTTTGTTTCCTAGAGTGACTTGTGGTCCTTAGGCATCACCGCAATAGAAATGGCGGAAGGAGCTCCCCGTAAGTTGACTGCACCTCACTCTTTGTTGTTTGTGGAAGGGTGTATCATCCAGCAGGCAGCTTTAATACCAGAGCACTTTAATACAGGTGTGGTTGCAGGTTCTGACTTTATTTGTGTGCATTCAGGACATTTTGATTCATAAAGTTGGAAGCTGAAGCCCTGATTTATACAGCTAGTCCAGTGGTGGGATTCAACCGTTTCGCACCACTTCAGCAGAGCTGCAGCTAATTTTTTGTTGCCCAGGCCCAGAATGGACTTCTGGAAGCGGCATCCACGCAGAGGACCAGTTGTTCACATATTTGAATCCCACCACTCCTTCCTTCCTTCCTTCCTTCCTTCCTTCCTTCCTTCCTTCCTTCCTTCCTTCCTTCCTTCTTTCCTGTGGTGGGATTCAGTCAGTTCGCACCACTTCAGCAGAACTGGTAGCTAATTTTTTGTTGCCCAAGACTAGAATGGACTTCCAGAAGCGGCATCCATACAGAGAACCAGTTGTTCACCACTGCTTTTGATCCCATGACTGACTTTTAAACAGTATCACAATTTCAATGTTTTTGTTTGTTTGTTTGTTTGTTTTGGTCACCACATTATAAGAAAGATGTAGAGACTATGGAAAGAGTGCAGAGAAGAGCAACTAAGATGATTAGAAGGCTGGAGGCTAAAACATAGGAAGAACGGTTGCAGGAACTGGGCATAGTTAGTCTAGAGCAGGGGTAGGCAACCTTGGCTCTTTTATGACTCGTGGACTTCAACTCACAGAATTCCTGAGCCAGTATGGTTGACATGATAGCAGCGTTCCAATATTTGAGGGGTTCCTACAAAGAATTGGTGGTCAACCTATTCTCCAAAGCACCTGAAGGCAGGCAGGACAAGAAGCAATGGATGGAAACTAATCAAGGAGAGAAGCAACCTAGAGAAATTTCCTGACAGTGAGAACAATTAACCAGTGAACAGCTTACCTCCAGAAGTTGTGGGGGCTCCATCACGGGAGGTTTTTAAGAAGAAACTAACAGCCATTTGTACAGAATGGTATAGAGTCTCCTGCTTGAGCACGGGATTGGACTAGATGTCCACCAAGGTCCCTTCTGACTCTATTATTCTGTTTTTTGCACCAAAGGATGTGCCATACGGCAGACTCCTTTCTTGTTAAAAGCAAAAAAAAAAAAAAAATGGATCTGCTACTCAGTATGTGTCCAATTCTTACCCCCTTTTGAAGTCATTGTGTGGCTTCTACGCCACAAAAATCTCCTCCTGCCCCCACGCTGGGTTGCAGCTGCAAGAATTGTGGTTTTCTGTGTCAGACGATACAGGCTAATATGGAAATAGCGAGGCGTTAGCAGCTGGAGGGAATTGTGAAAATTAGCAAGGCTTTTGTCTTAGGGCAAGAAGGGAAGAGAAAGATGCTTGACACATTCAGACGCATCTTTCCCGTTGCTATCAGAGCGAGGGAAGAGCGTTCAAATGTAGATCGGCTGCCGCTGGAATGATTAGTGTTGTGTCCTCCGACTGCAAAGGGAAGCTTTTCAGCTGAGTTTGATTTCCACACTTTCACACTCCTTACCAGCAAAGGCCAGTTGAGACTTGCAATTTTTGATGAGTAACCTGTGGTCTGGCCAGTCAAAGGGAAACTATCCCGGGGGAGAGGAACCTTCTGAAGTTGTTGCTTGGTGGAGGAACAACCTACCCGACATCTCTTTCCTGTCTCTGCCTCTTAAACCCCAGCGTCTTCCGTGGGGTTCCAATGGGGATGGATCAAAGCCGCTTTGGGTAAAGGAGCATAAGGGAAGGGAAAGAATCGGATTTATATCCTTTAGCCCTGTGATGGATTAAAGGTTGTTTTCTGGAAGCTAATGGATGGTCATAAAAGTGTGTAGATTATGGGATGAGGAGAAGACAAGGGCTGCATTGTCTAGTCAAGGGACAGCTTGCCTTAGCAGTCTACTGAGCCAGTGCTCACCTCCTGTGGGTGATTTCTATGCACACAAATAGACTATCACAAAACTGTTTGGAATAAGGGTATCCAACCTTGGCCATTTTAAGACTTGTGGACTCCAATTTCCAGAATTCCTAAGCCAACATTCCCTAGTCAGAATTCTGGGAGTTGAAATCCACAAGTCTTAAAGTGGCCAAGGTTGGACATCCCTGGTTTAGATGAAGCTTCCTGACAGCTTTTCAGTATCTCACCATGCAGGATTGGAGAACTTAAACAACAGTGACGGGCAGTGGGGACGTAAACCCAGCTCGAAGTGCTTTTTAAAAATCTTTTGTCTTTGTGTGGGTGTTTTTTTTTTTTTTAATTGTAGCTTTGTGTGACATGCATCCCATGCGAGCTCTCTTTCTGATTCCACGGAACCCTTCTCCGAAATTGAAATCCCGGAAATGGTAAGTGTTTGATTTCAGTTATAATGAATCCATAGTTGTGTATTGTTGGGATGGAAGGTCTGTTGGGCCCCTCAACAGTTGCCATCTCATCATGTCCTTCAGATTGAAGCTGAGGGGCTCTCTGAGCTTGGCGGTTTCCTGGCAGACGTTTCATTGCCCAACTAGGGAACGTCATCAGTGTTAGAAGGGAATGGGGGTTAGTGGAATGGGTGGTGGTGGTGGTGGTGGTGGTGGTGGTGGTGGTAGAGGAGGAGGAGGAGGAGGAGGAGGAGGATATGGGGTCCTTGATACTGTCTGAGCTTGGTTGTTTTCTTGCAGATTTCATTACCCAACTAGGGAACATTATCAATTTTAGAAGGGAATGGGGATTAGTGGAATGGGAGGAGGAGGAGGAGGAGGAGGATAACAACTATGGGGTCCTTGATGCTATCTGTGCTTAGTTATTTTCTTGCAGATGTTTCATTACCCAACGAGGGAGCATCATCAGTGTTGGAAGGGAGTAGGTTTTGCTCTCTGTTTACATACAAATGGCTTGCCTTGTCCCCATTGATGGAAGCTATGTTTCCCTTTTGGTAGCACTGATGATATTACCTAGTTGGGTAATGAAACATCTGTAAGAAAAGAATCAAGCTCGGAGAGCACCAAGGACCCCACAACTGAAAGATTAGAAATACCCCTCAAAAGAGGAAGAAAGTCAAGCAGGCCATGGTTAGTTTGCTGATCCATAAGACTGATTCTGGCTAGTTTAACAAGACACCATAAAAGCAAGATCTTGGCTTAGTCTGACATGGGAACCTAACTATTTTGCTTATGTCTTAGAAGAAGACACAACTAAGTTCTCCATGAAGTTAGGTTATTTATGTAATTTTTCCTGTTTTGTTTTTTTAGGTCAAAAAAATTTCTCAGCTTTGTGGACAGCTGCTTGGTTAAAAATTACATGCATCGCCCTGTGACTGAGACCTTGCTCAAACATTCCTTCATCAGGGACATGCAAAATGAACGCCAAGTACGCATCTTGCTAAAAGATCATCTAGACAGAACCAGGAAGAAAAAAGGAGAAAAAGGTAATGTCCATGTTCCGGTCACTATTGACCTTAAAGAGTGGCTTGCATGGAAGAGTAAAGCCTGAAAATCAGTTTGTCCATCAAGTAATGACGAAGGAAAGCATCTCATAGGTTGGGAGTAGAGGAAGGGTCAAAGAAATTGGACATAAAAAAAAAACATAAATTGGATATTAAAAAAGGGGTAAAATTTTGAACATAGAGCCTCAGTTAAAATAGCTTTTTCCATCTCTTCTTGGGGATCCCTTGGCCATCAATGGTTAATCTTTGGGTGGACTCAAATCCCTGGATGCCCAGCCAGCATGCTTCAAGATGAGTTGGCTTCAATTGCCAGAATTCCTCAACTGGCAACCTTTGAGATGAGTGAGATAGAAAGATTTGTCTGTCTGTCTGTGTGTGTGTGTGTGTGTGTGTGTGTGTGTGTGTGAGAGAGAGAGAGAGAGAGAGAGAGAGAGAGAGAGAGAGAGAGAGATGAAAGAGTTATGGAAGAGAGAGAGATGGAAGATCTGATATAGATAGATAGATAGATAGATAGATAGATAGATAGATAGATAGATAGATAGATAGATAGATAGATAGATAGGTGATAGAGATGGATAGATAGATAGATAGATAGATAGATAGATAGATAGATAGATAGATAGATAGATAGATAGATAGATAGCTCAGTTCGTTTCCTTCATGTGCACTTTCTTTTGCCCTCCCTCCCTCCCCCCCCTCTCTCTCTCTCACACACACACACACTCACATGGAACAGATTTTTTGTACCGTGCTTGGAACAATAATGCGTCTTTGTATGACTTTGCTTCCCATCCCTGTCTTTTTTTTTTTTTTTAGATGAAACAGAATATGAGTACAGTGGAAGTGAGGACGAAGGGGAAGAGCTGAACGAAGAGGAAGGCGAACCAAGGTCTCATTGGGCATTTGCAGATCAAATCGGAACAGTTCCACGATGGTCCCCTGAGGGACCAAAATTTCCCCAGCCTGTTGACGTCCACAGGTCTTAAAGTTGCCAAGGGTGGACACCCCTGCCACGTGGCAGGTGTCTTCTAAGTCAGCCTGTTACCTTCACCATTGTTAGAAGATGCTTTCTAGGTTGGCCATGTTGAAATCCATGTCAGTTTTTCTTAAGCAGGGTGACTGTTCTCTGTAGGGCTACTGGATCTGGTTTGCAAAAATCACAGATGCTTAAATGACAGGAAAAAGTCAGGGCAGATCAGGTGACCCTCGCCACCAGTGTATTCTTCAAGAAAAGATGGGGAAATAAATATTGTAGTGTAGCTCCAGTCTGTGTGTGTTGGGTGTGGAGGGAAGGAACGAGTTGGCTAATAAGGAGCCACGGATTCCAAGTGTCTCTAATCTTTTCTTTTTTTTAAGTGAAACAAAAACTATGCATGGCCCCTGCTCCAGCTGCTGAGGTTTTTAAGAAATTCAGCTTAACTAGGACTGCATTTTTCTAGGGCTTTTATGCCTTCTCCTCCACCTCCTCCCACCTACCCCCCCCCCCACCAACCACCCAGAACCTCAGCAGATGGGTTTCCATGCAAATTCAAAAATATAGCTGAATCCTTCTTTTGTTCCTCTTCCAGTGTTTGCTGTTGAATGCAAAGTGTGAACACATGCTAAAATTGGTTTGGGGAAGGCAGCGGTGAAGTGAGGTCTCTAGCGAACAGATAATCAGCTTTAGCTGGGATTCTGAAAAGTTGCTAAAACAGAGGCTGGTCTGGGAGCTGAACCAGGGAGTTTCTGCAGAGAGTTATTTTTTGGCAAGTTTTTTGGCATTTGCTGGGCTGTCTTAATACTAGAATTAATCAAACAGATTATCCTTCCTTCCTTTCTTTCTCTTTTCTTTCTTTCCTTCTTTCTTTCTTTCTTTCTTTCTTTCTTTCTTTCTTCCTTCCTTCCCTCCTTTTTTTCTTTCCATCTTTTTCTTTCTCTTTCTCCTCTGTTTTTCTCTTTTCTCTCTCTCTTTTTCTTTCTCTCTCCCTTTCTTTTTTTTCTCTTTTTTCTTTTCTCTCTCTTTCTCTTTCTCTCTCTTTTCTCTTCCTGTCTCTTTCTCTGTCTCATTTTGCATCCATATGTTTCCAAATTAAGCTCCATTGTGAATCTCCCGGGCGAATCCACCCTGCGCCGAGAGTTCCTCCGACTTCAGCAGGAGAACAAATCACGTTCGGATCTCCCCTGCCTGCAGCCGATGCAACAGCAGCAACAGAAACACCAGGAAAACTACAAAAGGCAGCTTTTGGAAGAGAGGCAGAAGCGCATCGTGGAGCAAAAACTGCAGAGGAAGAAGTTGGAAGATGTAGGAATTGAATTTGATTTTGGGGGGAGGATGTTGTGGTTGGCTTCCATTATATTCGGCTGGCCTTGTCCTGTCACCTTGCTTGTTTAGAATAGAATAGAATAGAATAGAATAGAATAGAATAGAATAGAATAGAATAGAATAGAATAGAATAGAACCTTAGAGCTATTAGGGAAAGAATTCCAGCAACACTTGAGTATTGGAATGCCAGTTCTATTTAAAATCAACAATATTCAAAATTCTTCCATCTTTTTTTATTTGCGCTCTTACACACACATCAGTGTTGGAAGGGATTCCCTCTTAGCAAGAGATTCAGCTTCCATCTGTTCCTCGTTCTAGTATCAGCCAGATCTAGTTGTTTACTTTCAACCACGTGAGCATTCACAGTTAGAGAGCAAGGGTGCAACTGGATGCAAAGTAACACAGCTGGACAAGACCTTGGAGGTCTTCTAATCCAACCCCCTGCTTATGTGAGAGTTGAATGTTTTCAGGCATTTGAAACATGGTGCTCATTTTTTCTCATTGCATTAGAAAAGGGATGCCAGCATTTTGGGAAGGAACAGAAATAGATAGCTAGAACGATTAAAGTGGTGGTGCAGTGCTACACATCCTCTACACGACCTGTTTTCCTTGTTACCTTCTGGGTAACAAGCAGAACATCCAGATTCAGTCACAGTTTTGTTCCATATAGTATCAATCTTGTGAACACTCAAGCTTCCTCTTTCCACTTTCTATTCAAAATGGACAGTGGTTAATATTTCTATGTATATATAGGTACAGGGTAGGTATATATGTATGTATGTAGCATGTGTGTATGTGTGTTATGTATGTGTATGGGTAGATATATACTTTCCTTTGAGAGCAGGCAACAGAATTTCATTTTTTATGTGGGCCAGTTGCTCATAGTAAAAAAATGACAATAAAGGTTATCTTTAATTATGTTAATATATTGCTGTTGTTCAGCTGGAAACCTCTAATTTGAGATCTATTTACCTTGGGGAAAAGAGATTTACAAAGAGCCAAATAAAGGCATTTAAAACGATGCTCGGTATGGAGAGAATGGACGAGGATATATCTTTTTCTTCATTTGAGTGCTTGCTCAGGACAATTTCGTATCAATTTATCTGTCGGTTGAATGATAGCCAAACGCAGTAAAAGGAAAAGAACATTTCTTGGGGAAACGTTGATGGTTTCCATCGAGCTTAGAAGCCGAGAGTGTCTGAACGATGCTGCCTGATGCGACCTGTGACACGAATAATTACTCCTTTTATGAGATGCCTCTGAATAAAGATGAAATGAAAGCAACGTAATTTCTTGGCCTGTGTTCAGCATCAGAAAAAGGAAGAGCTTCGGAAGCATCTGGACTTTGAAAAGAGGCACCCAGAGAGCAAAGTGGCCCCAGGCAACGTGCAGAAGGATAAACACAGCCGAGATAAGCTGGAGGAGGCGTGGTGCAAAGGGGATGCGGTCCAAAACACAGGAATGCAACAGGTGTGGTTGTACAGAGGAGACATCTTGGGGGCATTTTGCATCCAATCAGAGTAGAGCTGGAAGGGACCTTGGAGGTCTTCTAATCCAGCCCCCTGCACAAGCAGGAGACCCTATACATCCCAGATAAGTGGCTGCCCAATCTCTTCTTTAAAACTTCCAGTGTTGGAGCATCCACAACTTCTGGTGGCAAGTCGTTCCACTGGTTAATTGTTCTCACTGTCAGGAAATTGCTCCTTAGTTCCAGGTGGCTTCTTTCCTTGATTAGTTTCCATCGGTTGCTTTTTGTCCTGCCTTCTGATGCTTTGGAAAATAAGTTTACCCCATCCTCTTCTTTGTGGCAGCCCCTCAAATAGCCCCTCAAATATCCATAGACGATACAGGTCCTTGAGTTACTCCCTTAATGGAACCTGCCCATCACAGTCATTACGATCATAAAATGGGTCAGTCCTGTGACTGACCTGATTTTACGACAGCTTTTGCAGCAGTCATTAGGTGACTGGGGCAGTTGTGAGTGCGAATCCATTGTATGCTATGGGCTGAAAACCAGAAGTGGCACGACTGTCGTAAAGTACAGTTGCGTGGCCGCAAAGGGTCATGAATGCAGCCGTGTTGCTAAACACCGGAAGTGACATCACGTGACCCATGGGGAGAGTCCAACCATTGGAATTTCAGATCCAGATCATAAGTCCTCTTTTTCAGGGAGGAATTCTAGGAATTGAAGTCCACAGGTCTTAACAGTTGCCAAGGTGGGACATCCTTGACTTAGAGCAGGGGTGGGGAACCATGGCCCCCTTTAGGACTTGGGGACTTCAACTCCCAGAATTCCTGAGCCAGACTCAAGTCATAAAGGGTCCCACCGCTGACTTAGAGGATTCCATGCGCCAATCATTTGTTGCACAGCTCATGGAGCAACATCACTGAAAAAAAAAAAACAACCAACCCAAGTCTATCTATTCCTAAGGTCTTCTCCTACTTGCAAGAGTGTCTTCTGTGGATTTTAGATATCCAAGATGGGGTCTGCTCGGTGGTGGGATACAAATATGTGAACAACCAGTTCTGTGCGTGGATGCCGCTTCTGGAAGTCCATTCTGGGCCTGGGCAACAAAAAATTAGCTGGAACCGGCTGAATCCCACCACTAGTTCAGCTGTTGCTGATTCTCAAATGAAAGACACGGTTGACCTAAGCCAACTTCGCCGATCTTCTTTTGATTATAGGGCCGTTCTTGTATTTTTTTCCCGTTCTAGAGAAAAGCAGACGAAGGGGCTTACGGGAAGAAGTTTCATCGGACCCTTCCCAAAGATCAGACCCAGCTCCTTTGTCTCCAACACGAGCACCAGCAGAAGAATAAGGAGACTCCTAAGATCTTTAATCTTCCACAGGGCCTTTCGTCAAACTGCGTGAGCAAAGAGGTAAAGCCTAACTTGCTAACCATCAACCCTGGTCTATGTCAGATTTGGCCACTTGCCATATAAAAATGATTTTTAGTTTTTTAAAAAATAACAGGATTTAGAAGGAAAAAGAAGCAACGGGGTGTTTGGGGAGGGGGATTCTCTGATCTTGGTTGTTTGTTGTAAAAAAAAAAAAAATCTCACGTGGCTGGAAACCATCTCTTTCCATCTCCAGCTTGCAAATAAATAGATTGTTGTTTGGGGCTGAATAGAAACCTAATTGAGGGTTTTATTTATTTATTTTGTAAGAATGCTTTTAGAGAGGAAAAAAAAAAGAACGCTAAGAAAAGATTCATTCATGGATGAGTTAAAAACAGGCTGGAGGGATATTTTCCAAAATCACAAGACCTGCTCTAGAGCAGTGGTTCTCAACCTGTGGGTAGGGACCCCATTTGGGGTCAAACGACCATTTCACGGGGGTCGCCAAACAACGCAGTCCGCCATTTTTTCCCCCTTTTCCTTAGCTGTGCTACTCCCTTTTATTCTATTGGCTTTTGAAAGCCAATAGAATAGACTCTCTTGAATAGAGTCTAATTCTATTGGCTTTCAAAAGCCAATAGGAATTGTCCAGGCTGTCTCTGCCCTGCTGAGCCCGCCAAAAGTCCCATTCTGCAAACGGTGCTGCACCAGTTGAGTAGTCCTCGACTTACGGCCGGTTGAGTAGTCCTCGACTTACGACCGGTTGGGGGTCGCGGCATTAAAAAGGTTGAGAACCACTGCTCTAGAGGTAGCCAGGCAAATCAGAGAATAGCAGTTTTCCGAGGACGTTCAAGCAGAGTTTGAAGTGGGGAGGGTGGAATTACATCTTAGATTGAACTTCATTCTCAAAAAAAAGAGGAAAACTCACCTGCAGTTATGGAGTTTTCTCCTCCTTGAGTTCTCCTGCCTAGAAGACGGGCATCTCCAAACTTGGCAACTTTTAAGACTTGGGGACTTCAACTCCCAGAATTCCTCAGCCAACCAGGTTTGTGGGGGAATTCTGGGAGCTGAGGTCCACAAGTCCACAAAGCCGACGTCAACAGTTCAGGCAGCTGAAATCCATAAGTCTTAAATGTCCATGGAGATTCTCAGTCATCCAGGTTGTGGTTGTCCCATTGTGATCGTAAGTGGAGGACCACCTGTATAAAGGGTTTAAGGGAAAAAAAACGTGGTTGCAAAGTGTCATTGCTCTTCCTGGCTTTTAGAAAGTAGACTATTAAGTTCTCCTTTATCCCTTCCATATTCTCTCTCTCTCTTTTTTTTTTTCCAAAAGGAAGAGCAAGAACTCGGGGAGGGGGGGGGGCTAAAGGATAGAAACGCATTGCCAAAAGTCAGTTCCAATATCCGTTTGCGTCTTTGGCTTGCATTTCACAATTTACCTCCTTGCAGAGGGAATAAAATGCATGGTAAATTATGGCCTAGGCCATTCTTGTTAAATTTTAATCCAGATGTCCTTATTGTGTATTTCTGACATTAGCAGCTGTAGGCAGAGAGTCTCTGTAGGAAGCGTGCGACAGTCACAGGACCCAAACTGAATCTGACAGTTCCTCTGGACAGTGACACTTCTGCCTTGTGTTTTTCATCTGTCTTGTTTGTATATGTGTACATACACACACACACACACCACACACACACAAACACACACACACACACACCCACACACACACACAAACTGAACAGGTAGTCCTCGACTTACGACCACAACTGAGCCCAAAATGGCTGGAGCTAAGTGAGACATTTTTTAAGTGAGTTTCCCCCCTTTTTATGACCTTTCTTGTTGTTAAGTCAGAAGGTTGCAAAAGGGGATCGTGTGACCTTGGGACACACAGCGACGGTCGTAAGTATGAGTCACTTGCCAAGCGTCTGGATTTTGATCCCAAAGGTCGTCAGTGTGAGAAAACAGTCATGTCGCTTTTTCAGTGCCACTGTAACTTTGAACGGTCACTAAATGCCTTTATAGGGGCATATCCAGTAATTGGGATTCTGCATTTTTTGCGAAGGCTTACTTTATATATATATTTTTTCCATAGTGGTTTAATTTGAAAAATCTACCCAAACTGCTTGTCTAAAACCTGCACAAGCGTTTTATTTTCCGCTTAAGTCAAGCTGCAAGGGCTTGGACTGTGCTATCAATAAAAACTGTAAATAAATTTGTTTCGCCATAGGCTGGGAAAAAGCAACGCCGTGCTAGCTATTTAAGTTAAGTTAAAGCCCCAAAGAAGAGAGGACTTCCATGAACATCACGTATGGATTGGTTTGGATCATAAGTTAGGGCCAAAGTTAAAATCTGATCGGTGGGATTCTGAATATCAATACACAGACACACAAAAAGGCCAGGTATTAAAACAATCCGTCATATACACTGTGAAGGAAAATTGCATAGACTCTCCAATACAAAGCGACAATATATATATATATATATATATATATATATATATATATATATATATATATATATATATATATATATATAACCTTTTTAGTTATGTATCTCTTGCTGTTGAACGGGAGAGATTCGATTTTGTTGATTTAAGTTTTTCTTTTTAAAAAGAAAAAAGAGCAAAGGGCTAGCAAAAGAAACACGTGGAGATGCCTCTATCTGATCTTTGGAATGAAGAGAACAAGATAAATTGGGATGAAGCTTGCATCCTCTGCGGAATAACGATGCTCAGTTCTTGCTCTTGCTTTCTTTGCAGGCAGAAAAGAAGCTTACGAAAAGTAACGGTGTCCAGCCGGACCTCAGCTGGACAGCTGTCCTCGGCCAGGAGACCACCCCTCACGGGAGGCTGGGTTCCGGCAATAGTTCCAGCCCATGTACGCCAGCTTTGCAACGAGCCGTGGTGGCCCAGGTTGGGAAGTCTCACCATGTTTATCGGACAGGGGAGATAGCTTGGTCATTCCCACCATCCCTTGGATCAGAAAGGTCCACACCAGTGGCTCCCAATCTTTGGGGCACCAGGGACCGGTTCCGTGGAGAGAGGTTTTTCCGCGGACCGGAGGGAGCGTGGTTTCGCGTGCTGCCTGCATCCCATGGATGGGGCTTTGCTTATGTCCGTGGTTTCTGGCATGCCGTGGATCGGTGCTGGAGTCCACAGCCCGGGGTTTGGGGACCCATGGTCGACACAGTAGTTGAGAACCACTTGAGATGATATTACCGAGCACAAAATGATTTGGGAACAGGCGACTTGAAGGACCAGCTTTTCCCAAGAGTCTGTAGTTGTCCAGTCCGATCCAGGATAATTAGACAAGCTGCAAATCCCGTCAGCCAAAGAGTGTCGGCTGAAGAAGGGGCTTTTCTGCAGTCGCCTTGCCTTACGGAATATCTGCTCCTCGGAGATCAGGATGGCCCCAACCCTGCTAGCCTTTCAAGTAAGGCTCTGAAACCCTGGCTCTGTTCCCTGCCTGGGGTGCTGAATACGTCAAGGGTCCCATTTCCTGGCTTTATTGTGGACCGGCCAAGTATCTCGGCTGCTACGCATATTTATTTTGGAGGCTATTTTTATAGTATTTATTGTTTTAAAATGTTTTAATTGTTTTAATTTTAGTGTATATGTTTCTGAGTTGTAAGCTGCCCAGAGTCATTGATTGAGATGGGGAGGGGTAGGAGAGAGAGAGAAAGGGAAGGAAGGAAGGAAGGAAGGAAGGAAGGAAGGAAGGAAGGAAGGAAGGAAGGAAGGAAGGAAGGAAGATTGTAATGTAGCTGGAAGAAAAGATTTTTAGGAGGGAGGGATGGTGGCTAATTGACTGCAGGTAGATTGAATGGTGCATGCCCACATATGAGAATGGGATCACCATGTAGGCATCATAGAGCTGCGTCCAGGTCAAAGGGCTATATAGAAATCTAACTAATAACTAACCAAACCTGTTGGAATTGAGGATAGCACATTTTCTCCAACACTTACATATGCAAAGGGTTCCCCCCCCCCAAGCTCTCTTTTAGGAATCACTAGCATGATTCCCAATACTTTCCAAATCTGATCTGTTTTAATTCCTGTGCCAACTGATAGAGTATTATTATTCTTTGCTACAATTTGAGGAGGCAAACGTAAAGAATTTTATTTTCCGCCCTTCCTCAACACCTTAAGACAGCTCTATTCTAATAGGACAATCCATTTTTTTTCCTTAATCCAATCTTTTGGGGCTCCTAAGAAGCCACATCAGCCGTTTACTTCCTTTCCAACGTCAAGATTATGTCATTCTGTCCTTTCCACCTGCTTTGGCAATTGTCAGACCAATTAATCACTTGTCTTCTTCACATACGCACACACCCCTCCCAGCTTCACATCTCTCCTCTTTTTCCCACCCCCTCCCAACGGGCAAAGCTATCCAAGTCCAGCATCCACAGGCTGGCTTTGATTGAAAGGTTCCTCCCACACGGACAAATTAATGTTGCTTCTGAGCAGCATTAAAGTCTGCTCAGAACTGTTTTTTGCAGTGACATGAAAGGCCTGTTTTTAAGGATTGATTCGGAGACACTAGGCTTGCAGGGACCCCAAAAGCCCTTAGACAGACAGTTGTGTTTCCACTAAAAACCTTCAGCAGTGCATAATTCGTGCAACTTCAGGCATGCAAGCTCTGCTTCATGGAGCATGGAGGGAAGTGCTTGGTGACAGCTTTGGCCCTTGTTGAAGAGGATGTGGTGTAGATAGGGGTCCTCAACCATGGCAACTTTAAGACTTGTGGACTTCAACTCCCAGAATTCCTCAGCCAGAACTCTGCAAGTTGAAGTCCACAAGTCTTAAAAGCTGCCAAGGTTGGAGAGCCTGGTGTAGAATACACACAATGTCCCCTTGGCTCAAGCACAGAAAACTCTTGGTTGCTTCTTCAATCTGCGCGCTGCAATCCAAGCTCACAAGCCTTTATCCTCCAGATGAGCTTTTCTGCAGATGCCGTTGCCACTTCTGGTTGCCATGTTGAAATCTCCTGTCCCCCCTGGAAGATGCTTGATTTTAGCTTGAGGAGTATTTGCAGCTGAGTGCGAGTTGCTGTGTTGCAGCCCACTGTTTATGCTTCCTGGTCTCTCCTACTCCCCTCCACCCTTCTCCATTTTACAGCGACTGCCATTGGCGTGGAAATAGACAAATTGATGATATGATATCATGCAACCTCCTCGCTTTTTATTTTTTATTTTGTAAAAATAGAGGGAAGAAATTTGGAGCTTTATCCATGCTGTTCCCTAAAGGTTCTGCCTTCTGCCTTGATTCCCCCCCCCCCACTGCCCGCCTCTTCTGCTGGTGAGCCATGTGGAATGGACAATGTGGCCTCACATATATCACAACTGCTCTTTATTCTGCCTTGTTTTGAAATACAGATTTGTCTAATTTGTCCTTTACATTTTCTGACTGCTCTGCCACTTCCCCCTTTCCCTCCCTCAATTCCTCTTCCTTTCCTTATTATTTCAGGGATGGGTGTGGGGGGGGGGAGTAAATACAAAAATTAATGTTTGCTGTAGAAAGAAAAAAAAATATGAAGTGTCCTTTGGATTTGCACTTCATTGAAGTGTTCACCAAAAGGGGAAAACAAACTCAGAAAGATTTTATTTCAGATGGATGGATGAATGGATGGATGGATGGATAGATGGATGGATGGACGGATGAATGGACAAACGCGCATAGTAGACCAGTATGTACCAGCAGTGCTCCAAAGAGCCATGTGTGAAATAAAGAAATCTTATTCCTTTTATTTCATTTTTCATTCGAAAGAGCAGGCTTGCAGCCCTGGAGATAGAAGGATGTTGTGGCCCTTAATCAGCTGTGACTCAGAAGAGAGAAATGGCGGCTGGTGAATAAAGGATATCCCTCTGGAGAGTGCAGGATCCTTCTCGCCAGGCGAGACCTGACAGAGAGGCCAAATGAAAGACTCTTGCTGCAGGCTCTCCTCTCATAATTCTGCCAGGATCTATGATGTTGCAGAATCCCAGTGAATCAAATTCGCTGCAATTGTGGCAAGCAGGGTTGGGAGAAGACATCAATCTACAGTAGGGTGCCCGAGCGTGGGTTGCCTTCTTCTTGGGCGTAAGACAGATGGACAATGTTTTCCCCCTTCTCTTCTCTTAGTCCTGCCCTTTTGAGGGTGGTGATTTAACAGCAGCCACGGAACATCACGGAAACTATAGCCGTTGGTGTGTTATTGTCACCGATGAGTTTGCGGCTGAAAGTTTAGGGTGTGGAATGGGATGGATGGCTCTTTTCCCTCAAAATAAGTCCATTAGGCCTAGTTAGTAGGAGCTTTCTTTCAATGTAGACAAAGACGGCAGGTGGCTGGAAAATAAGGATGTGGTTGCTGGATTGTGGTTGTGTTTTGGGCTCTAGAGTGTGAAGCCAGGGGTTCTTCTCCAGGGTGCTGATTCCTGGCCTAAGAGTCTGGTTGGCCTTCCTCAATATACGACCTCAACTGAGCCCCAAATTTTTGTCGCTAAGTGAAAGAGTTGTTAAGTCAGTTTTGCCCCATTTTACAACCTGTCTTGCCACCCTTGTTAAGTGAACCACTGCAGTTGTTAAGTTAGTGACATGGTTGTTAAATGAATCTGGCTTTTCCATTGACTTTGTTTCTCAGAAGGTTGCAAAATGGGATCATGTGACCTCCCCCGGGACACTGCAACTGTCATAAATGTGAGTCAGTTGCCAAGCTTGGGAAAGGAATGGAGGCGAAAGTAGAGGTAAAATTAAATCAAGAGACTGCGAGTGAATTACTCGATAGCTTATCTCAGTGTTTCCCAATCTTGATCACTTGAAGATGTGTGGACTTCAACTCCCACAAATTCCCCAGCTATGCTGGCTGGCTGGGGAATTCTGGGAATTGAAGTCCACACATCTTCACATGGCCAAGATTGGGAAACACTGGCTTATCTCATTAACAGAGCTTAACCCTGGTGGCAAAGACGCTGAGGAGAAAGAACTTGAATAATTCACAGAAATTGAATGAGCTCAGAAGAAATAGACTGGGAAATTCCTCGTTGCTTCCAAGCCTCTGTATATTTTCCATAGATTAGCTTTCATGCTCTCTGTATTGTTTTCTATCTTGATCAGTTGGACGGGGCTTAAGAGTTAACTAAGATGGTCCTTAGTTACATATGTTGTATATAGAGATGTTTATATGTGGGTTATGTATGTGTACCCTTTTGAGAATAAGCAACAGAATTTCATTTTTAATGTGTGCCAGAGTGCCCACAATAAAAAATGACAGTCTTGCCTTGCCTTGCCTTAGCTCTTAGCTCTTGTCCCTTATCCCTTATCTTACCTTAAACCTTAAATCTTAAATCTTAAACCTTAAACCTTAAACCTCAAACTTCATATCTTGTCTTGTCTTGTCTTGTCCCTTAGCCCAGGGGTAGGCAACCTTGGCTCTTTTATGACTCGTGGACTTCAACTCCCAGAATTCCTGAGCCAGCCATGCTGAGTGGAAAGGGAGAGTTTCCAAGCTGAGCCATGCTGGCTCAGGAATTCTGGGAGTTGAAGTCCACGAGTCGTAAAAGAGCCAAGGTTGCCTACCCCTGCCTTAGCCCTTATCTTACCTTAAACCTCATACCTCAAACCTTATATCTTATCTTATCTTGTTAGGGACGAAAAAAACGGACCATACTTTAAGTTCCAGTTAAGAAGATTTATTGCTCATGAGATAGGCAAGAATCTAGCCAACTAACGGTCAGCATTAAATTGTCCTTAGAGAAGAGTTAGCAGAATTCAAGAGAGGATGGACTTAGACCGCTTGTGGGAACGTAACAACTCCAGGCTGATTCCTGCCCCCAGGTTCTGCCTGTCCTCCTCCTACAGTCCTTGGCCTGATCCATGGGGCAATTCTTGTGTGGATGAGCATATAGCTTAAAGCTCTGGATTCCTAGTCTCAAATAAACACTCAGAGCGAAATTAATGGTGCAGATTAGTTGTGATGCCATGGAGGAGATTGGGTTTGCTTCCTCTAGGTGGTATCATCTGATAAACCTAAGAACTGGGCCATGAGTAATATTTCCAGCAGGTTCCCTGCTACTACGTGAGTCTTTTGGCCACACCAACAGCTGTGTTTCTGCCTGCTGCCAGTTTGATTTACCAAAGTAGCCTCCATGATGGCATAGTTTGTGTCTAGGGGCTTTTCGTATATAACCTCTAGTGTGCCACCAGTAGAGTTTGTAAAAAAAAAAAAAAAAATAGAATAACAGTCATCATCACCAGAAACTTTTTCTCTGCCTGCTTTCCTTATAAAGAATGAAAACCTCCGAACGAATCGGGATGTGTATCACAGCAGCTTGTTGTCTGATGTTGCTGTCACACCCCTGAGTCCCAGCCAGGATGAGGTGTTTTGGAGTCTGCCTCAGACTGAAGAACAACCACCAAAGGTAACGAAATTTTGAAAGAATTTTTGGATGAAAGAGAGGATATAAAGTAAGGATATATCACGACATTTCTGGGACCATCACCTTTTTCAAAGTGTGGTCCTGTGGCAAGGTTCTGCCCCATAATAATTCTGGATACCCCTGACAGTTAGAATCAATAAATCAGCTTTAAACAATTCCAGGCTGTTCTAGACTCTCTGTTTTGCTTTGGTTTTTTTCTTTTCATTATTTCCCCCCCCTCTTGGAAGTCTTTCCTGGGCAAGCTTAGTGTGGTGCCCATATTACCACATGGTGGGGGAATTCTGGGAGTTGAAGTCCACACATCTTAAACTAGCTGAGGTTGAGAAATGCTGATCTGGAAATCCCAAAGGTGCTTTTTCAAAAGGCAACTGGATTTTCTTTGTTTTTCCTTGAAGACGTTTCGCTTCTCATCCAAGAAGCTTCTTCGATTCTGATTCTTCTCATCCAAGAAGCTTCTTGGATGAGAAGCGAAATGTCTTCAAGGAAAAAAGAAAAGCACCTTTGGTGCAACCATGACCTGGAATGGGTGAGAATCTCCATAGATACTGATGTAGAAGATGCTACAGAAAAATTGCAGATGTGATCAGTTCTGATTTTCCTGGGCTTTCCATCTTGAAGGTTCCTCAAAGGACAACATCAACCTTTTACACCAGAGAGCAGTGTGGGCACCAGAGTTTCTCTTCGAGGTGGGTGAAATTCCTTCTCATACTGGGATACCTGCAGTTGAGCCATTTGCAGCCTTCAGACAAGTGTAGCTTCAGTCCAGCTTCAAAAATCCTTCCCAAGCCAATAATTCAGAATTTCAGTCGGACCCAATTGTCTTCTATGTAAGCCTATAGCATGAAGGTGATAAGAGAGGGGTGGAGGAAGCTGAGAGGAAGAAGTGGGGAAAAGATGGAAGGGGACAGGTGAAAGCAGACCACTCTGGAACCCAAGAAAACAGCTTTTTGTTGCCGTTCCCAAGAGCTGAGCTCAATTCATAGACATCTTCACTTTTTAGCCGGAAACAGGGAAGGAGATAACTCTGTTCTGGCTCAAATTCATGTTCCAAGTCAGGGAAGAATTTGGGGGTTGTAATGTTTACCTGGCATTTGAGTTGAGCTCTATAAGCCTCTAGGAGTAGTATTTCCAAAACTCAGTGGTGTCTCCAGGACTTTTCAGTGTTTTTAATGGAAATCTTGTTACTCTGGTTTTAGGCACGTTATTCTGGAATTGATTAGCTCTTTGAAGTATATTGTAATCTTGAATGAGTTTTTACAATGGGGTCCTAAGAGCATGGACACAATGTGTAGTGGCTGAACGTAATCTTTTTCTCCTCCTGCTCCTTGTTCTCTTTCTCCTCTACCACTTCCTCCTCCTCCTCCTCCTGTTCTTCTTCTTCTCCTACTCTTCCTCCTCCTCCTCCTCCTTCTTCTTCTCCTTCTTCTCCTCCTCCTCCTCCTTCTGTTCTCCTCCTCCTCCCCTTCTTCTTCTTCTTCTTCTTCTTCTTCTTCTTCTTCTTCTTCTTCTTCTTCTTCTTCTTCTTCTTCTTCTTCTTCTTCTTCTTCTTCTTCTTCTTCCTTCTGTTTGCTTTCATTCTCTTTCTCTTCTTCTTCTCCTCCTCCTCTTGTCTTTACCCTTTACAGCACACAACAGCCACCCCTGGGGGATCCCAAAGGAAAATCCAGTAACAGCTACAAAGATTTCAACGGCAACAGACAAAAGGACCTCAAGTCCCTTCAGAACAGCCAATCAGCCTCAGGTAATCTTTGGGTCCCACTGTAGACTTTCTGAGCGATCCAACGAGTATTTAAGGTGTCCATTCCCAAGGAAAGAGAATGTGGGAAAGCCAGTTCTAGAAGAGAAAAGGGGTTCTGTTAAGTACATTTGTTTGCTAGCTGCTTTGCTCATGCTCGCCCCATCTTCATGTGGCTTTGTATGTGTGGGGGTGAACATCTGCATTCTAGATGTTTCCATTAACTGCAGGGCAAGCTGAAACCCATAGAGGTTTCAGAATTAACTGGTTGTGATATTTCTTTTTCTTCGTCAGCCTTGGCTTTTTATTTTATCAAGCAAGATATGTAAATGTCTCCATCAGAAGAGCTGGAGGGTTGCCTTAAAACAGGAAGGAGAATATTTCCATGTGTTTTACAGCGGTTCGTGTAGCAGAGGTTCTCTGAGCTTGGATGGAAATGAGTCAATGGATGGAGGAGACAGATGAGATGGTGGGATCTAGAGGTGTCCTGGGCTCTGAAGTCAATTGGATGTCCTCAGATAATCCTACCTCTCAACCTAGCCCAGGGCAATCCTGTTTATATTTTTGTGTCTCAAATTCCTTTGAGAATCAAAGTAATATCCTTTTTAGGGTGTAAAAATTTTAGAATGTAAGACTTATTTTAGTTGACAAAATGTTTGGAGTGTAGAGGCCATAAAATTACTCTGTTGCTTAGCAAAAAAATTAAGTTAGAGGTTAGTGAACTTCTTAAATTGTTGATGAAGCCCACTGTTTTAACTTATCTTAGCTAAGTTAAATTTGCTCAGATTATTCTCTTTTAAAACTTTCCAGCGTTTCCACTCTAAAATGTCCTTGAAGCAACACAGAGGTGTTATAAAATAGCAAAAAAAAATATATTAAAAATCTCAAATCCATTTTATAAAACGCAATCACTCCGGATGAAAGAATCCACTGAAGTTTCTGTGTGTTCCTTACCAGTTCAAGTACAACAAATCTGTGAGACGCAAAATGCATCTGTTTGGAAGTTAAGAACAGTTGAATTGTTTTGCTTTGGACAAATGCTGGCAACCACTTCCCCGGGGCAATTATAGATATCTTAAGATCCAGTGCTCATTTAAATGATTAAATCATATGCATGCATCAGCAAATATTTCTCTTTAAACATCCAGAGTCCTCCAGAATAGACAGCAGACATCTCCAGTCCTGTAAGAAACTTGAAAATACATCTCATTCAGGCCAAATTTCAGTAAGTTTTTTCCACCTTTTCCCTTCTAATTCTTCTACAGTTCTACATTATCATTCTGTTCTAGTCTCAAGGTTTATCTTGGTCCTCCTCTTCTTTTAGTTTCATCAATGTTCTTTTTTTTTCTTCCTTTTTATTGTTTTTACTCTAACCCAGGGGTGTCAAACTCAATTTCATTGAGGGCCGCATCAGCATTGAGGTTGCCCTCAGGGGGCCGGTTGGGTGTGGCCAGGGTGGGCATGGCCTATTGGGTGGGCATGGATGGAGTGGATGCGGCCAGTTCTACATCATTCGCGTCAAGGATGCCTGTGGGGGCCTGGGCAGGAGTGGGACAGATCTGAGGATCTCTGGCAGAAGAGGGTGGAACCAGGGCAAGCACCAAGGCATGGTCCACTGGAGGAGCCTCACTCTTCCTCTCAGGCCATGCGGGGGGGGGGCTTATGGAGCTAAGACTGAATACGTTTCAGCATAGATGGCCACCACAAAATTGTACATTGGCTCACAGCTGGCCTGGGCCAGGGCCAAGGCAGCGGTGGCCGTTCCCTAATTGGCCATTCCCTTCGTGGGCCACATGAAACCACTTCACAGGCTGCATCCGGCCCCCGGGCCTTGTGTTTGACATGTCTGCTCTAACCCCTAATGGATGTCTTTAAAAATATATATATCTTTAACATATTTGAAAGGGCATCTAAGAGGTGTTACCAAACCACCTCCCTACTGCTAATGAAGATGTCCATCAAGTCAACTGAAGTCAACCATGGCGTTGAGGGACTCTTTATCCTTTGTCCCCACCTGTTAATTAATCAAATTAAGGTCCCTATCTGTTTACCTCTGCTTTATCAAGACCCAAAGGAGCTCTGTTTTCATTGGGTTTAGGGTTTGGGATGATGTGTGGACTGGTGAAAAGTTTTGACTGTTCAGAGATTCAGAAGATGGGATTTCGATGTTGTGCCACATAGAGCAAGTTAGACTTATCTTCTTTCTGCTTGTATTCGGGAGAAGAATGATGGAGAAGCCATCCCATTTGGAACATTCCACTGGATTAAAATAAGTATCTTGACTGGGGATTATACTGTAGTGGCACTCTTAGGTAGATGTTCATCTCTGACCATAAGCATTTGCTTTGAAGTCGTAATGTTGGACCGTCAGATTGATGATGAGCTGCTCTTCCAAGATTCAGAAGCCTCTTCTGGACTTCTTTGAGAAATTCCAGCTCTGGAAATAAACCATCTTCTGATTGTACCACACATGCACTATTCGGTTTAGGAGCTGTGGTTTTCCTTCACAAGAGTCCTAAAGGATATGAAGGAGAGTTTCATTTAAATACAAAGCCTTATCATTGGCATATCCTAAATCGGTCCATGGATTGATCTAGATATCAGCAAGGAGCAAAAGACTGAACTCAATCAGAATGATTGATGTGTTGACTTTGCTTAGTGATCGTTTGGAGTTACAATGGACCGTAAAAACAGGGGAACAAGGGCTTCACTTAATGATGGTGGTGTTTGCTTTACGATTGCTGTGAAAACTGATAAAATCAGCCCCAACCACACTTTATGGTTGTCTGGACTTACAGCTCATATTGTGGGCTCAATTAGAGTCGAAGGCCGAGAACGACCTGCTTGCTTGAGAACGACCTGCTTGCTTAAAAACGGGCCTTCCCAAGTAAGGTCTGTGTTTGTTGTCAAATATTTATTGTATTTTTATTTATGGCGGGCTTGTATTCCAATCTATTTGAGAAGGATCTTTTATCCTGAAGGCCAAGTTAGAAATACTTGTAATAAATCAGGATTAAAGCAGAGGCTAGGAGAGACAGAAGGACGGTAAAAGTAAAGACTTTGTTGAGATGAGCTCCACTCCTAATCACTTCACGGTCAGGCCAAACAACTTGTTCCTGGCAACGTTGTCATATTTTACCTTTTTTCTACAATATATAAATATTCATAATAAAGATATGTATTTAAAGGGGGCTTAGATCAGGGGCTATTTTGTGTCAAGGCCTTGTACGTGCTGAAGCTACAAACCAGATTTTTTTTCATTCTTAGAGTCCAGCTTTGTGGAACAAGGAGAAGGTCGGCAGCCATCTGCTTCGGAAGTCTCTAGAATATTCCTCCTCCAGTGACGAAATGGGAAGCAGTGACGAGGATGATGAGGGTGACGGACACATAAGGTTGGCTCTCCCAGTGTTCGGCCTCCAAGTCCCTTTTATCAGGGCCCTCGTTGCTTTGAACAGTCACTAAGCGAACAGTCATAAGTTGAGGACTGTCAGCATCTTTTGCTCCCCTCTAGTGGCCATTTGGAATTTCAAAGCCTGAATCTGAATTTGAAAGTTTTTGGAAAGTGTCAGTGTCGGTCTACAGCAGAGGTCTTCAAACTTGGCCCTTTGATGACTTGTGGGCTTCAACTCCCAGAACGCTGGCTGAGGAATTCTGGGAGTTGCAGTCCACAAGTCATCAAAGGGCCAAGTTTGAAGACCCATGAACGATCTTTGATTTGTCCAGCTTCTGATGGTTTGGACTACAGTTCCTGTCCTTCCTGAAAGAGTTGGGGTGTTGTAGTTGATCAGCCTCGGAAGGTTTCTTGGGGAAGATTGGATGGGTTTGCCCGCTTCTGGATGCAGATGGGAGATGACATTAAAGGGTTTGGTCTTGGAGGCTGCTGTTTCTTTGTGTTTTTATTTTTAATGCACGCGTGTGTGCGTGTGTTTATGCGTGTGTTAGTTTTCCTTTTGCGTCTTTCTTGGAGGGTCTTAAAAAATGCATTTATTTTCCTCTCCTCCTCCTCCTCCTCTAATTGGGATTTGTTACTAGGCAACCGCTCGGCAACGGAGTGACCGGCTTCCCAAGGGCAGGAATTGCTGACAGGATCGAACTGAGCTCTCCCTGCCTTGTAGCGGATCCCAAGGTAATTTTCTTTTGCGAAAGAAATCTAGTCTAGTGGATGGGTAAAAAAAAGAGAGAGAGAGAATAGAGAAGTCACATTTTCTTTTGCCCTATTTCAGTGTTTCCCAAACTTGACAATTTTAAGGCATGTGGACTTCAACTCTCAGAATTCCACAGCCAGCATTGCTGGCTGTGGAATTCTGCCAGTTGAAGTCCACATGCCTTAAAATTGTCAAGTTTGGGAAACACTGCCCTATTTGTAACTTAGCTTCACCCCCTTTTTTCCCCAAGTATCTGCTCACATTTTGGTCGTGGAAATTACCCCGTGTTGTGTGAAATTCCCTTTTCTTTGAGAGAGAAAGAAGAAACCTGTAGTAGCTCGGGATAATTTAATTTATGATATCCCTCCTCCCAATGCAACCCTCTCTCAACACAAGTAGTCCTTGACTTATGACCACAGTTGACCCCCACATTTTGTTGCTAAGCGAGACAACAACAACAACAACAACAACAACAATAATAAAGTTGGGAGGGATCTTGGAGGTCATCTAGTCCCACCCCCCTGCTCAGGCAGGAAACCCTATACCATTTCAGACAAATGGCTGTCCAGTCGCTTCTTAAAAACTTCCAGTGTTGGAACAGTCACAAGTTCTGGAGGCCGGTTGTTAAGTGAATCTGGTTTCCCCGTTGACTTTGCTTGTCAGAAGATCGCAAAAGGGGATCACGTGACCCCGGGACGCTGTGCAACCGTCGTAAATACGAGTCAGTTACCAAATGTCTGAATTTTGATCCTGTGACTACGGGGGATGTCGCAGTGTTTGTAAGAATGAACAATGATCCTAGGTCACTTTTTTCAGCATCGTTGTAACGGTCACTAAACTAAACTAAGGGTTCTAAAGTCTTTTGAAAGAAATGGGAAGATACAGGAAGGAAAAAAAAAGGTCTTTAGAAAGGACAAGCACATCTATCTGTGTTTTCCAGATTCGGTTCCCTCGGGACTCCTGCTTTGAACAAGCACGCGAAATCTCCCCGTTAGCCAGATCTTATCCTTTGGCTTATGGGAATTAGAATAATCACATTAAAAACAAAAGGATTAGGAAAGGTTATGTAGTCAGATTAAACGCTTGGGAGATCAGGGCTTCATTTAAACTTCTTTAGCCTGTTTAAACCTCCCCCTCCATATTTGAAGAAAAAAACTTCAGTGAACTTTGTTGCTGTACCGACTTAAAAAACCACAAGTTAAAACCACAATTTCCACCGCTAAGCAAGGCCGTTTATTAAGTGAGTTGCGCCTGGCTTTATGTAAAATGGGGCCAAACTCACAGAAATTTGGGGCTCAATCGTCATAAGTCGAGGACTGTTTTGACTTCCTGGTTTCCTCCGTGTCCCAATATTTCCCCAGGGAATGATTTGACTTTTTCAAAATCTGGTTTCGCCTCTGGATCTCACGGGGCGCCTGCTGGCATCTGCCGAGGCTTCATCCCAGCCAGCCAAGTCCATGGCAGACCGTTTCTATCTTCTGTGCCAGCAATAAACCATCTTTCTCAAATTATGGCTTCCACGCAACTTGGAGAGGAAGAGGCAGCATCCCGTTATCTGCAGTTGCATCCATCCTGGCTCGGCGACCTTTCCAGAATTGCCAGGCTTTTAAATCCAGAAGTCTCATGGGATTATAAAGCTGAAAGGATTCAAAGATTTTTCCACACCACAGCCGGGCCTGGAGCCAGATTGTTTTGTGGCTTAAGTCTGCAAGCCTAGTTCAATCTGAAACAGCCCGAGTCTAATAAAAGGCAATCCGGCGTGTTTGTAGACAGATGTATTCTTTAAAAATTCCACTAGAAATAAAAGCTATCCCAATTCCGCTTCTCTCCCTGCCATTCAAGGCAGCCCATGAATACAATCTGAAGAAGGTTCATTTCTACTGCAAGGGAAGTCCACGATGGACTTCCTTGACAAAGATTTTGTAAAGAATAAGTGGACCGTAGCTCTTGATGCTTTCTCAAAATTTGGCAAGGAAGACTTTAGAATCCTAGAATCCTAGGGCTGGAAGGGACCTTAAAGGTCTACTAGTCCAACTCCTTGCCAAAGGCAGGAGACTGCATATCATTCCGGACAAATGGTTGTCTAATCTTTTCTTGAAGACCTCCAAGGATGGAGCACTGATAACTCCAGGAACCAAGTGGTTCCATTGATTAATTGTTCTCACTGTTAGGAAATTTCTTCTTAGTTCCAAAAAAAGAAGAAGAAAAAGGGAAGATCTTTTCTTACAGCCCACTCCAGACGTTAAGGCGGGGTTTCTCAAACCTAGTAAATTACCCTCAAATTGGGTAAAAAAAATATTTTTTTTTTCCCTTTGAGTAAGGACACATGAGCTCGTTGCCTAGTTGTAAGTGGAAATTTAAATAAGGACTTTCTGATAAACGATAAAAAGAACTTTCTTCTAAGTAGTTTTCCGACTTGGTTGGTTATTGGGAAGGTAAACCGGGGCAGAACCTAGGGCAGTGGTTCTCACCCTGTGGGTCGGGACCCCATTTGGGGTCGAACGACCATTTCACGGGGGTCGCCAAACAACGCAGTCCGCCATTTTTCCCCCTTTTCCTTAGCTGTGCTACTCCCTTTTATTCTATTGTCTTTTGAAAGCCAATAGAATAGACTCTCTTGAATAGAGTCTAATTCTATTGGCTTTTCAAAGCCAATAGGAATTGCCCAGGCTGTCTCTGCTGAGCCCGCCAAAAGTCCCATTCTGCAAATGGTGCTGCACCAGTTGAATAGTCCTCGACTTACGACCGGTTGAGTAGTCCTCGACTTACGACCGGTTGGGGGTCGCGGCATTAAAAAGGTTGAGAACCACTGACCTAGGGTCAGATTTGGCTATGAGGATAATGGAGGAAAAGCTTTGGGAAGCACCTCCTTAAGGTCATTCTGGAAAAATCCTGCTCCACTCAGCCCCCATCCTAACATCTGGAAGAAAGGAACGAAGGATTTTCAGTTCAGAGAGTGATGCTATTGGTGAGACACAGAGATCTTCCCGCTGTAATGCTGTTTTCCTGACCTACTAGGGTTTCTTTGTCTTTTGATCTCAGGCAGCTGAGAAGATAGATAGGCTGGTGGACAACTTGGAAGATGGACATCTCAGGAACCCCACAGACCACGCCCAGGGTCCTTTGAAGCCGTGTTGTCCACCAGCATCCCATTTTCATCCCCATATTACTGTTTTCCATTCCCTGACCCACAGAGTGTTGACTTTCCTTCCATAATCTGATCTCCGTTAGCTTTGAGGTAGGACAGAGATTTGGACAAGTTGCCCAAATTTGTTTCCCCAAGTGCTGCTACAAACAGGAAGAAAGAAAGGTGGAGAGTGGAGAGGGGCACAGAACGCTTCCTTAATCCTGCTTGCAGCTTAGGTGTTCAATGTGTTCTTTGGTGCAGGACAATGCTGCAGGAACAGGTGGCGGTGGCGCTTGTGAAGATCTCTGGAGCATGAACAACCAAAATTATCTGCTGCCTGACCTCCTCCAACAGAGTCAGATCTCAGCAAACCAAGTGATAACTTCTGCTCAGGAACTTCAGGACAATCCTCCTGCTCACCAGGTCAAAGCTCCTTAAACCAGTCACAAATGTTTAACTTAAAAGTCTGGATTTTTAAAACGGGGGAACGGTGAATGTCTGCTGACTACCGCATCCTCTGTGTGCATGATGGGGAAGAGGTCAAGGGGAAATGAGGGGCAAATGGTTTAATAGTTGCATGGCTCTGCAAAAGTGCCAAGTCAAGATGGGCCCTAAGATGTGATGCATCTAAGTTACCATTGATGAGACATTCTATCCATGGGAAGCTGAAGGATCTGTTTTGCTTTGGATATTTCCTGTAGGTGGATCAGATTTACTTCCCCGAGCCTAAGTCCATTATCCATATCCACCTTTTGTATTTAAAGATAGAAAGTGATGGGGTGTAAATCTATCATGCTCCTAAGTAGACTATCACTCATGATCTTGGCTTATGGCCGTGTCTCTTTCTTACATCGCCCTGTTGGGTTTTGAGGGACCTTGGCTGGATTGACTCCAGTTGCTGAGCTCTCTCTCCTGCAGTAAAAACAGCAGTTCTATTTCAGGGCTGCACCCCAAGGAATCAAACACAAAGTATGTGAGACTATTCGCTTCATCATATCCAGCCCACCAGTTGCAAGCAGTTGAAGGTAGGTCCTTAATTTATTTCGGATTCTTATTTTTACAGCAGGCACTGAACACTGATAGTACCCCTTCCAAAAACAGTTCCTCCTCTACATCATCTTTTACCTCCTTCATCGATCCTAGACTTCTCCAAATCTCACCTCCTGCCAGTCCAGCTGGACCAAACTGTGGTTCCCGTAAGTATAGACAAGGTCATCCTTGCCTCTTTTACTAAGTGGTTGGGAATTATGATTTCTGGCAACCAGGATGAGGTTGACGCTAGAGTGGTACAATGTATGGCTTCTGTGCAAAGAATTTCAAGAATCTTCAGAGCTGGTTGAACAGACCATCAGTGTCAAGCTCCAGGTAGGGTGGGCAAGACCAAGAAGCAAGAACTGCCCTAATATCAGTAGGGCCAGCGCTATTCTTTAGTAAATGCAGAACATGGAAACTATAAGAATTATGGGATCCTTGGTGCTTTCTGAGTTTGGCTGTTTTCTTGCAGACGTTTCATGACCAAATTAGGTAACATCATAAGTGCTAGAAGGAAGTGGGGTTTGCTTTCCTATGGTGTTCTTCCCAATCCAGCTGTTTTTCTCCTTGGTAGTTCCTAAATTAGGATACTGTTTTCTGCTTGATTATTTGTCTGGGGTTAATCCCTGCTTATCTGGGTATTAGCTGCTGGAGAGAATGTATTCTGGTTTAAACAGGGAGAAAACTCCACTCCTTTCTAGCACTGATGATGTTACTTAGTTAGGTCATGAAACATCTGCAAGAAAACAAACTCAGAAAGCACCAAAGACCACACAGTTCATCCCTGAGCTACGAATATTCTTTTTCTATTGGCAAGAAGAATCCCCCAGACTGATTTATAGGGAAATATTTAATCAGAGTCTCTATAAATTATTTGAAATGCTTCTGCTTGGATTTCTTGTGACTTGAACTCAAGTGTCATATATGAGGTAGCTGCCAACAGAGTCATCTTCTATCTCTTGATTGTTGACGTCTATCTCTCTTCCATTCCTCTCCCTGCTTCTCCACCATGTCTTATAACCATCATCATAACCAATCCCACTATTATTAGAAAGTAGAATATAGATGTCATGGAGTTGATGCTCAGGCCCAACAGCTACGTTCACAACTCTCCTCTGCTTTTCCTCCCAGCATCCAATGTGACAATGGATCCCGCCAGGCGGCAAAATACAAGAAAAGGTTCTGTGGTCAACGTGAACCCTACCAACATCCGGCCGCAGAGCGATAGCCCTGAAATCCGCAAATATAAAAAGAAGTTCAATTCCGAGATCTTGTGTTCTGCCCTGTGGGGTGAGTAACCTGGTTTGAAGCAGAGAGAGATGCTGGCAAACAGGGCCAGTTCTTCGCCCTTTCAGCTGATGTAGGACACACTGTTTGGAATGTAAAGCTCACATGTGCCACAGTTGCCTCATGTCTGGTCAGCCTGCTTTGGTTTTGCCTTAGTATGTTGAGTTATCTGTGGTTTGATTGTGGATGGATCCAGGCATTGTGCTGTACTCAGCAAACTGTGATCAAGCTGTGGCTTAGTATAATATCTGGACACAGCCATTGAATACTAAGGTGATAGAAGAGATGGCTGTTCAGTCCAGGAACCATTCTTGAGCACTAAGATCATGAGAGAAGTCATTGCACTAGGTAAATGATGCAGTTACTTCACCTCAACAAGATTTTGCTCTACAGAATCCTTGCTTCTTTTTCTCATGTAAAACTAAGACGTGAAAGGTCTTGTGCTTCCATTGTAAGCAAGAACTTGGACCTCTCTTCAGCTGGTGGAGAAACTGGGAATGATGAAGGAGGTCTAGAACTATGTCTTCTTCCTGGCATCTTCTCTCAAGATGTGCATCTAGATACATCTCCTTCCCTCAGTTTGGGAATGTCCTGAGGGCATCAGCTGATGGTCACCACAGGTTCCTACTTCAAAGTTTAATATATTAAATGCAGGACTCCAGTCTTAGTTGTTTCAGCATACATTTTTGTGGTTCTCCACCAGCTTTCATTTTCCGTCTTTCTGACATCAAGCGACAGGCTTCACAAAGCCGGCACAATATTTTTTGCCCATGCCCTTCTGCTTTGACTTAAGTCTTAAATGAGAAGCAAAATAAATGAATGAAAGTGCCAGGAAGAAATTATCCCAGGAAATGTAAATTTACAGTTTACAGCTCTCTGGGTTTCATTTGATGTATGTTTGGAAGAGGCCAAGTTTTTAAATTAAGAACAGAACAGCATAGCAAAGCTGGTGATGATTTGTGTGCTGAGGTGGAGAACACTATCTTCTTATCAGCCTCTTGCTTGGAGCTTCCTTTGCCTTCACACCCTGCCCCACAATACTCAATTCTTCCATTTTTTTCATTCTTTCCATCACAACTTTCCTTATCAACTGTATCAACATGGCCCAGCCTAAGGGAAACCTCACTCCTTCAGCTATCTGTTCGGATCAGTGGAACAGCTGGCCTCCAGAAGTTGTGGGTGCTCCAATACTGGAGATTTTTAAGAAGAGATTGGACAGCCATTTGTCTGAAATGGTATAGAGCAGTGGTTCTCAACCTTTTTAATGCCGCGACCCCCAACTGGTCGTAAGTCAAGGACTACTCAACCAGTCGTAAGTCAAGGACTACTCAACTGGTGCAGCACCGTTTGCAGAATGAGACTTTTGGCGGGCTCAGCCTGGACAATGCCTATTGGCTTTTGAAAGCCAATAGAATTAGACTCTATTCAAGAGAGTCTATTCTATTGGCTTTCAAAAGCCAATAGAATCAAAGGGAGTAGCACAGCTAAGGAAAGGGGGGAAAAAATGGCGGACTGCGTTGTTTGGCGACCCCCGTGAAATGGTCGTTCGACCCCAAATGGGGTCCCGACCCACAGGTTGAGAACCACTGGTATAGAGTCTCCTGCCTGAACAGGAGGTTGGACTAGAAGACCTTCAAGGACACTTCCAACTCTGTGATTCTGTTGATCTTCAGTCCATCATTTCTTTGGTCGCAAAAGTTGCTGGCAACTTGGATTTTCCAGGTTGTTTTCTTTAACTAAACCATGGTTGAAACACAATGGAGATTTCCTACAGTGAGCTGACCCAGCCATTCCAGAGATCTGCTTGTAAGTCCATACTATGTTCTTTGCATGTCAACAGGGGTGAATTTACTGGTTGGGTCCGAAAATGGATTATGGCTTCTGGACCGGAGTGGGCAAGGTCGAGTTTACTCCTTGATTAGCAGGAGACGTTTTCAACAGATGGACGTGTTGGAAGGACTGAATGTGCTCATTACCATCTCAGGTTTGTTTGCTGTCGAAAAACGTCTGACCTAACATTCAATACCAGGCAATGAGAGAGGGGGAGGACTAGACCATGCACTGAATTATAAAATGTGGTCAGCTCTTGCCAAGCCTTACAAAGATGAGCAGTTAAGGGGACTAGTTATGACTAGTCTAACGAAGAGAAGGCTTGGGGAGTTCTGATAGCACTCTTCCAATCTTTGAAGGGCTGTCACAGGGAAAGGGGTGAAAACTTCTTCTCCAAAGCAGAGGCCCTCAACCTTTGGGGCACTAGGGACCGGTTCCGTGAGGGGAGTTTTTCCACGGACCGGAGGGTGCATGGTTATGTGTGCTGCCTGTATCCCACGGATGGGGCTTTGCTTGTTTGTGTGGACCGGTTGCTGGCATGCCATGGCTCGGAACCAGTCCACGGACCAGGGATTGGGGACCCTTGCTCCAAAGCACCTGAAGGCAGGGCGAGAAGCAATGGGTGGAAGCTCATCAGAGGGAGATACAAGCTGGAAGTAAGGAGGAATTTCCTGACAGTGAGGACACTTAATCAGTGGAACAACTTGCCTCCTGGAGTTGTGGATGCTCCACCGTTGGAGGCTTTCAAGAAAAGATCGGATAGACATTTTGTCTGGGATGGTACAGTTAGCCCTTGACCCACGACCGCAAGGGAGCCCAAAGTTTCTGTTGCTAAGTGAGACATTTGTTAAGTGGGTTTTGCGCCATTTTACCACCCATCTTGCCTCAGTTGTTAAGTGAATCACTGCAGTTGATAAGTTAGTAACCCGGTTGTTAAACAAATCTGGCTTCCCCCACTGACTTTGCTTGGTAGAAAGTCGCCAAAGGGGATCACGTGACCTTGGGGCACAGCAGTGGTCATCCATACGAACCTATCTGAATGTTGATCACACGATCCTGGGGACGCTACAAAGGCCGTAACTGTGAAAAACGGTCAAAAGTCCCTTTTCCCAGCGCCGTTGTTAACTTTGAACGGTCACTAAATGAACGGTTGAAAGTCAAGGACTTCCTATATGAGGATTCCTGCCTTGAGCAGGGGGTAGGTCTAGAAGACCTCCAAGGTCCCTTTCAGCCTTATAATTCTATGATCCAGCTTAGCCTAACCGTGATAATGATCTAATTGTCTTCGGAAGACTGGACAGCCATTTGTCTGAAATGCTATAGGGTTTCCTGCCTGAGCAGGGGGTTGGACTAGATGACCTCTAAGGCGCCTTCCAATTGTTGTTGTTATTAAATTTTAACATGCTGCTTTTTTTTTTTGCTTCTGTTCCAATCCACGCAGGCAAAAAGAATAAGCTACGGGTATATTATTTGTCTTGGCTACGAAACAAGATCCTGCGGAATGACCCCGAGGTGGAGAAACGACAAGGCTGGGTGTCGGTGGGCGACTTAGAAGGCTGTGTGCACTACAAAGTTGGTGAGGGTCTTCCTTTTCCTCCAAGGGCACCGAACGCTGTTGAAATAAGGGTCTGGCAAAATGAGGGTCATCCTTCCTTTTTAAAAAAATTATTATTTTATTCAAGACAAGGTTAAAATACAAAATGCAACCCCTTCTCCCCCCCCCCCAACAAAAAGAATCTAAAGAAGACAGAAAAGGGGGGGGGAAAGGACAAAACACAGAAAACATTTTAAAAAGGTGCATCAAAAAAAAAAAAAAACCACCACTTTAACCGAGGGATAAAATCGAAATCCCCTGAAGTGTTAATTCTCCTTTATAAGACCTTGTTAAAGCCACACTTGGAATAATGCATCCAGTTTTGGTCACCAGATTATATTAAAAAAAAAAAAATGCTGAGACTCTGGAAAGTTTTAAACCGGCTTCCATCATCTTCAGACAGCACATCTGGAGGTGATGGAGACTCAAATCCAGCACATCTGGTGGGCATCCAGTTGGAAGAGCCTTGAGGAACAGATTCACGAAGCTCGTGTTGAACATTGCTGACCAGCCTGTCTCTTAGATGCATTAAATTATTATGGGCACGTGAAGTGCGTAAAAGTACACAGAAGCAATTTCACGACAGAAATATATGACAGAAACCAATCTGTTTATTTATTGGCACAATCTAGATTTGGAGGTTAATACAACCCTTGTTTCTACAATGTAGGATCCCAGGATATATCTTACATCTATATACAGGGTGCTCAGGCAGAATATTTGCATACAATCTGTAGAATGAGATGCAGGCTATGGAGATAATTTTCCCCCAAGATTTATATTATCATTGATGTTCTGTTTTTAACATAAGTCATTACATAATGATTCTGCTGGGGCTTGATTACTGTCAGCTCATTCCAGCTTTGAATTATTCCTGAGTAAATATGTAAATCAGGAACTGTGGTCGATCTAGGAGCTAGGAATTCTAGGATAAGCAGTCATGTAAACCGACCAAGGTCTTTGCATGACCCTCAAGTGTGTACGGCACTGTAGATCAAATCCCATTGTGTTGATGCTAGATCAAAATCCTGTTACATTTGACTGCACGCTCTGGCTGTTTAAACAGTGATTTAGAATGCTCTCTCAATCTTTATGCCTAGCCAATTAAAGAAAGAAATGATTGCTTTCTAGTGAAATATGAGAGGATCAAGTTTCTGGTGATTGCTGTGAAGAATTCAGTTGAAGTCTACGCTTGGGCTCCCAAGCCATATCATAAATTTATGGCTTTTAAGGTAAATGGTAGAACTTCAATCAATTCAATTAGTGCCTTCTTGAGGGTCCTGGGAACATTTGGCTAAGGAAATGAAGCGAAAGGATTTTCAACCCATTGCACTTCTTCAGATTTGTGGGTGGGTGGGTGGGGGGCAGTTGTGATAGGAAAGTAGTGCAAATTGTGTTGTAAATCTATGCTGCAGGTTTATCCAAAACTCTTAACTGATTTGCTTTTCATGTACAAAAACGGCAGGCAAAGCTGGGCGGGGGTGGTGTTAAATGTGTCATTAGCTTAGAATCCTTACTTTGCCATAAATGTGTGTAGGCTTGAATACATCTTTTGTGCTGCAATGGTCCTGATCCTTTGTGCCTGACTTTTCAGCCTGTACCTGCCTTTCTACCTATATCAATCCTGATTCTAATTTTATTGTGTCTACTTCATAAGAAAGTTGGAACATGCATTGGCAGATAGTTTGAATCACTTCTAGAGGTGTCAAGATCAGCAAGATGGCAGGTGCGGGGGTCACCATCCGTCCCCCACCCTTTTTGCATGGGCATCAATGCCACACGCACAACGGCACGTCCACCATCTCGCTCATTTGAGTCCCCCAGTTGAATATTCATGATCATGTGATCTGCTCAGATCCAAGTTCATAACTGCGTGTAACCGGTATCCCAATAATAAAGCCAAATGTGTCGATCTCTCTTTTGTGCAGTCCTTCACCTCCCTTCCTCAAAAACCACTCTTGGTGGACTTGACTGTGGAGAACGGGCAACGGCTGAAAGTTATCTATGGATCAGCAGTGGGATTTCATGCCATTGACGTGGACTCTGGCTCGGTGTATGACCTCTATTTGCCGACACATGTGAGTATCTAGATGGTGGTGTCGTGCTTCAGCTGTAACTAGCCATCTTGACTGATGATGATGATGTCGTCATTGCATAGGACAATTTTCCCTCTCTAAGGCATCCTCCCCAATGTGTGGACTTCAGCTTCCAGAATTCTTTATCTTAGCCTTTGCTGGGACGTCAACACATTTGAAGGACGTCAGACGGAGATTGGCTGATTTTGAATGTTTCTCCTGACATTTTTGAATCCTTTTTATTTTATCAAGTTATTTACACTAACAACCTTCTCATTGGTTCACAAAAAGGATGGGATGATTAGCTTAATGGAGCACTGAAGATGCCTCTGCTCTTTTTTCCCTCCGTTGCATCTCCGGAAAGGAGGAACATGAAGTCAAGAGATCACCCCTGGACTGTGGCGGTGCAGAGGTTAGAATGCAGCATAGCAGGCTAATTCTGCCCACTGCTTGCAGTTCGATCCTGACCAGCTCAAGGTTGACTCAGCCTTCCATCTTTCCAAGGTCGCTAAAATGAGGACCCATATTGTTGGGGGGCAATAGGCTGACTCTGTAAACTACTTAGAAAAGGCTGTAAAGCAGTATATAAGTCTTAGGTCCTATTGCTATAGCCAATGCAACCCTCTGTAGGAGATACTTTATTTATATTTTATTTTATTTATTTTATTTTAGAAAATTTATATAGCCGACTGTTTGCTTACGGAGACTCTCGGTGGCTTACAGACACAAACACAGTGTAGGAGAAATAATAATAATAATAAAAATATATAAAATAATAACCCAACCCCCCCATTCCCTTTAAGCACACACAAAATAAGCTGGTTTTAGGAGAGGATATGAACATAGAAGAAAGAGGCCATCGGATGGCCTGAATAAAAAGTAAACCAGCCAATGAAAAGGATCATGTTTTTAAAGAAAAGATTGGCTTTGACGGCAGACCCCCCAATTTAATTATTTGCGCAAGGAACAATCTCTCCCAATCAGTTGCCCTCAATAGGGGGTCTCCCCTAGGAGACGTGCGATTCCTATTTCAGCTCGCTTGTCACCGTTAAGAGGGAATACACTAAAAATACACCTTCCCTCAAGAATATAGGAATGGAAGTACGGTTCCTGCCCTCCTTCTGAGCTGCAGCCGTCAGGATTGGAGACGTGAATAATTGTCTTCTGAAATTCTCAATTTGGAGCCAGCGTCTTTGAAAGCCAACGGACGGAACTCGTCTCTCTCTCTCTTTTTAACCTTCTTGCTTCTGGATCCCCAGCTTTGATTGCTCATGCAACTCAATCCAAGGCAGCATATTAAAATAGCTTTCCGGCTCTGGGTCCCTATTCTGGTGTTGCGGATCGTTGCAGCCGTGATCCCAGACCGCACGGGTGGGCAAGTACGTCCAGCAAGTAAAATGTGCTTTTCCTTTATTTGCAAGATTTGCTTGGCAATAGAGTTGCATGAAGGTCTTTAATGGGCCTTGGGTTTGTTCCTTGCGTTTAAAAAAAAAAAAAACCCACTAATAGCAGCCATCCATCCCAACTTAATTAGATTTTGAGGAGCTCAGGTCTCTTGCATTGTAGAGGGGTTATTGTCGGCAGAATTAATTTTACTTTCTGGTTTTTTGTAATGGCAAAGCATTCATTTTAGGGATGCTGCTGCAAATCCTTTCTCTCTCTCTCTCTCTCTCTCTCTCTCTCTCTCTCTCTCTCTCTCTCTCTCTCTCTCTCTTGAGAAGCACGTGAGGATTTGAGAAGTTATATATTCTAAATTGCTTAAAGCTCTTTGAACATTTTATAGCCTGGACTGGGAGGCTTCTCTGCATCTGGATGGAATGTGTGCCAAGGAGAGTTTAGTTTGGGCGTTTTTGAACACAACTTGTTTCCTCCTGTGGGTGTTTTTATCTCTGTCTTAAAGATAAGCCTCTAGATGACCTTCAAGCAATGTCTGTATTTATTTAGAGGAAGAGAAGTAAAGCTGGAACGTAGCTGGAACTCAACCAGAGAACCACTAGGACTTAGACGGTATTAAATAGGGATTTTTCTCTGCATCAATCCAGACTCGAGGGTGACGTGATGTTAGGATGAAAAGAATCGACATTACCTTGATTTGAAGTCCAGCTCTCCTGAAAGGGGCTATTTGCTGTCGGTGAAAGGAGAAGGCCAGAACATGTAGGGGATGATGTCCCCACAAGGGATCTCCTCCTGGTGAGGTTTTCTTTAAAGAAACCTGTGGGGAGCAGGTTTAACCCCAATCTAGAATGCCTTCTTCTTCCCAGGTGTTGATTTTAAAGATGGAAAGACGGGAAATCCATCCTTGACTTCCCTTAGAATCTGGCTTGGTTATCTCACATAATGCAGTAAAAAAAAAAAAAATCTCCTTTTTTCTTTTTCATCCATGTCCCTTCTCTTTGGTGAAAGCAGGTTGAGGTGTGCCCTCTGTTTCAATGCAGAAGACCACTCTGGTGGACATTTCATGGGTGATGTTCTTCTGTCCTTCTAGTGATGAGGCAGCCCAGGAGAAAGTGTCAATGCCCTCTCTTTGGATAATAATGTTTCCCTCAGTCATTCTCCCTTGGTTCTCCTAAGTCTATCAAATATCTAAGAAACTCCAGATTGAGAGACAAGTTTAGTGTTTCGTCAAACTTTATGCCATGCAGTCTGGAATGTTATCATCAGCGTCAGCTGAGGCAACAGGCAGAAAAACAGGCAATTCCAGTCGCACACATCGAAGAGGTAAAACGTAAGGTTGAAATAAAAAGATGCTTATAGTAAGATGAAGTGGCCTCTCTTTTTCCTGTCAAGATTGAGCTTAGGCTTATAAAAACGATGACAGCGGAACTAATAAAACAAAGAAATAATTGCTTTCCTGTTATTGTTGCACTGTTTGCAGATCTGTCGAACTAGAAGTCACGTAGTATATATATATATATATTTTAAAAAACCCCACACAATGTATTAATTTCTTGCTTACATTGCTCCCCTCATATATTGGGAAATAAAATGCGTGCAAAATTCTTCGATATTGCAATTTAGTTGCGTCACCTTTCTAACTACCTCGTACAGCAGTTTTGTGATTCTGTATCCCACCCACCCACCCCCATTTTCAGATAGAACTGAAGTTTCAGCAGTTTCTGGTGAATTAATGCAAAGTTATAGAACCAAATACCCTCCCCATCTGAACCAATAATTTATGTATGCCATGCTAGGAAATGATTGAGAACAGAACTGAGAAATAAAACCCTTATCATTAGAATAATCTCAGTCAGCCTGTGTGCTTTTATGTAATCTATTGCTATATTGTCGTTTATTTTTAGACTGTTTTCTATAATTCTGTAATGCTCAGAAGAATTTTTAACAGGATAATTTCTATGCTAAGGTGCCCTTTACAATCATTTTTACAATGCTATTGCAAGTCCTCCTGCATCCAAATTACTCTGGGTTTTATTTATTTTCACAACATGAAACTGCCCAAATTCAAAGGCGAGTCCTGAATAGGCAATCTTTGATATTTAAAGGGGGATAAAAGAAACACCCCTTCTCAGGTAGCAGCTAAAACTTGGTATTAAAAAAGAAAGAAGTGTCTTTTCCTTTGTTATCGGCTCTGAACACAGGAGAAAGTACATTGACATTTTCAAAGAGATAAATCTTTTTCGCTTCTCCGATCTCCAAGCTAGTTGGTTTTTAAATGCTCTGTCATGACACCTAAATTGATGGACTGTAGTTACTTAAGTTGTAACTTGTTCCGTGATGTAAATCTTCCTAAAATATTATTCCAGATCCAGGGAAATATTCATCCGCATGCTATTATCATTCTCCGGAACACCAGTGGGATGGAACTTCTACTGGCTTATGAAGATGAAGGAGTCTACCTTGATATTTATGGGCACTTCTCCAAAGAAAACATTTTGCAATGGGGGGAAATGCCCACATCAGTAGGTATGTAAAATGGACTGGAAGTAGAAGACATACTAAAACCACATCTACCTGCATGTCTGACAGTGCCACTGATTGCAAAAAGTGCTGAGGTTTGTAGTTCCGCATCTAAATTTGTTTTGGGCACCTACCAAACATGGGAGTGGACAAATCACATTTACTCTTGTTCCTTCAAAGTCCTTGGTTCACGGTGGTGTTCTTGCAGATGTTTCATCACCCAGCTAGGGAGCATCATCAGTACTAGAAAGGAGTGTAGTTTGCAAAGAAGAGGAGGAGGAGAGAGGGAGGAAGATGGTCAGGTCCTTGTTGCTCTCTGAATATGGTGGTTTTCTTGCAGTTGACAACTTCAGTGGTTGAAGGAAATAGGGTTTGCAAAGAGGAAGAGAAGGGCAGGAGGAAGAGGACTGTGGGGTCCTTGGTGCTCTCTGAGCGTGGTTGTTTTCTTGTAGACATTTCATTCCCCAACGAGGTAACAACTTCAGTGGTAGTAGGAGTGGGATTTGCTCTTTGTTTAAGACCAGAACACATCCTCTCCAGCAGCCAACACCCAGATAAACAGGGATTAAGACCAGACAAACAGTCAAGTGGAAAACAATTCCCTAATCCCAGAACTACGACGGAGAAAACCACACACCCCGCTAACACTGGCAGGACAACCTAATGTATATAAATAGGGAGCACACATCACACTCACTAGCACTGATGATGTTATCTAGTTGGGTAATTGAAACGTCTGCAGGAAAGCAACCAAGCTCAGAGAGCACCAAGGACTCCACAGTTCAGCCCTAGCAAACAAATATTCCCTTCTCTTATTACTTCGTAGAGCAGGGAAAGTTACTTCCTTTTTGGTGTTGCCATTATCACAATACCTTACCTTCCCAATGATTTTTTTTAATTATTAAGAATCAGAACGGCATGGTATAATTAACACATGTCAAGACAATTGTTTTCCCTGGTACATTAATGTTTAACACTGTCTGTATAATGTCAGGTTCTCTCACCTGACAGTCTAGCATTAGCTGCATGATGTGAAGTTCTCAAGAGATAAAAGAGCTATCAGCAGGTGAGAATTAGAAGGGGAAAAATCCTAGTTTTTGATACTGAATCTGTCTGGAAATTTTAAAAATATATCCTGGAGGAAGCAGGCTAGGTTACAGCTCACTATAATAATACTGGAAGGAACCTGGAATGCTGTAGATTATTTTTTCTCCCTATCTTGGTCCTATGTGCAGCTGAAAAGGCAGAATATTTGATTTTTTTTTCTATTAAAGTAGAGAAACGTCTCCATTTCTCAGAACCAGGTCTGAGGGTTGAAAGGAAGAGCTAGGATGGAAGCAACACAGATGGATTTGTGCAGGCAAAGCCTCGGATCGATTAATTGTAGTCAATGTTGAGCGAAAATATAAAAAAATCATTTTTTGGCGGGGGGGAAGGCAAGGACGAAAGAACAGCTTTTTTTTTTCCCTAAAAGGGTCATCTTTGTTTTTCTCTAGACATTGGTTACAGTTCAAGGGGGACTCTATTATTTTGTTTTTTGAGGAAACATTTTCCCAAGTAGGTATCTAGTCAAAAGTAAAAGCCACACTGTTTTCAGGAAGCTAATTCTTCACTTATTTCAACCAGCTTCTGCGTCATGAACGTTAGCAATAAAATAAAGCAATTTGCAAAAATTTAAACCGGTAAAGACAGAAGGGAGGAATGAAATGATCAATAGAGGTCAAGACATGAAACATAGGGAGCTCTTTAAGAATTTAAGGCACTAGACTGGTGGAGTCGTTCTAGTAATTGGAACAAGGAAACTTAACTCCGGAGGGAAATTAAAGTGGTGAAGCTACCGTACTTAAGCGGTTGATTCTTCAAAAGATGCAGAGCTGAAATTTCAGGGCTTCTCTGGACAAGAGGCCGATACTCTGAAAACAAGACGGCAGAAATATTAGAAATAGATCTTTTTTTCTTTTGCTTCAGTCAGTTTGGATAAGGGGACACCAGGAGTTTTAGAACACTTGTGTGCCTTCTTTGAAATTTAGGGATGAGGGGATATATTTTTCTGGTTCCTCAAAAGTCTTAAATTACCCATGGAATTAGGAGCATGGCTGCACCAATTTTCCAATGGAAGATAATCTCTGTCACTCAGGTTTGAACTGTGGAGCCCCTTGTGATCTCTAAGCAAGGTTGTGTCAACCTTGCTTGCAGACATTTCATTACCTGACTAGGTAACATCATCAGCGCTAGAGAGGATGGGATTTGCTCCCTGTTTAAGGCCAGAACACACCTATTCCAGCAGCCCAAACCCAGAAAAGCAGGGATTAACACCAGACAAATAATCAAGCGGAAAACAATACCCTGATCTAGATTTGGATTACCCATAGAATTAGGAGCATGGCTGCAACAATTGTTCTAATGGAAGATAATTTATGTCACTCAGGGTTGAACTGTGGAGGACTTGGTGGTCTCTGAACTTGGTTATTGGCTTGCAGACATTTCATTACCTGACTAGGTAACCTCTTCAGGGCTAGTGAGGGTGGGGCTTGTTCCCTGTTTAAAGCCAGAATGCACCTACTCCAGCAACTAATACCCAGATAAGCAGGGACTGACACCAGACAAACAATCAAGCGGAAAACAATACCCTGATCTAAGAAGAAAAGGGGGAAAAAATCTGCTGGATAGAGAAGCAACACCGTAGGCTTCATTTTCCCCCCCAGCCAACTACATCACGGAGATCAGAAGGCCCAAGCAACAGACGCCATAATCTATTTATAGGAAGGTGCAGCTCTGGGACTGCAGCCTGGTGATCGAACAATAGATGGGGCAAGCTCTGACTTGCCTCGATGGGAACAAACAGTCCGTATTTTTGGATGCCCGTCAACATCTGGAAATGTCATCTTTTATTTATGAAAGTGTTTCTCTCCTTATGTCAGCTGGAAAGCTTTCCCTGTGCAGTCTACCGATTAAGATAAAGCCTGCTGTCCCTGGCCTTGACCTTCAAATTGAAAAGGTTGTGATAATAAAGGGAAAAAAGAAAGGAGGCAGGTGCAAAGAAGGAAAACAAGAAGAATCTCACTCTAGTATGGATCTTGGCCTCTCCCCCCACACACACATCCTGCTGGAGGTGTAACTTTCTCTTAGGAGATGGGATTGTCAATAAAGGAAATCACATTTAACTTTGGCCTCAACGAATTAAGAACACTGGCCTTCAACTTAGTAGAGCATATATCTAAGTTACATTGCCCCCCCCCCCCAAAGGCTTGGAAGCAGCATTTGAAAAAGTCCCACAATGTGGCTCCAGGAGCTTGTAAGATAATCCTGTCCAAGCTAAAGCCCAAATCCCACAGATTGTAATTCTTCTTCTTATCAGATGGAGCCTTCGCTACAAATACTAGAAGTGTGAGGAGGGGGTTACTATTGCCAACAGCTTCCCGTGAACAGGACCATTTATTCAGCCCTTTCTCTGTCACTTGTCTTTGTTTTTGTGGGTTTTCTTTTACTTTTTTTTTTTAAGAAAAAGCTCTGTTAACTGTTTTTTTTTTCTTTTTTCTTCCCAAAAGCATATCTTCAGTCCAATCAGGTGATGGGCTGGGGCGAGAAAGCAATTGAACTGCGCGCTGTGGAAACGGGATGTCTGGAAGGCGTGTTTATGCACAAGAAAGCTCAAAAGCTGAAGTTTCTGTGCGAAAGGAACGATAAGGTAGGTGTGCAGAGGTTGGAAGGGATGGGAGGGAATCCATCCGTCCCTCATACCAGAAGAAGAATCTGGCGTTGTGCTTAGTTGTGCTTCCAGAAGAGACAAGAGATGTTCTTCTGGTTGAAGAACCTGGTTAGAAAGTTAGATTTCCCCCGACGTGGCAGTTTATGCCTGTGTTGGGAGGGGTGGTATGGAATTCGCACCCAAAGATGAGTCAGGTGTTTTTAGTTGTGCTTCCAGAAGAGACACAAAACGTTCTTCTGATTGAAGAACCTGGTTAGAACCTGGTTAGAAGGCTAGATTTCCCCCAACGTGGCAGTTTATGCCAATGTTGGGAGGGTTAGATTAAAGCAGTCTTCGTGTTTATGTCTGCCGAAGTATGTGCACTATTATCAAATTGTGCTCAATATTTTTTTTAAAAAAAGTTGGAGTGACACTTTCCTTATCTCTCTCCTCAAGGTATTTTTCGCCTCTGTTCAGTCCGGAGGCAGCAGTCAAATTTACTTTATGACCCTGGGCCAAAACGTACTGTTCAACTGGTAAATCACTTTGGAATGAAGGAACGTTTGACTTTCCCAGTTTCTATGAGCCATATAAAGCTTAAGTTCATTTCAGAAGTTGGCCCCTCATCCCTGCAACGAAAAGGAAAAGAAAACACCCACGACCCTCACACTTTCCTGCAGTTGCGGAGGGTACAACTCTTGCAAATGTATTGTCCGCTGTTTGAAATTTGCTCTTCGGTATCCCGGAGAGCCCGTTTTTTTTTTGTTGTTTTTTAAAGGCAGTTGTGCCAAGCACAATTGCACCGTTGAAGGCAAGCTTCCCATCTTACAAAATATGCACAGAGCTGGGGGAAGGGAGGGTTTTGCACAAAGATTGTAATGTTGTTTTGTTCGGTGTTCAGGGGGAGGAGGGTGTTTTGGTGAAACGGTGTGCCCAGCTAGGCGTGTTCCATGCAAGCACACCTAGCGATGAGGTGGAGACAAACCTTTGGATTGCTCAATTAGTTTGGTGGGCTTTGGCTTTCCCAGGTGTGGATCTACCTTCTTCTCTGAACTCATCGGTAACATCTCTGTTGGCCGGGAAATTTCACAGCCTTGTGAAACATTCATTCATTTCAGCAAGGAGTATCCACAGGGAGAAATTCCCAGGGGAAGTCTATGTTCTCAGCAATTTGAGGCTAGAAGTGTCCTCGGGGACACCAACAGCCCGGTTTCTTACCCGATTTTGCAATTGTTTATTGCAAAGCACGGTCTCTTCTCGTGCGTGCTGTTCCATCAGATTTCTAAGGATATTCTAAACCATGAAAAAAAATATCCTCAAGCAAGATACTGCTTTTCTTTACTTGCTCAAGCGGTCGCTAATATTTGAACGAGATGGACTCCCATCCCACTTGGGATTCAAGCTCTTCCAATTTTTTTTTATTCTTGCATCTCAACGGAGAACTTCCATTTAAGTGCTTCGTTTCTAATGTAATGGTAGGATCAACCGCCCCTCCCAGAACGAGGTCTAAAAGCCACTCTAACTGGAATGACCACAATGTCCATTATCCTCACAGGTCTGGGACAATTCACCACGGGCAACTCGCTGCGGAACAAGGGTTACACTAATGTCAAAGAAATGGTGGAACAGAGTCATTAAAGAAAGGATGCAAAAGGAGGGACAGAATTGAATGTGAATGACAAAAATTTAATTATTTTAAATAATTAAATTGAATTGTTGAATTGTCCTGTAGCAAGTTAGCCATGATGAGTTTTTAAGAAGAGACTGGACAGCCATTTGTCTGAAATGGTATAGAGTTTCCTGCCTGAGCAGGGGGTTGGACTGGATGACCTCCAAGGTCCCTTCCAACTTTATTATTATTATTATAGTTGGTCACAGTGACTTGGCCGTGGTAAGTTGACTGTAGCAAGTTGTCTCATTCCAAACCTCACTCCTGAAGCTTAGATTAAAAAGAAAGAAAGCAGGAATTTTATATCAGTAACATCTCACTGAGGGACACATCTCTGGAACGACACACTGTGTGGTTCCACCATAATATTATATTCTCAGGGTTTACAATTTGGGTTGTACTCTTTCTCAGGTTTTGCAAGACTCCACTAAAGTTTGTACAACCCTTTGGGAAAATGCAAGGCACTATTTTATTTTATTTTTTAAGGCGATGAACACTTTCGACAAAATTATTTTTCTCCAAGAGAGAAGGGTATACACCTAAAGATTACGAGAAAGGTGGGATGTGTGAAGGATTTAAACAGGCAGTGAATTAAATTCCAGCATGAAATTGCCATCAAGTGTTTTTTTTTTTTTCCTGAGTATTGCGTTTTCTTGCATGTTGCACTTGCAAGAGGTATGTGGGATTCAATGCCTCATATTTCCAGTCAAACGCATATCTGAGACCTGGGCTGGGAATCCCATCTTCTCGTCAAGTCCCTGGAGAAGCAATCACTGTTCAATGGAATAAGGGCTGTTAGAGAAGGAACCGATTGTTACCCTCCTATAAAGACATAGTATTTTGGAAAAGAATTGGGAAAGGAACACTGCTACAATCAGGCTATGTTCTCAATTTCTAGGCATCTGGGGAGTTTATCCAAAAGCCAAAGACTGGAGTAGGGAGTGGAGGGGCTTTTGTCATGAAAACAATTTTTTGAAAGACTTCTCTTAAGTTTCTTTAGCTTTCTTAGGGCAGCCAGGAACTCCTGGCCATCTTTTTAAGGGGTGAAAATAACTTGTTTTTAGGGAGTGTTCCTCTTAAAGGGATAGCCTTTTGTTAATTCCAAGACACACAGTCCATTCGGCAGGCTGGCATTGTGCTTTTTTTTTTTTCTTTGTTCGTCGTCACAACGCTGAACAAAGAAAAAAAATGCACAACGCCAGCCTGCCGAATGGACCGTGTGTCCTGGAATTAACAAAAGTGTCCTGATCACTCCCGTCTTGGTTCAAGTACTTTTAATAGTCTTTATCAAAATATAAAATGCAGAAACACAAAGAACAGTGAAGGTAATGGGGGAATAGAGGAGGGAAAAGGCGTATAAAACTCACTTAAACGTCTTACCTAGCAACAGAATTTTGAGGCCCGGTTTTTGTTGTAAGTTGGGAACTACCAGCATTTTGAAATTGGTGGAAGATTGTGACACTCGCACTGTGAACTAATGAAGTAATTGGTGTGCTCCATAGAAAGAACACTGGGTTGCCATAGGACACGATTCACCAATTTCTTTTGTGTCACCCAGTTGCGATAGTTAGGAAGTGGATGTGTTATAAGCAGGGCTAAAATAGATCCTATGATTCTGGACACAAAAATGGTCCAGCTGGAAAGGATACCCTTGGTTCTTGGAGCTGATTGTTCTCACAACTAATGTTGCATTTCTGTTTAAAAATTAAAAGCAGACCTGAATAATAATACTTTATTAAAAAGTGAAAAGACTGGGGAAAAAGAGAGGAGAAAACTAGGAATTTTTGAACTGTGTTCTATGCATTTTCCAAGCTCGAAAGCACATTCCTAAGTCAGAGATAATAAGATTGAAACTGAATGGGTGGAAACAGCTGCAATCTATCCCTTCAAAATTATTTGGTGTCCATGTCTCCAGACTTAACATTCTCCTAGCATTTTTACTTGATAAAAAACTTTTAAGAGTTGCTTGTTTTCCCAAAGCTCATATATTGGGAGGGCATGGAAACTGAAAAGCTGCAAGTCTTCCTCAGGAGACTTTGTCAAAGTAATTGGGTGGAAAAAAATCTTTCAGTCCCTGTTTATAACTTTGGAGGTAATATTAGAACGTAGTATTTCTCCTATTGATAGCTATCTATCTATCTATCTATCTATCTATCTATCTTTAATTAATTGCCTTAGGCATCTGGACAAAAACCAAGAGTGAACCTTGACAGGAAGGGGACCAAATGAAGACAGTCTCTAACTTAAAAAAATATAGAAGAATATATATTTAACTGAACTGTTGCAATAGCAGCTGGGCTGCTGTTATCCCTGGGGAGAGAGCATAGAAATTAATATACTCTGGTTGGGGAATTCTGGGAGTTGAAGTCCAGATACCTAAAGGGCTGCTTGAGGAATTCTGGAAGTCCACCCATCTTAAAGTTATCAAGGTTGACAAACACTGTCATAGACCAATGAGAAATAGTTCAATGCACAGCCCAGCTAACAACAACAACAACAAAAATGATCCTCAGAGATGCAATTTCTTATTTTCAAATTGGCTTATTTATAAGTTGGCAGAATTGTCGCTCCATTTAGCACAACTCACGTATTTCCTGGTCTGCTCATGCTTGGTTGCACTCTTCTGCAAACTGATGCTTTCCAGATGTGGTAGGGCAGTGGTTCCCTGCTATTTACCAGGACCGGCTGAAATAGATGAATCTTTTTGCAAAAGCAAAATAAGTCCAGGGAAACTTCTATGTCCAGAAACCCAGCGAGCTGTCCTCCATGCAAGTCACAATAAACCTATTTTGTATGTTTACGATGACATGAGACTAACTGGGAACTACATCTCTGAGACTTAAAACCCATCCCAAATGGATTTTTCTTTTCCTGACAGCTACTTTGCTGAATCACTCCTCAAAACTCATTTTCGGGAAGCCATTAGCTATAACAAAGTGAAGCTCTTTCTTATTCCTAGTACATAATTAGTATGACAGTTAAGATGGGACTCTTGATACATGGCAGGTAAAAAGGAAGGGAAGACGTGTTGACTTTCTGGTTTCATTTAAAAACAGAGTGAGAAGGAAGTTGTGTGTGTACCTGCAGGGGACCCAGATGGTTGTCAACAGCTGTTGTCGATGTTCTGGCTGCCTGCCTAAATATCCTTAACTTGGAACAAGCAGGAGGACCAGTTTCTGAGCAAGTACACACACATAGGGGTGCAATGTGCAACTGTTTTTTCCCCCCACAATTTGAAAATAAATTCAGCAGGTGGAATTTAATCTGGTATATCTTCCCAAAAAGAGTTCCTTCAAATAATTTAATCTTTAAAAGCAAAAGAATCATCCTAGACTTTCTGATACTATAGGAATAAAGAGAGATGAGTATTTTTTTTAAAAAAATGTTTTGATGGGAAAAGAAGAAATAATTTTAAATGCAAAGTCATCCTTCTCTCCCTCCCTCCCTCCCTCTCCTTCCTTCCCTCCTTCTCTCTCTCTCTTTTTCTCTTTTTCTCTCTAGGATAAAAACGGTGTATTTTGCTTCTAAGCTTGTCAAATCCAAGTCTTAAATTAATAGGAAGTTTTGTTTTGGTTCAGTCTAATTACAAAATGCAGCACTGTGAAAAAACAATCAAGATCGATAGTAGATAGTAGCAAAAACAAAAACAAGTGTTCCAAGAAATAATCAAGCGGATGAAATGCCACTGAAGAGGAGAGAGTATAAAAGGAGGTTAGTAGATAAAAGAAAAAGAATGTTAGTAGAAAGCAAAATGAAAGAAAAGAGGAATATTGCAATTCTAGATAGGCGTGGAAAGTACGTGAGATATATATATATATATATATATTGAGAAGGCTGATATTTAAGAATTCATATCAGTGTTTTAGACTATATTAATTATCGTGCGGGCATTGCCTGGAGAGTGAAAAGATTTCCGAGGGATTGGTAATGCTTAAATAAACATTTAGCCTTTTTCCGTTGTATTTGTTCCTAGTATTTTGTTTATTCTTTTAAGGGCGGTCTCTTGCACTAAGCAATGAAGTTATTTTGTATGAGGTTTTTGAGAGAGCAAAATATCAGTAATATACTGTGACACCAATGATTCCCAACAACTCCTGAAAGATCTTTAGTGTGTCAAAGTACAGATAGTTCTCGACTTAACAAAAGTTCATTTAGCGACTGTTCAGAATTACAATCACACTGAAAAAAAAAGTGACCTAGGACCACTTCTCTATATTTACAACGGTTGCAGCATCCCCGTGGTGTCACAGGATCAAAATCCAGATGCTTGGCAAATGCCTCATATTTATGATGGTCGCAGTGTCCCCGGGGGAATCACATGATCCCCTTTTGTGATCTTCTGATAAGCAAAGTCAATGGGGAAGCCAGATTCACTTAACAACCGGCTTACTAACTTGACAATCGCAGCGATTCACTTAACAACTGCAGCAAGAAAGGTCGTAAAATGGGGCAAAAGTCACTTAACAAAGGTCTCGCTTAGCAACAGACTTTTGGGCTCCTAAGTCGAGAACTTATCTGTAATAAGGCATTAAAGTGTGCCTTAAAATTTAGTCCGCGAGTTGCTTTAGCCCGAATCTGTGAATTTAAAGCATTGGAATGTTATTAGGCTATGCATTATGTATAATGAGATTTTTTTTTTGTACTATAACTTCGTAATGTCAAAATTGTATATTTGAAAATAGAAAAAAAATAAAGCAATATTCTGGGAAAAAATGGAAGCGTATCTTTTCAAAGACGGTTATGATTGCTTTTTTATATATATGTAAACTGCAGAAAAAAAATGTGCTGCGCCCTTTTTTCGCTTCCTTTTTCTCTGTTGTAGCAATTTCTCAGCATTTCTGAAGCAACAAACAGTAAGGAGCATTTGAACATGGAATGTAAATAGAATAATATATTGAGTTTGTCCTTGAAAGTTAACTCAGTGTATATCCACAAAAGTCTTGTGGCGTTGTGGAAAAAATGTGCCTTGCTTTCAGTGCTTACAGTGAAATTACCTGCCCTCCCATATGCACAAACACACACACACACACACACACACACACACACAATACATACAAATACAGGGTGTCCTCCACTTACAACAGGGTGTCCTTCACTTAGTGAAGTCACTAAGTCACAACAAGCAACAAGTGATTTATGACCATTTTTCACACTTACAACCGTTGCAGCCATCCCACAGTCACATGATCAAAATTCAGACACTTGACAACTGGCATGTACTTAGGGCGGTTTCAGCCTCACGTGATCACGTGATCCCCTTTTGCGACCTGACAAGCAAAGTCCACGGGGGAGCCAGATTCACTTAATAACGAGGTTACTAACTTGTCCACTGCAGTGATTCACTTAACAACTGAGGCCAGGTCATAAAATGGGGCAAAACCCACTTAATAAATATCTCACTTAACAGCAGCAATTTTGGGCTCAATTATAGTTCGTAAGTTGAGGACATCCTGTATAGAATTTGGAAGCAAAAAACATATTAAAACCAGGTACAATTACAGCTTACCTTTCTTTAAAAAAAACAACACCAAATTATACCCCAGCCATGTTAAATAAGAACAGCTTATGTGTATTCTGTAAGCTGCATGTTTTCACAAAGGCACCAAGTACAGTGTTTAGAAGTATTACTTATCTTCTGTGGCTATAAGATGAAGCTTGGCATTTTAATTTGTTGGGATGATACTGGATCTGCTTTCAATGAGAAAAATTGCTCGGCAATAAAATTGCTTCTCCGAGAAATATCGCACAATGTAGTTTACAAGCTCAGGTGCTTTCCTACAAAACTGTATTTAAGTGAAATGAAACATGAGCAAGCCTACAATCTATATAAAAAAGGCTGTTCTCTGTGGATTCTTTGAACCAACCCATAAATCAACGTTCATCCTGAACCAGGCGGATATATATTCTGGGTATCTTATCTTGTTAAAACGCTAACTATATTCAGTACTACTTATCAAAACCACTAAGGTGTGCTTTCTCAGTGAATACCACGAAATGATATTTTAAACAGTATTTAGAGTTTCTTGTTATTTTTGAAACCATGTTTTTAAAAAGCCACGACAGGAAAAAGACTTTGGTTATCTAGCAAATGTATTATGATTGAAAATGAAAGCTGCTTTTCTATCTTAGCCAAATGTTATTCTGCTTTATATAGTGGCGTGCTTACATTGGATGTTCAAATATAAACAGAATATTTATAATGTAAAAATCTTTTTATTCTACACATGAATACTCAATATGGTGAAAATGAATAAGATTGGAGCGGAGGAAGAGAATGGATTCTCATAGTTTGTTTCACAGTGCTTGGAACTGATCTGAGATGGGGGCTTTTTGTTATTAAAGAGAACAGAAAGGGAAAAAACAATAGAAAAGGGAAAGAATAACAAAAAATAGTGATATTCCTTCGAGGATTGAAAGTTTAGTGCATTTTTAATGAATATGAGGCACTTTTCATTATAGAGGCATTTTGGTCTAGGGCAGGGATAGGCAACCTTGGCTCTTTTATGACTCGTGGACTTCAACTCCCAGAATTCCTGAGCCAGCTGGCTCAGGAATTCTGGGAGTTGAAGTCCACGAGTCATAAAAGAGCCAAGGTTGCCTATCCCTGTTCTAGGGGTTAAGACATCAGGCTAGAAACTGAGAGGTGGTGAGTTCTAGTCCTGCTTTAGGCCTGAAAGCCAGCTAGGTGACTTGGGACCAATCAGCAGGAGATGGTGAATTCTAGTCCTGCCTTAGGAATGAAAGCCAGCTGCGTGACTTTGGGCCAATCACCCGGAGAGAGAGAGTTCTAGTCCCGCTATAGCCATGAAAGCTAGCTGGATGACTTGGGCCAATCACCAGGAAACGGCGAGTTCTAATCCTGTTTTAGGCATGAAAGCTGTCTGGATGATTTTGGGCCAGTCCCCTTCTCTCTGTGTTCCCAGCCCACTTCACAGGATTGTTGTTGAGAAAATAAGAAGAGGAAGGAGTATTATGTATGCTCACCGCCTTGAGTTATTTATAAATCAGGATAAAAATAAACATCAATCCATAACTGAATGCAACTCATTTGTAAATTGCAAATGAAAATCCACTGAGCAATATGGGCCCATCAGTTACGACCCAATGGAAATAATTTCTTAGTAATAAGGGCACGGTGGATCCATTTCCATCCATGCTTATGCAATAGGTATATAATTCAAAAGAATTTGACGTCTGAAGACATTAAACTTGATCTCAGAGTCAATATCTGTAATAATGGCTTTTTCCCAGAACAATTTTGGAATGGATGTTTTAATAAATGTCTGAAATTATTCTCTCAAAATGAGAGGCTTTAATTGTGAACACAGAGGGGGCTTAGAGATTTCTTCCACTGTTTGAAAGCGGGTCTGGGTTGTGAAGCTGGACAGGGTCTCCTGCTCTAGCAGCCGGTTGAAGACCTCCAAGGTCAATTCTGAACAGAGTTGAATTGAATATTTCAGACTGATTATATTGTTAATTAATAAATAAATCATTTGGTTAAAGATAAGAAAAACACAAACCATGGGCAGGTGACCTTTTTCTTTAAAAGTGTCAGTTTCCCATCCAGGCTACTAAACAATTTGCATACTCAACAACAGAAGTTAATCCATGAATTTGGATGGATTTGGCTTTTCTGGATTAAAGAAACACTGGGAAAGTAATACCTTGTATAGGGAACTTGCCTTTTTTAAATTATTTCATTTTATACTGGCTTTGAACAGAATTGTAGGGATTTCATAAACAGCAGAAAATCAGAATCTGAAATCTTTTCCAACTCATTCCTTTTATGAACATGGACCTTCCCCCCCCCATCCGAGCTGCAGAAAATGGTTAGTTTGGACAAGGTCCCAATCGATTCCCGCTGCTTTTGGGCCACTGCAAAGCAACTCATAAAACCGAGATAATGCATCCTAATAACGGCATCTTTTAAAGCCCATTCCAAAGCTGGCACTTGAGCAGAAAAGCTTCTCCCTTTTTCAGAAAGAAAATACAAAGTGCTCATATCTTGATAATTCTTCAAAGCACTTTACCACCCCCCCTATACTTTTATTTGAATTTGGGTCTCCTTCAAAGGGATTTATCATCCAGCACCATGCAGAACCTAACAGCCCTTTTAAACCGACAGTTTTGGGGATTTCTCCTAACAATAAACGAGGGCAAATTTTTCAACATTAAGAAACTTTTTCCTCCTTTGTCCCCGCCTCCTTCGTGCTCATTGGCTTCTTTCTCGGAGCGCTCCCGCCCCTTTTCCTTCCAAGCCCGCCCCGCTCCTTTCGGCCCGATAGTCCCGCCTCCCGCACGTGGATTGGCCGTCCCGTCCAGCCCCTTTGGGAAACCCTGCCCATCTTCTTACGCTCCTATTGGCCAGTTCGAAAGCGAACGTTCGTTGCGGCCTTCCTTCTCCCCGCCCCTTTAGCAATGGCGGCGGCGACCGGGTACTGAGCGCGGTCTGCTCTGAGAGAAAGCCGAGGCTTCTTTGTTTTTCCTCCTCTCGGCCCGGGGAAGCGCCCAGGGCGGGCGAAGAGTGGCAGAAAGGGCGGGGAGGCAGGCCTTGGGCTCGCCGCAGCGAACCGGGAGCAGAAGGGCCGGGCCTGGAAGGGAATGGAGAAGGGCGCTGCCAGCCTGAAGAAAGGCCTGAGGGGGGAAGAGGCCACTGCGGGCCCCTCTAGAGGCCCGGGGGACCCTCAGGAAGGCCCCAGCAGGCAGTTGGCCGAAGAGGGCGCCGTGTCAGGGGCCAAGAGCCCCGGGGTGGCCCCAAACCCTCCAAGTGGTGCCCCTGGCCCCCATGCAGACTCCTGGCTCCAGAGGATGCAGGGCCTGGTCCTCAAGGCCTCAAACCTGAGGGTCTCCCTGCCAGAGGCACCCCCGCTGACAGTGCTGCTCCTGCAGAGATATATGGCCGATGGGCTGCCGCCCCTGCCCAACACCCCCTTCCCGGTCTATTACTATGACGTGACTGTCACAGATGGCACCTGCCAGGAGAAGTGCCTCCTGGCCCCACAGCTGAACGGCCTGGTCCACAAAAACGGGCTCAGGGCTGGCCGGCTGGTGAAGATCACCCAGTGTTCCTACATGTACAACGAGCGGAGCCTCAGTCTGGGCTTTGTGTGCATCGAAGGGCTGGAAATCCTAGCAGAGGCCGCGGCCTTCACGGGGGCTGCCTCCCAGCTCGGAATGTGCCATGCGAAGACCGCCCTGCCCCTGAAGGGGGGCAGGAAGCATTACCTTCCTCTGTGGAACAATGACGATCCCTTTGGGGACGTGTGGGTGGCGAGGAAGCCCCTGAGGGAGGACAGTCTGGAGAGTAAGTGGAGGAGGGCCAGGCCAGAGAAAGACTACGGGCAAAATGCAGGGAGTGACATGACGACACAGAAGCCTAGGGGGGTCCTTGAATGATCCTTAACTGTTCTTGGAGCCAGAAAATTGGGTTGTGTCGTTAACGGGGTGCCAAGCCATAGTTTGGCCTCTAGGAAGAAGGAGCAGTCAAAGTGTGGTTAAGAAATTCGGAGTAGCAGAACAGCTACTGCCCAGAATTGGAGGAAGGAATTGCATATGGGCATATAGGTCTTTTAAATCGGCCTTGACTCAGGGCAAGTGCCTGGCCAGCTCCCTAAGACCTTCGAGGGACCTTGAAGTCAAGATTAGTAAAGATTTTCAGAAGTGTTTTGCCCTTGCTGTCTTCTTCCTGGAGCTGAGAGAGAGGGATTGATCAACACCCAGCTGGCTTTGTGCCTATGGCAGGATTAAAATTCAAGGTCTTCCAGCCTGGTGCTTTTTAAACATTACATCAACCTGGCTGTCACTTAAGGAATCATAGTCTCTATTTATCAGAATTACATCTTGCCTAACTTTAGCTTTCCCTCCAGTTCCTTCCCACAACAGAGACCCTGTTGGTTTGAGAAATGCTCAGTTTTTATGGCTTAGGCTTCTTGCTTTCCTGTGTCCTAAGTACATAAATCTGAAGTAGCTTACTGCTTTTTTGTGCAACACTAAGCTATGGTTTGGTGTCCCATTTGAGTTGCCGCACTTTCAGTGTTTGCCTATTAGATTTTCTTTAATAATGCTCTAAAATGCGTTTCGATTTGGGACTTTGAATCTGAATTGAACAGTTATATTTGCATGCTTTTGAGTCAGTATCAAAGCAGTTATGTTGTACCACTAGCTAATTTATCTACATGGGGCTTTGAAGTTAGTATTTGTAGTAATATATAAAAGCAGTGAAATCATTGCAGCATTGCCAGTTCTGAGCTCATATTTACTCTTGTTCTTTTTTCCCCATAGAATTAAAACCAACATCTATCTCTATTCTGGACATGACCTGGCAGGGCAGATTCAGCTTCCCACCGTTGCTTGTCAGAATCATCCATAAGTTTCGGTTACGCTATTTTGGAAAACCAAAATCAAAGCTAGATGTGCCGTATCAGGTAGGAATACAGAGGTATTTTTTTTAAGTAGTATCTAAAATGTATTGCTGTGTTAATAATAATAATACAATGTGAATCCCAGATAGACCAACTTCAGTTATCCATAAAATCATTTTTACGCGGACTTATTATTTTAGTAAATATAGTCAAGAGCTAGTACAATACAACTAAAAGTATGTTTATGTATATATTTACATGCTGAAACCCAAACACTCTCAGTACCTCAGCAGTGGCTGTTGCAAAATAGAGTGACGCCAAAATGATGGGATATTTGTCGGCCCTGTCATCATCCAAATGCCCTCTTTATGCACCCGATTGTTCGACACAAGTACATAAATCATGGCATTTGTGCAATGATGCGATCACCACATGCCTCTGTAGTACAATAATATGTAATTAAATAATTACCTATTTGATTTGTTTTGAAGTGTTTATTTTGCTTAGCCAATGCTGAGGAAGGGGAAGCAAGTATGATTCTGCATCCACTCTGATAAATTATATTAAATAACATGCCTTCTGTAGACCGGTTTAACGTTCTGAAAATTTCCCTTAAATATGTTGTTACTTTTGGTGCTATTTGTTTTTAGATACGATGTTCCATTTTTGACACTTCTCCTAAAGGAGCTTCAGCGTGTACAGGCCCATTCCCATGACATCCCATATTCCTATGTCTACAAAGAAGAATCTCATCCCTTCCGTTTGCTCTCCATTCATTAATCTCACCACAATATGTACTAAACCATAAACTAAACTCTTTGAGGGATCCTTGGTGCTCTCTGAGCTTGCTTGTTTTCTTGCAAACTCGGTAACGGCATCAGTGCTAGTCAAGGAAGTTCAGAGAGCCCAGGGACTCCTCATTTCAACCCTGACCTACAAATATTATCCTTTATTGGTACTAAGCCCTTTGTTTCTACCTTTTTCGATCCCTCTCGTTCCTTCCCAGTTTCAACTCCTGTGGAATTTTTGCTCTTAAGATTATACGTTGCATATAATTTTTAATGATAAATTTAGAAGCAAAGGGCATAGACTGAAAAGCGTGCTTCAACCTCAGGCATTTAAAATAACACTTCAATAATGTAGCCTTTAACTTTTTAAGAGTAAATGTTCTTATATTTGCAGGCTTGTTTTGATGTGGCCGATCAATCTGGCATGGTGTTAATGGTGCTATGGGGCCCTTTATGCCCTGAATGGTATCACAGTATGAACATTGGCACAGTGCTGCTGCTTGAAAAATATGCTGTGAAAAAAAGTATATCTTCTACAATACAGCCAAGTCCTGAAGATTTGCACCTGAAGAGATTCAGTTCAATAGGTTAAGTATCCCAAACATTATTATTTTTTGGGGGGGAGGGGTAATAGCTTTTAGAGAAAATTCATTGGTTTGTAGTCGGTCAGCAAAGGTCTATCTGACTGTTCATTTGGCCTGTATACAATGATTATCTGAGACAAAGAATGTATGTTATTTTGTTACTTCAGGCAGCAAAAAAAACGATTGTCATAACCAATCACTACTGCAGTAATCATTCCCAAATAGCAGGAAGCCATTTTCCTACTTGGCTACACAACATGGGATCTGTATCTAATTCATCTCTTCTCAGGAGGGCTCCGACTGCCACAATTAGTTTCCAATTATTTTGATTTGCTTGCATCCTGATGTCTGATACATAAGTTCTAATTTTCCCTTGGATCCAGGAATTGGCTGGGTGACTTTGGGCTGGTCAGTTATTCTCAGCCCTATCTAAACCAGGAAGTCCAAAAGCATCAATCTAACCAAAATGCACCGAAGCAGCATGGCAGATTTCAGCCCATAACCTTCCCTGAAGAAGCCTTCACCCTGCAGTGGATTGGTTTAGGCAGATGATAATTACATAAGCGTATATAAGAAAATACATAGTCAGGAAAGTGAACTGTTCGTTGGTCGGAAGGAGCAATAAAGGGAAACCGATGATGCATGTAAACAGTTTGACAGTGATTCTAATTGTCTTGTGAAGTATTAGATTCAAGTTCATCGGTCTGAGACTTTTCAAATCTATTTCTCAACAGGTCAGTGGAAGCAGATTTTTTTTGTTGTTTTTTTGTTTTCTGGAAGTGCTGATAGGATTCGGTTGATAATGGAGAATTAAAAATAATGTTGGCGGGAGGAAGGTCCAAGTGAAGGACAGGTGTAAATTAAACTGAGAATATTAAAATGAAAAGCAAGGCCTCCTGTAGCCTAAATAGGATGCTTAAGTAGTCTCTAAATATCTAATTATCTGTCATATATTTAGCAGACCCTTTTTGGTTGCTTGAATAAATGATTTAAAGTACACGGTAAAAGAATAGCGTGACCAATTCTATTTACTTCAATTGCTCTAATTAGCTCATTTTTATAACACTATGAATGATTTTTTTTAATGTCTTGATGCATTAATTTAAGAATGTGGAAGGGAGAGTTTATACAAATATAAATGCTAGTTTTCCAAGACACCCATCATAGTTCCTTTGAGATGGTTATAATCAAATTCTCCTGTTGCTTATGAATATTGATAGCCATTGTTCAGTGTAGAACAGTTGCTTAGTTGTGCTTTCTTTTCCCAGCTGGTAGAAAAAAAGAAAGAAAACATGTTGAGAGCTGTAGTTTTCTTGAAACGAGTTCCCATCTAACAGTTGTATGTGTTTCTTCTACTGGTATATACCTAAGTGCTCAGGCTGATTTCTACTGCTCCAATATCAACGTGCTTTCCTGTAGCAGATCTCCTGTAATTTATCCGTGATTTAAATGGCCTTGGAGAGCCAGTTTTGTAACAGGCGATATGAACAGCACGCAAGTCTAATAAATAAAAAAGGCAGTTATGTACGGAAGAAAAGAATGAGAGTAGGGAGGTAGTAGAGCTGGGTTTTTTTAGATTTAATTCCTAAGAAGCACAAATGAAATATCTGTCTGCAACAGTTGAAAACAGCTGCTGCTTTGGGGGGAATTTTTTTGTCCTTTGACGCCCTGTTTCAAGTTTCTCTGTCATGTCTAGGCAACTTGCCATATGCCTTCCCCAAAGTGTTTAAAATTAGATAAAACAAACTTTTATAAAAATGTATATGTTTAAATGACTAGAACAAAACTAATGTAGCTGGTAATTTTGTCAAACATAATTGTCATCATCTGGTTAATTCTTTTTTAGAAATTGCTTTGAACGTCCGAGACCCCCCAGCTAAAATTAACATCATTCCAGAACATAAAATTAAACCAGAGTGGAAGTTGCCAGAAGTTGAATTTCAGTTTGTAACCAGGTTATTATTAATATTATCATTATATCTGTTTTTCATGACTTATTTTTCCAGACTGGAATATTAGTGTTAAAAAATTGAGAGGGAGACTAAAAAAAGAAATGAAATTCTTTATGAAATGCTATATGGTGATAGATATTAATTCTTTATATACTATCAACAGTGTTAAAATGGTACAACAAAGCCAGATTATTATTAGCTGCATTTGTGAATGTTACTATCACAAGCCTGCTGCCCGTGTGTGACATGATAGCTTTTTCGGTTTATAAGAAGCCAGTGTAAAATTCTGTAAAAAAGCAATAGATTGTCTGTGCATTTATTCCAAATGAATAGAGCTATTGCATGATAAATACCTGTTTTTTTAAATCTTATTTGTATGCCATCTATTTCCCAAAAACACTGAGCAATTAAATATCAGAAAAATCACCCAGCAAAATGCCTCTCAAAAATAGTAAACCCACTCATAAAATAAACCAGAGTGTCAAAATTATAACCCTTGTTGCCTTGACCAATTCATTTTGCATCAACTGTAGCCTCTGAAGGCTTTCTAAGCATCAGTAGTAGTAATCCAAATAGAAGTGACGGAGTCACAAGTGACTAAGGAAGACTTCCCAATCCTGAAAAGGAGGCAATTAGTGTAGATGTAACTTGGTACAAAAACTTGCCTGGCTACAGCTGCCATTTTTGACCATAAAGTTTTCAAATGTCTTAAAAACCTTTGTGGTTAGGTAGTTTGGGAGAAACAAATTCTCAGGGAAGTCATAGCCCACCTTGATGTATTGTTTGAACATCTCCATTTAGTGACTGTCTTGGATAAATAAATTTCTGGAATTCTAGTGAGTGTTTATCTGTTTTATATCCTAAGATCTCTTGTGCTTTGAATCCCAGATCTGAATTGGACCAATTAGCACAAAATCAGTTTTGTGACATCATAGGACTTGTACAATATGTTGGACGGGTCGAGCGCAAGAGGAAAAAAGGTATTTTCAAAGATTACATGTTTGGCTGGTAGAGATATGTTTAGAACATTAATTAACATTTATTTTGTCTGTATAGGTTGTGTGGAAGACTTTTGGACATATCGCTGGGTACATGTTGTTGATGGGACCTCAGAACAGCCTTTTATGATAGAATTGTTTTCCACATCTCAGCCAGATATATTTGAGCAAATTTACCCAAGTATGTATTCTATAAATTTCTGTTTAGTGTAATTGCTTTCTGTCAAATTTGTTTGGAATTTCAGGAATCAGAGTACTGGGTAACACTGTCATGGTGTCTTCGGATTTTTCGGTTGTCACAGTAGAAAGGATGAACTGTGAAGAATTCTTGGATTTCATTGATTCTAAACTGCATATATTTAGCCAATGGAGGAGAATAGTTGTAGGCTGGGGTTGAACTGAGGGGTCCTTGGTGCTCTCCAAGCTTGGTGGTGATTCTTGCAGACGTTTCATTACCAAACTAAGTAACATCATTAGAACACTGCAAGAACTGGTTTAGTGACAGCAAAATAAACTGACACCCTGTTGACAGCATATACCTCCCGTTCCCTTTTTCCTTCCATATTCCATCTGATTGAGAATAAGATAATGTGAAGTGGCTATCAGTGCTTATATGTTTTCATTGTAGTCTGTAGCTTTATCTCACTCACAAGAGAAGGTAAGACTGCATTGCAGTTTAGTGACAACCCCCACGACTTCAGAACATTGTTCTTGATTACAAATTAAAAAGAGGATGTGTAAATATGAACCTAAAAAGTAAGAACCACTATATCACACCAAAAATCTTATTGAGTCCAGCATCTAATAATCTGCTGCATGGTTTTGATAACTTTACATTTTGGGCAGGAATGGCAGTAATCAATACACGTGTGTCCCCATCTCTTCCTCACTGTTTCTCTCTATTTGGTGACAAACAAGCTGTTTCTCATGAGCTGATGCAATATTGAAGTTTCGGATTGCAGTTGATACTAGACAAAACGTTCTCCAGAGAACGCTTTGTCTAGTATCTGGACCAGGGGTAGGCAACCTTGGCTCTTTTATGACTCATGGACTTCAACTCCCAGAATTCCTGAGCCAGCATGGTTCAGGTTGCCTACCCCTGATGAGGTCAATCAGTTGTCTCTACATTTCCTCCGGCAACATTTAATTTTCTTATACATACAGGATGTTTTTCAGTGTAACATGGCGTCTCTGCACACAAGATTGTATCTGTAGTTTACAGTGATAGAGATCAGGCACTGCTCTAACTCTGAAGCTGTACTGTATGAACGAACACCAGGCCAAAGGCAGAAAGTGTTCTGAAAAAATAATTTGAATGCTGCAGAAAAAAACTTAGAAAATGAGACTAGTTTACAAATTATAATAATTAGTTTGCTTTTGACAGTTTTTCTTTCAAAACTTAACATTTAAAAACATAAATGTATCAGAATCAATGCCTCGGGTTTCAGTCATGGACTGGCATCAATGATCTTTTTGTAAAAATTGATTTGGGTTGTGGTTATTCTATATAATGTTAGGTTTAGTTTTGTTTAATTGAGATTTACAAACATGGTTTTGAGGTTTGATTTTAATTTTTGATGTTTTAATTTAGATATAATTGTATGCCATCCAGAGTTACCCTATGGTAAGATGGGTGGCCAAGTAATGATATAAATAAATTAATAAAAACGGGGAATTGTATGCTGTTTTGAATCTGCTTTGATTGGAGTAACTTGAAAGCCAAATAAATAAATAAAGAGATAATACGATGCTTCTCCGTCTCTAGTGGCCTACTTGGTCTGTACCCAGATGAGAGTGGAACGAATTATTTCCGAGAATGGTTCCAGTATGGTCTATTTAACAACTTCTGTGAAAAGTCAAATGTTTATTTCAGGTAAAAAAAAAAAAAATCTTTTATAAAAATACGTAACTTCATCTCCAGTCCTAATCTAGCAAATCATGTCAGCTGTCTTTCTCTCCGTGTATCCATTTTGCCAGTTTCTGTAGCTCACGTTACACTTTTGCGGTACTATAATTGTGAGGACCGAAAGTGCTGCCCCCTTTTTATTCTTCACACAAGACTCTCGCCAGATGAGACAGCCCCAAGTGGCTTGATTACTTCCCCTAATTTGGCACTCCGCTGATTATTTCTCAAGAGTGACAGCCTTGTGCGTTCTTATTTGATGCTATTTTAATATCAACAATATGTTTTTGGTGCTGTGTTGAAACAAACAAAGCATTGGCATTTTTGTATCCCAAAATATGTTGACACTCTGAATAATTGAATGTATTCACTGAGTGAGGATAGACTGAAAAGTCGTCACAAGAGCTGGTTTTCTAGTACCTTCATTGATAGCGGCATTACGGTAAGTACATTTGACTATATTCGAGACTTTCTTACCTTCCCTATCTGTAGCAATCCAGCCTAACAACACAGCTCTGTATTGTAGAAATTATGTCAGGAGCTTCATAAAGGTTATTAATTCTCCGGAGTAAGAATCGAATTTTATTCATTGGTCGTGTGGTACGTGCAGGTAATCCTATGACCCCAGTTTTGAGTCCATAATTTTCGAGGTTGAACCAGGCAGTTTTTAAGTGAAGTGCCCCATTTTACAACCTTTTTGTCGCAGTTGTTAACCGAATCACCGCAGTTGTTAAGTTAAATCATGCAGTCATTAAGCGAACCTGACCCCTTCCCCCCTTGACTTTGCCCGACGGAAGTCGGGAAGGGTACAAATGGGGATCAGAAGACGCCCCAGCACATTGCGACGGTCATAAATACGTGGCAATTGCTAAGCGTCCAAATTTTGATGGCAGTGCTGCCGTGGTCATAAGTATGAAAAACGGCCATAAGTCATGGTTGTAACTAAGAACAAAGGGTTGTAAGTCTTGGCCCTACCTCTGGTGACTTTCTTCAGTGGTTTAGAAATACACGGTCTGCCTCTTTCCTGCCTGCCTGGTTGAACCACAACAATTACACCCCCATTTGCCATTACAAATTCCGTGACATTCTTGACCAGAGATAAGCAACCTTGGCTCTTTTAGGACTCGTGGACTTCAATTCCCAGAATTCCTGAGCCAGCCATGCTGAGGGGAAAGGGAGAGTTTCGAAGCTGAGCCATGCTGGCTCAGGAAATCTGGGAGTTGAAGTCCACAAGTCCTAAAAGAGCCAAGGTTGCCTACCCCTGTTCTAGACAAACCCACTTTGATGTTGAGAGCCTACGAAATACCTTTGCCTTACAGCACCATGCTGGAAACCAATGTGGCACAGTCACTTTCAAAAGCTGCTGTTTCAATCTTTTAATTACAGCTGCCGTGCCTTTTTGTCTTGTTTTCTTTAACGTAGGATGGCACAAGGGCCAGCCCTATATAAAAGATCCGAAAGTGAAAAACTTTATCCAGTGGATGGCAAGCCAAGAGGAAGCTTCCTACGCAGACAAGATCGTCCTTGGGGGATACTACGCCTTCCCGCCACTCCCACCTACGTTTGCAGAATATTGTAAAAATATAAATAGTACGCCATTTCCTTCTGTAGTTTCAAACGTGCCGGCCAAGTTTGAGTAGCCTTTTATTATTTGCAGAGAAAATATTTCTGGGCAGCTGTGCCCAGGGGAAATATTTATAGATGCTGAGAATTTGTCATTAGGTGAGGTTGTAGCAAAGGGTAACAATTCTTCACTCGTTATCCCCTTTTAAACTTTCTAAGATCAGTTGTTTAACTGAAGTCTTATTTTAGTTCCATGTCAAAAAAAAAAAAAAATAGCTGGAGACAGTGTTTGAATTTTAAGTGATGCTATTGGGCAGTGTTTCTCAACCTTGACAATTTTAAGGCATGTGGAATTCTGGGAGTTGAAGTCTACATCCCTTAAAATTGTCAAGGTTGAGAAACACTGCTATAGGGCAGTGATGGCGAACCTTTTAGAGACCAAGTGCCCAAACTGCAACCCAAAACCCACTTATGTATCGTCAGGTGCCGGGTGGGCGTGGCCCATTGGGTGGGCATGGCTGCGGTGGTAATGGCAGACTGGATGGGACTAAAAAGTTCAATCAAACAATTACAACTTTGCAAGATCTTTTTGAAGTTGAAATTGACTGATTGAACCTTTTTTTTTTTTTTTTTTTTTTGCACACGGCAGCAGAGGCCTAAAGCGAAAAGGTTTTATAAAGCCCAGCTGAAGGCCTAGGACTGGGGCAATGGTGTATGTGCCCACAGAGAGGGCTCTGCATGCCACTTGTGGCACGCGTGCCATAGGTTTGCCACCACAGCTATATGGTGTCATCTAATTGAAGTTCACTGTTATACTTGAAACAGACTATAAGCCGGATTTTCTCAATTGTTTGCAAAGTGAACTTATTCAGATTGATGCTGTGCCAGTTTAACAACAATAACCACGTTATATTCTTTGCCATCTGAATTTTACATATCCCGTTCCTGTACTTACTTGGTGCTATCTTTCTTAAAAATTGTATTTCAGAAGAATTAGTTTTGATATACATTGGTGATATTGGCAAGGAGATTGACAGTTTGCACTACAGGGAACAGAAGCACATTGCTTTTCGAGGGATAATTAGTGCTATAAGACGTGTCAGCTGTAGCAGTATCTCCCAGGATGCCTCAGGAAAATCACCAATTCAGGTATGGTACTTCAGCATTAATAGCTGAGCACTTAAGATAGTATGAGCATGATTAAAACTGAAATATTCTGTATTTGAATTTAAAGAACCTGTAGCGATGATGACTTCTTAACTATTTTTCTCTTATTTTGAACATGTGTAAAATTAGAAAGTTATAGTTTAAGCTTCTGTGATACCGTGACCTTTTAAGAAAGATCTTGACATATGTCACAGTTTCTGCATTGTTTGATTAAAGCAGTGAGAATAAATTGGAAAGGTGTTTGAGACAGAACTTTATATCTTAGTTAAGATCGTGTGTGTGTGTGTGTGTGTGTGTGTGTGTGTGTGTGTGTGTGTGTGTTTTCTGCTAAATTGATCCTGCTGTTTCTGGTGATGAAACTGAATCTAGCTTTAAAAAATATGGAAAATACTAACTGGTAGACAGTGTGTAAATTTAATTTAAAATTATTTCTGTAGATTGAGAAAAGGCCTTCAGTATGTACTTTGTCAGAGCACCAGCAAGTGAGAGAATCAACTTCTAAGCAGAAGTCACCATCTCTGGAGCAACAAAGCATAGTAACCAGGAGTTGTGCAAAGAGACAGATTGCAGCTGTTGAGTAAGGAAGTGTTTGCTTTAAGTGGAATAGTTTCTGGTTTCTTTGGCAATTGTGTATTTTATGTTATTCTTTGGAGCATAATTATGTGATCTGAGCTCACAGTAAAGAAGTTGTTTTATTGTAAAATAATTGCCTCCAAATAAATTTGAAGCTTGTTAAATCTATTTTTAAGGACCACGGATCATTCTCCAGGGTCTTCTCAGCCTTCATATGTGACAAGGTCAAGAAGCAAAAAAAGAGTGTAAGTGGCCAATTCTTCATAATTTTTTTTTTAAAGTGGTGACTTACTTCATTTTGCTGTCGAGCAATTTTGATTTTTTTTAGTTCCAGTTTTTTGCAAAGGATCTGCTGTGTATATTGTATAGCTCATAATGTGGGAAAGGAACTACCATAAATGCCGGCGTACAAGGCGACCCGGTGTATAAGACGACCCGCGTCTTTATAGCCGGGCCGCATTCCTAGAACGTCGTCTTATACGCTGGAAACTACCAGTATTTCCGGCGTATAAGACGACTCGGCGTATAAGACGACCCCCGTCTTTGGCGCCGATTTCAGCGCTCGCGGAAGTCGCCTTATACGCCGGCATTTACGGTAAGTCCGTGGTTCCATTGCTAGACTGTAGTGGGGAGAGGAATATAGTCTTCCCATTGCGTAAATAATGCTGGAATGTGAGAGTCTTCCTTTAAAATGAGGATGTCTTTAAACTGTAAGGAGTGAGAGTGTTTTCATTCTAGATATTTTGCTCATCTGTCTTCAAAGGGAGCAAGTCTATTGTGGCATAAATGCTGTAAATTAACACTAACTTGGGTCAGAAGTCAGGATGCACATATGAAAGAGTGGGATTTCTGTGACAATGTCATCATATGTTTCTCATTATTTTTATCCTATTCTAATTGGCAGTAGATGCTGGTGCTTCATTCTGCTTTCCTCACTAGCTATTAGGGACTCACCTGGGATCTGGTTTTCCCCAGCCAGACTAATAGTAGCTTTGGAGCAGGGGGAAGGGCAGGAAAATTATATGGAAAGGATGGGGAATCCCCTTTCCTGAGTGCTTTTCGGATACACATACCAGCTGTGTCATATTTTCTTTGATAATACGATCTGATATTTTGCTGCTCTCAGTGACAGTCTGCTTGAAATTTTGAAGGTTGTATAGTTTCTTGGAAGATAGCTCTGATGAAGAGAACGACAATTCAGAACTGATGGAAACAGCACAAACACATGAAAGTATGTACTTTGTTTCTGAAGGTTATATTAGTAACGGCTTTTTACATTCCAGTAAGCTGGGGTAGAAAGCAAATAGTAGTAATGTGCTTTCTCCATCTTTGATGTTATTGTTAATATGTTAATATATATATATATATATATATATATATATATATATATATATATATATATTCTTATGAGGTGCGAAGGTTGTACTTCTTGATGAATGTGATTAGCAATGTGATTTAGGATGCATCTTATAGATCCCTACTGGTTACTTTGCCATATGTTAATCTGGTATGCCGATCTAGTATACAAAACAGCTAAATTAAGCTGTAGAGTTGTTGTTGTTTTAAAAGCCAAATGGTTCCTTGGGATCTGGAGGAGAACTCCGATGCCATGACAACTTGGTATTACCCAACAACTGAAGTTTGCTGCATTGCTGTTAGTGTTTATCTTGAATGGATGTCTGCCTCCAAATTGCACTGCAAGTGACACATAATCCAATTGTTTAGACTTTCATTGATATCATTAATGCAGCTTTTTGCATTATTCACTTGCATTCATTTCATTAATGCAGCTTTTTGGATCACATAATCTCATGCCCTTTGCCGTTTGGAATTAATTCTATTATACAAATTAAAGATGAATGAGAGGCTGTATAAAAATAATCTAAAGCAGAATAGACAATGCATTAATCATTCAATTAACTATCAAATAATTTGTTTTCATAGTCATAAAAAATAATCTATTAATACAACTGTAGTATGTACTTTAGTCTTTAATAAGGATCTGTCATATTAATGGCTAGATTTATGTCAGGAGCTATTAAGCAACTTGTTTATGAAGGACTATATAATAAAATAAAGGTTAATTTGAACTGCATTTATCTATTGCGTTAGTACTTCTTGTGGTTTTATTTATTAGCATTAGTATTTGTGCTTATCTCTTTTTGGTCTTTGGATTAACACCATTTGCTCTATATGTCAGTGGCCATAGAATATAAATATAGTGAATTTATCACAAAACTAGAAAGACTACACCCTTGTCTCAGCTATAGAATATACATCAACTTCAGAAGTCTTCAGGAACTCCCCTTAGATTAGCTGAAGAAGCTCATCTGACTTGCTGTTTTGAATGCCTTTCCTGGTCAAATAGCCCTTTTGGAGCTGAGGTGCTCAAAAGATATTTTAAAATTTTCTGGATTACAGATTACTGTCTTTATATTAGCAGGCCACAAAGAAATAGCTGATGCATCTGAAGAAGTTCACCCACAAAGGATGTGCTACAATTCCTGGGAAAGTGTTCTCTGGACCGCTGTAAAAGGCAACCTAGCCCAGCACTTGAACTTCAGCAAGCTATCCCCAGAAAGCTTCCCTTGTAAATTTAATTATACTCACAAAGAAGCCTTATTGAAACAATACAATCTTCAAGCAGCCAAATTCCAGCCAGAAGAATGTCTAACAAGTGGAGAAATGAGTCACTTTGAAAATGCCTGTCCTCTCGAATACTATGAAGTGGCTATTCTTGGTAAGTAACTACTAACTTCGACACCCTTAGGAATTTGAACGTGTGTGGGGTTGTGTCTTAACAAAAAAAAGACAATGCCACACAGTGCTACAAGGCATGTGATTCATGTTTGCTGGTGTGTGGGAATGAGGTTTTTTTTAGAGCAACTGGAAAGAAGGCAGACTAGCTCAAAGAACCTTTTTCCGTATAGCCAAAGGGGCTGTAAAACACAGTATTCTTGAAAGTAGGGAATTTCAAGCATAAACCCAAACTTGCCTGGTGCCAAAAGCAAAACGAAAACATGCCTGCGTTTGTGACACCATATTGGATCTGTCCCAAGCTGTAAGTGGAGACCAGGGATATATTACCATTTTAACACTGGTTGAGTTACTGTATGTTGCTCAGTTTAGAAGTACGATGATAGAAACAGTTTAAAACGTACTGTAATCTGAAAGGAAGGCAGATAATGAAAAAAACCATGGGTGAATTGTTTAATAGAGTTACGCTCATATTTTGAGACATAACTCAGGACAGGTTACCTGCTTAAACTGAGACACATTGTCATTGATTTCCTTTTGAATTAAAACATTGGAAAAACGAACGGAACAACAAACCATTTAGGAATGCAGATGTTTCCCTAAATTCTTTCAAGGAAAGTTTGGATAGGCAGTTGTCTGCAGCTTTGGACAGTGAAGCATGAGACTTAAAGCTTTGGACTTAAAGCTTTGTTTGATGACCAGATTCTTGAAGACAATCATATAACTCGTTAACCCAGCTTTTTGGTATTAACAAAAGTACCCTATCTCTTGAACAGGCATAAATCACGATGTAGCCATAGAGGTTGCCTTCCTGAGTGACTCTTACTTATTTCAAGTCAAAGATACATCACAAAATGCAGGACCTTCTCACATAAATGATACTTCACCTTGCCAGGAGACCGTTAACCAAGAAGGACTTTCTGAGTTATTTTCACTTCCAGGTAGGATCTTCCCGATAACAATTATTTGTATGCGGCTGTTGTCACTTGTCTAAAAATAAGCAATTGCAAATTAAGGTTTACAATCTGATAGCTCAATTCATAATATCTCCACTGTAGAGCTGTCTTCTAACCAGTTTTACTTAGAGCCAGCTTGAGGGTTTTGCTGACTAGTGCTCTTCTCACCTTAAAAATAATTTAAATCTAGATGGACCAATCTGTTTCCTTTTGAAGAGGGAGCCAGCACTATTATCCAGCAATGATACTTTTGAAACTCCCCCCTTTTTTCCGTTTTTAAAAATACTTATCTTGGCAGCTGTAGAGAATTTAAAGAAGGTAACCGCATGTTTAAACAAATACATGTTCATTGCAGGTGTTTGCCTTCAGTGGCTTTGAATTTATAACTCAGAGTGTGGGTTGCTTTCAAATTATCCTCTTCAAATTATCAATGCCAGCTTTCTCTGTGCTATATTAAGAACTTCTAAATTCCCCAGATGATGGAAGATCCAAAGAAGAGATCTTTATGGTGCCAGTCACTTTGTTTCTATAGATTTTTTATATTGGGAAACAGGCAGCTATAAGAAATCAATTACTCCTTCAAATTCTAGAAAAGGGAAGAAGTTGTAATGCTCTTTTAAAACAAAAACGGTGGGTTTTAGCGGTAGAGTGGGTCATTTTGTGATTGTTTAACTTTAGGAATTGTAAATTAGGGCATTACCCTCTTTTTAATTCTTCTCATCTACGGATTTTGTTTTAAAATCAAACGGCTGATGCTTTTGCTCTCATGTGGTTTGAAAAGTAGCCCGTATCTGTGATTGCTTTGCATGTTAGGTAAGGTTTTTTCCTATGTTGTAATTGCTTGCCACATTATTGGGGTTGGAATTATTTTCCTTTCCTGTTCTTGTTCCCAATCGTTCTGGGATTAATCTTAAGGTAAACTGGTGAATGGGTAATTGCTTTTCCTGAATGTGTAACATGTCCGCTATCTGTTTGCATACTAGACGATATGAAAACAGCTGCCCAGGAGAAGCAACATGTCATCTGCATTCTGGATGCGTATACTTTGGGCTGTGACAAAACTGAAGTCTTTCTTAGGAAAATATATAAGATAACAGAAGTTGATGTAATGAACCAAACATAGTTCATGGTTGACGTAAATGTATTGGAAACGGAGAAGAGGATTAAACTTACAAGAGAATGTTTTTCTCCTGCTATTCTATCCGCAGTTTGGATATTTAGCAGCGGTTAAGGAATGTTTCTGGTTCTTTCATACTTGAATTTTATAGAAGTGTTTTGACAGATACTTGCCTCTCAAATCAGGGTTTTTTTGACAACAAGTATTGCACACACATTGCTTTCTTAACCTTTGTTTTAAGTTTAAAGTAGTAAAAGATAAACATCCGATAGTCGGATCCTGTCCTGTGATACTGAAAAACGTACATCGGAAGACTGGCTCTTTTGCTGCTTATCTCTGCTTTCTAGTTGGACTATGAAAAGTTTGTTGTGGGAAGGGAACATCTTTAATTAGCATAGGGCAGTCAAGCAGAGTTGCCTCCTTCAAAAGTTGCCTCATTAATCGCCTTTCATCGACAGTCTGCAGAAGGCTTGGATGAAGGATAAAGGAAAGCAAACCAGGACAGAGCTCGTATTTTGAACTTGTTTGTGGAGCCTGCACAAACACTGCAGTGGAAGAGCGTCGTGGCTGTAATCAAGCCCTTAGATTTGCTGTGTCACCTGTGGATCATGATTACACTGCCAGCTGATCATTATACAGTTGCGGCCTCTTCTGCAGAAGATGAACTGGTGGGGGGGGGAGAGACACTCCCATCAGAAGTCGTAATTTGGAGTTTTGTTACAGAATGGAAATGAAGTAGAACTGCATTGGAGGCCGAAGGACCCAATGCAGACGTGTGGAATCTGATCACGTGGTCCGAGAGCGGGCATAGTACAGCTGCAGTCCAGTCACCCAGAAAAGGGAAATGGACTTATGTATGTATATCTGTATTCAGATTTGGAAGAAGTGAGTCGGCCTTTGAGTGTAACTGGGAAGAAACGAGTAGTCCTTTTTTTGTATAATGTATTGCACTATTGCTTTGATATTGCAGTTGTTTATTGCCAGGACCCCAGAGAAGCTGCTGGGTTTGCCATGAAAACCGTCTTCCCCTGCTGCTGCTTTTCTTTCCCTATATTAAAATAACAACCATGCCAGTGATTCCAGACACCCCTTTCTCTCAAGAAATGTGAGGTTTGACAAATGCCTACTTGGTCCCGTTGGTGCCGAAATCTCCTTTTTCTAGGATTTGAAATTTTTTTATAACAATTTGTAACGTCCACTTTGCTTCTGCTTAAATAGATTGATTTTAAGATGTTACTGTCTTTTTTAAAAAAAAGTACACCGAAACAAAGAATAAAAATTTATCAAGTATGCAATTGTGTGTAGTGCCAGAAGAGAGATTATGTGTTAATGTGCTGCATTCAGTTGGAATAAGCGCATTCGTATAAACGTCTTGACTCAAATAATTCCTCTGATTCCTGCTGCTATTTCATTGTATTGATGGGTAGTGGGCGAAGATGCTGAGCACTATTGGAAAATTAAGATGCAAAAGATTGATAGAGCTGACATATGGTTGCAGTGTTCAAACGCTGGTGCAAAAAAGGACGATGGGCCTTAGACCCACTCCAAATCAGTGGGATATATTAAAACTGTATGTATAACATTCATTTGAAGCGATGTTTCGCTTAAAAAGTCCTTTAAAATAACACTGATGTCCTATATTAACAGAGTTTTGATTTTTTTTTTAAAGGCTTACTTAACATAGATACATCTGTTGGCTTCTTAATTTAAAGTGTCTCCAATATATTTGCAAAACTATAACATTGGAGCCAGTCAGGCTAGAAACTGTGAATTCTAGTGTTGCTTTAGGCACAAAGCCCGCTGGGTGACCGTGGGCCAAGTCACTCCTTCTCAGCTCTAAGAAGGGGTCAGTGGCAAAGCACTTCCGAAATCTTGCCAACAAAACTTGCAAGGACCAGTCTGGGCTGTCACCCCAAGTCAACAATGACTTGAAGATAAATAAACTTAGATAAATTCTACCGGAATTATTATTATTATTATTATTGGCTATTTCCCCCCCCCCCCAAATTCCCTTATGTTTATTTAGATGGGAACAGGTGACCTGGCCATTTGCCAGCCTTTTTCCCTAAAGGCTGCCCGTCTCAGCTGTATCTGCCTTTGTCGGGAAGGGCGCTCAAAACCTCCGCGGAGCCTTTAGCCTTTAGCATGCCTGTTGAAAAAAGCAGTTGTGTGGAAACAGAAGAGTTACGAGGGATGGGGTTGAAAATTAGCCGCGTGAGTTCCTGCCCTGTGGCTCCAGCATCAGGTCGCTTCTATTCCTTTGAGATAAGCAAAGTGAGAACTGAGCTGACGCAACAACGCAAGATCTAATGACCGGGGAGGAGCGGTGCTGCTTACCTGCCAAGGATTGTAATTTCAGATTACGCAGAGGAACAGGAGACGCTTGGCAATCGAATGTTTTTCTAGGCTTTGGATATTATTTGGGAAGCCACCGAGCGATGAAGGGTGGGCGGAAACCCAGCCCTGCACGGTTCCTGATTCTCGCCGGCCTCTTCAGCGCTGTCCAAGCTCACCCCGTCAAAGCCAACGTGAGTTTAGTCTACTTCAACGCTTTCAACCAGAGCTCGACAAACAACAGGTGTGAGTGTGGCATGTTCGGAGTCCATTCTCCCGTGGCGGAGGCCCGAGGGCTGGTTGTGTTTTCCAATTCTTCGAAACTCCAGGCTTGTATGTGGGACACTCATTTCGCCCCTGCTGTGTCGCCCTGGATTGCCCTCATCGCAAGAGGCAACTGCACCTTCACGGAGAAGATACAGCGGGCGGCTAAACTGGGTGCGGTGGCTGTTGTCGTCTATAACTATGCAAAACACGGCAACAATACAGTCCACATGTCACATCCCGGTAAGTGTTACCGTTGGACCTGGGCGCTTTTTAATAGTCCCTAGGTAGGAAAGCGCGTGAGGATTCTTGTCTTTTGCGAATGGATTTTGACCTTTGAATCTTGACTTTAGGCAGAATTTCTGCCAGAAGCTTCTGGATGGAACAGTTGGGGAGGGGGGAGGAGAGAGGCTGTGTAATCTTATTCTTTTCAGCGTTGGGGATAATTTCTAGTATTATCAGACTAGAATAGAATTGCAGGTGTCCTGTGTTTATTCATCATTTGGGTATCGGTTTTATTATGCCATCCTTGAACTCTAGTGCAGGGGTAGACAACCTTGGCTCTTTAGGACTCATGGACTTCAACTCCCAGAATTCCTGAGCCAGCATAGCTGGCTCAGGAATTCTGGGAGTTGAAATCCATGAGCCCTAAAAGAGCCAAGGTTGCCTACCCCTGCTCTAATGCATGTTCATTGGGGAAATTTTTTTACACTTGCTAGGACTTGCATCAAAAAAACAACAGCAGGTAATTAAAAAAAAAACCCACAGAAGATTTATCTGTAAGAGTCACTTAGGTGAGATGGGCCGTTCGAAATTTAATAAAAGATAAAAGGAAGGGCTTGGCCCTGACTTGAAAAATCAGCGTTAAAGCCCTTTGATGGGCTTATTTACTAGCACAAGTTGCAGTATTCTAAAATAATGGGGAACCCCAAGTAAAGGTGCCCATTTTCCCTTGCTACCTTTTCAAAAGTCTGGCTGAAGGTGATGCACAAGGAGGAGCGTGCAAAGATGAGTTAAAAGACCTCAGATACGGCACGTAAGCGTGCACTCGCAGACAGAACTAGCAAGGCCCGAATAAGCAGTTTGCCATCTGGTTTCTCCAGCTTTCCCTGTATTGCAAAAGAAGTAGCGTGCTTGAATTTTCTTTATAAACCCCAACAGTGCAAAGCTATGTGCTTTCTTTCTCCAGTGTGTAGAGCAGTGGTTCTCACCCTGTGGGTCAGGATCCCATTTGGGGTCGAACGACCATTTCACGGGGGTCGCCAAACAAGGCTGTCCGCCATTTTTCCCCCTTTTCTTTAGCCACGCCCCTGGCACCCAGTGATGTATAAGTGGTTGGGGGTCACCACAACATGGGGAACTGTATTATGGGGTCGCGGCATTAGAAAGGTTGAGAACCACTGGTGTAGAGGATTGCATCCAGTGCTGACAACAGCCATCTTTGTTTTCTGGTGACTTGGCTCCCCTAAGTACGTCATAAGTTTCCCCTGCCCTCCCTTCCCCTCTTTATTCTTCATAAGCTAAGCAAAAGGGAAATTGCGCCACTGATGTATCTCTGGCTGATGTGCATTGCGTCGATGGAGGTGTTTGACTTGCGGCTGCTTCACAGAAGCATGAGTTAAAAGTTTCCCCTGCTGAAGCAAAGTCAAAGTTGGAAAGAGGATGGAATGAGGAAGGGGCTTTGAGATGAATAGATGAAGACCCTTGTTCCAGCTGTGAAAAATGCCTGGTCCACAGATCTGCAGTGCAAAGAACTGGCTCAACTAATAGATGTTCTGGAATAGGGTATCTGCCCTGAAAAGTTATCCACAAATTAAAGTCGCCAATTCTCTCCAAGAGAAGCCAGCACCGCTGGAACTTTGGTATTCTGGTGAATTTCCTTCTTTGTCTTTCCGGAGGGGTGTAAAAATAATGCGCTCAAATGCAGTTATTTTGTCCTTGTTTCAGCTCCTGATCTCAAGCCTGTATCCATTGATTGCTCTGCCCACATTAGTTCCATGTAGAATTCAGAGAGCCATTGCTGACCGATTATGATATGAATCTCATTGGAGGATGATGGCAGCAATATAGCCATCGAAAGCTAGGTTATTTATTTATTAAACATTTAATTGTTTTACCTCCTGGTGCTCGTTTTTATCTTTTGAATGTGTGTGTGTGTGTGTGTGTGTGTGTATATATATATATATATATATATATATATATATATATATATATATATATATATATATATATAAACCTCTAGTCTTCTGAGGTCTTGTGATGGCGCTGTCAGTAAATGTGGGGGCTAACTGTGGGGGCTAACTCATCCCCTGGGATGGGTACAAGGCTAGTTCCCACATTATCTTCCTTCATCTGTGGTTACTTGTGAAAATCTATTTCGGGTTAGGATTCTGTATGCAAATACAGCCCTGCTCCCAGGGCCTAAGAAAGTGCAGCATCCGTGTCCAAGCGTGGTTTGCAGCTTATTAATAATGCCTTTTGAGTGGCTTGAGCTGTAAGATGTAGATAACAGCCAACACTGTTCTGTTGTTCTGTTTTTTAATAGGTTCTCCCTAGGAATCAATTTGCTTCTATTGATTTGTCTATTGATCTTGTTGGGTGTGTAGTTCAGTCTCCTGAATGCCTGGATTAATTCCATCAGTTGAGCATCTCTTGTCAAATGGGTCAGAGCAAATGCATAGAGTAAAAACCTATGGAAAATTGATTTGGTGATGTATTCTGGGTAGAATCTGGAAGCATGTGTGTGTCTCCATGGTGATCTGTAGGTTTTCTGTAAAACACGTTGTTTGTGTGTCCATTATAGTTTTCACTCTGACACCAAGGAAGTGGATTTTATCTGTAAATAGGGGGACACATGACTTCACGGCTGACCTAAACAATGGAGACTAAAGAATTCCTCAATTCTTAAATCCTGAAATCCTTCCGTTAATCCAGATTCATTGGTGATACTCTCATCAATGAGATCCATGGGAAAAGAATCATCAAATTCCATCAAGACCTCAATAGCTTCCACCCACCGTCAACCTTAGCCTTCCTATCCATAGCACGAGTCAATTTCCTCAGTGTCATGATAACACTACACAATGGACACATAAACACCACATTATTCAGGAAGCCTACAAAGAATAAACGGGAGTTTAATTTTTAAGCTTGGCATCAGTCTCAAAACAATCAGGACAGAGAAATATCAGAGCACACTAATCTTCCCAAGGTCCTCCCATTACTGATTTTAAAGAAGCTGTTTTGGTAGCGACAAAATAATCTGGTTTATAAATCCCAATTTGAATCCTATATGAATTCAGTCAGGTCAAGCATCTGATGAAGCAAGCTTGAATTCATAAAAGCTGAGTTGGAAAAGGTGCTACTAAACTCCTCTTGATTTTCCTCTGCTAATGTGTCTGGGCTTATGCTGGCCTCTGATGGTAATAAAGATGTGATTTGATATATATCCAGGTTAGCACAGGCAATCATCACATAGCACATTGGTGAATACTGTCTTACTGCTCGTGACCAGAATGCTCTGGAAAATCAGACATTTCAAGCCTAAAGAAAACTAGTTTTTGATCAGGAGGGATTCTGTAACCAATTCATTCTGAGAATCTGTCCCTTGTCATCTGAAATGATAGAGACATGAAAAGGAGAACAGAAGCCTGATAAATTGACTGGGTTTACGGTAGAAACAAACTTAATGGAACTGTAGAAATCCAAGGGAGAGTTGTTTATCTATCCTGGAACAATAGTGCCCCCAGCTGGCCACTTTTGAATTGTGCACACCAAGCCAAATGCCCACATTCTAGAAATCCCCTGCACATAATCACACAAATTAGCTCCCTACAGAAATTGCATTGTTCATTTTCAATCTCATACGTTGTTCAGCAGATGACAGATCGAAACGAGGAAGCCGTCTGCTTCCCCAGTTTTGCTTCCCTTCTTTCCATTTTCAGTTCCCTCAAGTGTTTTCCTGATTCTCTTTTTCATTTCCTAGTCATTCTGTTAAGGCTCTTACCCATCTGCCTACAATCTCTGGCTTGTTATTATACCCGAACAGGAATATTTCTTAGGGGCAAGCCATCGTGAAAGTGTAATGCTCATAGAAATCCCACACCAGAGCAACAACAAAGGCAGACTGTTTATTTTAGCCGATTGGAGGAAGTGGATGTGGGAGTAATAAAATTGCTGAGTGATACCAGACATCACCGACTGGTACGAAAGGACTCATGAACCATCTTTCCATCCCAAGTTGCCAGGTGCAAAAGGCTTGAGTGTCATTGCTGGAATACAAAGAGCAAGTTGTGGGTGCGGTGTTTAGGTTTTTTTTAATGCGCCTGTTAGAGCACATTCGCAACAGAATCGTATGCAGAATGTGGAATGCCCTAGAGCAGGGGTCTTCAAACTTGGCCCTTTTATGATTTGTGGACTTCAACTCCCAGAATTCCTCAGCCAGGCACGCGTGCCTGGCTGAGGAATTCTGGGAGTTGAAGTCCACAAGTCATAAAAGAGCCAAGTTTGAAGACCCCTGGGCTAGGCCTTTGCTAGATCAGAGTCACACAGTCACTTCTGTGTATAAAACACTCCTGGGTCTCTTCTCAGCACAGGCAAAGAACAGTTCTAGGGGCTGACTAGAATCTAGACCTGGAAAATCTGATTACAGATAGTCCTCGATTTAGAACAGTTCCTTTAATGACTGTTCAAAGTTACAACAGCACTGAAAAAGTGACTTATGAAATTTCTCACACTTACGACCATTGCAGCCTCCTCGTGGTCACGTGATCAAAACTCAGACACTTGGCAACTGACTCACATTTATGAGGGTCGCAGCGTCCTGGCGGGGTCACGTGATCCCCTTTTGCGACCTGACAAGCCAAGTTAGTGGGGGAAGCTGGATTCACTTAACAGCATAAATTCTGGGCTCCATTGTGGCTGTAAGCCGAGGATTACCTGCACTTGTTCTGTTAATCATGTCCTAGGTATTCAAATAGAAATTAATGTTTTCTATTTCCTGAATAATCCATTCTGGCCTGGTGCTTCTGGACAATCGTCATGGATCACCTGAGAGTAATGTCCTGGGTTCCAAAGTACATCCCGGTCCCATGCAAACACAAGATTTTCAGCCAAGTCAATCGGAATCACATCAAGTTCCTTTCAGTCATGCAACATCTTTGAATGCATCGGAAAATACACCATAGAAGTAGCTATCTTAAAGCTAATCTTAAATCTTAAAGCAGATTGAGACCTGGTTAGTATTTAGTTGAGAAGCCATCCGAAACTTCTGGAACTGAACACCAAATTGGGAAGTTACAGATACGTATCAGAAGATGGCAATGAAACACCACTTTTGTATTGCCAAGAAAACTTAAGACATGGGTAATCTTCCTGTATGCAGTCACTAGGAGCTCAGCTCTGCTCTTTACCTTCCGGCCTTTGGTATATGTAAAGCCTTAGCTATAAGTAAGTCAACCCATAAGCCCTTGGAGTTAAAGCCATCATGAAGAATTTCATACTATCTAAAGCAGAGATCCCCAACCTTTGGGACACCAGGGACCAGTTCCATGGAAAGAAGTTTTTCTGCGGACCGGAGAGTGCGTGGTTTTGTGTGCTGCCTGCATCCCACGGATGGGGCTTTGTTTGTTTGTGCGGACTGGTTGTTAGTATGCTGCGGCCCAGTACCGGTCCACAGACTGAGGGTTGGGGACCCCTGATCTAATGAACCAACTTGCAATTCGCCCATTTTGGATTGCAACCTCCTCAGAGGCAGTGCTCCAAGGTAAATACTCTTTGAGTATTGCCTCCCTGGCAAATTGTGAGAACTAGGCACTTTTCACCAAATCTACCTTTCTTTCTTTTATAAAATGGAGAGTTTGAAGAAACAGTTGCACGTGGATAAGAGCAGTCCTCTTCTTTGGGTTCCCGTAATCCCTTGCTCATTGCTTTATTTTAATTCCATAGCCTCTATGTTTATTTATTTACCCATCACAGGATTTATATGGCTGCCTTTCTCGTTCAGTGGCTCTAGGTGTCTCGCAACAATGCATAGAAATGTCTTCTCAGACACCAAACCAAGCATTTCTTTCAAACACTTCTCCCATCTATTCTAGTCTTGTAAACTTGTTCTCCATCGTTTGGCCGTTAATGGAATGTTTAAAAACAGGAAGGAAAGGTGGACCTAGATTGCAAGCTCCATGTGAAGTCTTAAAACTTTAGAGATTCTTTTATAACATTTACCCCTGGTTTTCTTTTTACTTTTCAACACGAATTGCCTTTGTGCCATCTATATTCGTTGTTTGCATAGCCCAGCTTTGACCTGTCTAGACAGATTATCAGTAGCTTGATGCTTCTGAGCTGTGTTGTGTGTCACACTCCCTGATCATATGAAAAACCCTAGATCTCCAATCTTGTGTAATCAGCTCCCTTAAAGAAGGAAGGGAAATGCGTTTTTCTGATTCATTCCCAGCAAATAAAAAATCAGTCAAACTCCAGGAAAAACCCCAAATTAATGAGTATAACAGTATTTCTGCCTGGACATGTCTGGGCACTTTCCTTTCCATTGAAATTCATACACGTTTGTTTTCTTTTGGTCTATGAAGAATTCGATGATAATGGTTGCATCTTTGTCTGCAGGGCTACTGCACTTTGACTTGCACCCTGGGTAGAGTTGATTGATTCTTTGTTCCTCCCACAAGGGACTGACAGTGTAAAGTTTGGGAAAGGAACAGAAGAAACAAAAAGACCAGGATAAAACAAAAGTGAGGTGAGGTAAGGAGCAACATTCATCTCACAGGAATAGCTTCCCGTATTACACTAAGCTGTGTGTTGTTTAATCAAGTCTGTGAAGCGTGTAGGAGACCTACAGTTGACATAAGATCAAACCAAGCCAAACAGATCAAATGGGTCCTTTTGACATGATGCTTGAACCCTTAAGTGTGAACTCCCAGGTCCTCAGTTCAAGCCTGGATAGATTGAGGTAGTATGTTTTGAAATTATCCAGTTTGTTTGGGGGTGGGGAGAAAGAGGTTTCAATCTGGGACTTTCGCCATGAAATAATATTTAGTCTATTGCTCCATACCGATTGCTCTCAGTTGACATGAGTGAGTAAATGACAAAGTTATTTTTTGCTTCTGAGGCTGAAATCCAGCTTGGAAACCCCCTCCTCCCCTCGCAAAACCAAAACCCTCGTCTGAAACAGATGAAAGCTTTTGTCATCTTACCCTGTTTCTCCTTAGCTTTCTGTGCAGCTCAAGGAATGCCGTCTTCCACGCAGAGGGAAAAAGACTGGACCCATTAACATTCACCTAATGCTAATTTTTCCTCCAAGCTAATTCAATTTACTTGAAAAGCACCTTTTTATTACCTAGCTAATAGGGTCCGACATTGTTCCTCTCTATCCTGCCTAAGGAAAATTACACAAATCAAAATCTTTATTTAACTTCTTGAAAAGTCAAACAAATCTAGAGCAAACTCTCCCAGGCAACTCTTTTTGAGATGTGAAATCCCAGGGAGTTGTTTTTAGGACACCAAGACCTTCTATTTATTGTGTGTGTGTGTGGGGGGGAACTCTTGCTTCTCATTATGTCTATAATTTATTTGATGTGGTTTTCATTCATTCTTGTGGGGAATTTATGGCATTTTTTTTTTCCAGAGGTGGCATTTTAGTTTTCAGCATTTCGGAACCTGGAAAACTAAGCCTTTGTATTTTTTTTCTTTCTGTCACATTATTGCTAGTACATTTTTATGGTATTTGGGATTGTTACCAAATTTACAGATTACTAACTTGCGTTGTAGAAGGCAAAGCCTCTGCTGTGTGATGCAGAATTTCTTGTATCACATAATTTAATGAATGGAAACTAGCAATAAAGGGCTTCTTTGTTACCATTTCCTAGAAAAGGAACGAATTTGTTAAAAGAATAAATCAATGCTTCTGAGAAAGGTAACCTCAACACATCTGGGGCAGCCCAGCTTGAGAGATGCTGCTCTCAACCAGTGTTTCTCAACCTTGGTAACTTTTAAGATGTGTAAACTTCAACTCCCAGAATCCATACCGGCCTAGTCACCTATAGCTATGTACAAATAGCACAAAGTGTGAGAAAGGTAGCAATGCAGTGTATTTCATTGAACGAGGCAATTGTTTTAGCAGATGCCTTGCAGCAAGTTGTCTTCCACCTGGTTGTTGTCTCATTTCAGCAAGGTGGGGATTGTTTTCTTAAGTTCTTATCTTCTTCAGCCATAATTGGGAACATTTGGTGACAGAATGTCGACATCCTGGCCCAATTATTCATAATTTGGAGGGCAGAACAAAGCCCCAATCTGCTCGCTTAACCAAACAGCGCCATCTCTATGACCTATTTAATGACCCTCCTGTTTTCTTTGAAAGCTTGAAGCACAAGCCATGCCTCCAGGACACAGGCCAACATAGCCCATGTCCTTACCAGCAAGCTTTCCCAGGGGGAGGAGGAGGAGGATGGTTTCTGTGAATTATTCTTTATTGGGGAGCTTTAATGGCCCGTAATGTCAAATACTTTGGCCACCTAATGAGAAGGAAGGACTCACTGGAAAAGGGCCTAATGCTGGGAAAGATTGAGGGCAATAGAAGAAAGGGACGACAGAGAATGAGATGGCTGGATGGAGTCACTGAAGCAGTAGGTGTGAACTTAAATGGACTCCAGAAGATGGTAGAGGACAGGAAGACCTGGAGGAACGTTGTCCATGGGGTCGCGATGGGTCGGACACGACTTCGCAATTAACAACAACAACGTTAAGGAGGAAAGCCCATTCCAGATTGCAGGCCGGGGTCACTGCTAAATTAGGTCAGAGCTTATAATGGCCTAGATTAGTTCTCCGCAAATATAATTCAAAGCTGAATTGAATGTTATCAGATGGAATTTCCCTGCCCCATTTTTCCAACAACCTGAATGAAGCCCCTCTTTGCCTTCTTTCCAAATAGAGTGAAGGTTCCACCCTTGTCCTCTTACCTCTTTTGGAGAGAGTTAAACTCTCTTCCAGATGTGTTAAGAATGGCATTGCATGACTCACAATTCCCAGTTTCTGCGTCTTGGGACATGTTATTTTTTTTAGTCATTTTCCAGAATCCCGAGGTTTTGTACTCCGATAAAAGCCCTGTGCAGGTAATCCTTGACTTAGAGCATTTGTTCACAAACATTTGAAGTTATGACCACGTTGGGGAAAAAGTGATTTATGACTGGTTCTCACGCTTATATCTATCCCGGCATCTCCATGGTCACATGATCAGAATTCGGGAGCTTGGCAACCTGCACACATTTATGATGCTTGTAGCATCCTGGGGTCAGGTGATTCATAACCAAAAAAGATCATACAATAACTGCATCACTTAGTGACTGAAGTTTCAATCCCCATTGCAGCTGTAAATTGAGGACGACTGTCATTTTGGGATTGATAAGGTTGATTTTATTTTATTTTTTTAAGTATGCATTTTAATGGTTTCTTGCTCCTCCCACAATTCCCAGCATGAGAGCCTTTTCCAGAGAGATTGGTCTTGGCCATTATGTGTCCAAATCTTACAGAAATGCATTTCAGTAGAGAGTATCTATAGCTCAGGTTTGGACTGTAGAGTCCTTGGCACTTTCTAAACTTGGTTGTTTGCTGGCAGACTTTTCATCATCATCAATGCAAGTGAGTGGTTTGCTCCGTTTATATACAGTAGATGGCCATGCTAGAGTTGGTGTGGTTTTCTCCTTGGAACTGTAGTTCCTTAATTAGGGCATGGTTTTCTGCTTTATTTGTCTGGTGTCAAACCCTGCTTATCTGGCTGTTGGTTGCCGGAGATTATGTGTTACCAATAAAGGAGAATATTTGTAGCTGAGGGTTGAAATAAGGGGTCCTTGGTTCTCTCTATGCTGGGTTGTTTTCTTGCAGATGTTTCATGACCTAACTGGGTATCATCATCAATTATAGAAGAAAATGAGGTGTGTGGAGAGGAGGAGGACTATGGAGTCCTTGGTGCTCTCTAAACTGGGTGGTTTTCTTGCAGACATTTCATGACCCAACTAGGTAACATCTTCAGTGATAGAAGAAAGTGGGGTGTGGGGGGGGGAGGAGGTGGTAGAGGATGTGGACGAGGAGGAAGACAACAACTGTGGGGTCCTTGGTGCTCTCTGAGCTGGGTGGTTTTCTTGCAGACCTTTCACGACCCAAACTAGGCAACGTCATCAGTGATAGAAGAAAGTGGGGGGACGAGAGAAGAAGAGGACGAGGACGACTGTGGGGTCCTTGATCCTCTCTGAGCTGGGTGGTTTTCTTGCAGATGTTTCATGACCCAAACTAGGCAACGTCATCCGTGATAGAAGAAAGTGGTGGGGGGAGAAGAGGAGGAAGACAACGACTGTGGGGTCCTTGGTGCTCTCTGAGCCGGGTGATTTTCTTGCAGACCTTTCACGACCCAAACTAGGCAACGTCATCCGTGAGATGTCCACGCCGCCGTCTCCAACAAGGAGCCAAGCCCGCCCTCCCCAGCCCTGACGAGGTTACCGGGGCAAGTAATGAACCCTCAGCGAGCAAACGCAGAAGGGAAGAGCGCGCGCTCTTCCCCGCCGCCGCAGGAACTACGACTCCCAGAATGCCTAGCGCAGGCCAGGCGGCCAGGTGAGGCGCACCTCTGCGGCCGGCCGGCGGGCGGCCGAGGGGCGGGCGGGGGCGTGTCCTGTGGCGCCGCCCCCTCCTGCTGCCCGCGCGCGGCGGCGGCGGCGGCAGAGGCTGCCTGAGGCGACGGGCGCCGGTCTCGCTCGGTGGGGCGATGCGGCGTTCGCGGGGGGCGTTGGCGGCGGCGGCGGCGGCGTTGCTGGCCCCGCTGCTGGCGCTGGGCCCCGGGCTGGGCGCGGGCGCGGCGTCGGCTCAGTCGGTGTGGACGGCGTGGCTGAACGTGTCGTGGCGGCTGCCCGGCAGCAACCAGTCGGCGTGGAGCGCGGGCGAGAGCGGCCTCTTCGGGCAGGACTCGCCGGTGCGGCCGGCCGCCGGGCTGGTGGTGCGGCCGGACGAGCGCGAGGGGCTGAACGCCTGCAGCCCGCGGAGCAACTTCTCGGGCGCGCCCCCGCACGCGCCCTGGGTGGCCCTGGTGCAGCGCGGCGGCGGCTGCATGTTCAGCGTGAAGATCAACGCCGCCGCCCGGCTGCGCGCCCAGGCCGTGGCCGTCTTCAACTACGAGGGCGCCGCCGGGCCGGAGGTGCAGACCATGACCCACCCCGGTGAGTACGGGTGGCGCTGGGGAGGGTGGAGCGGTGGGGTGTCTCTGGGGGGGAGGGGGCTTCCTTCTCCCCGAAGCCCCTCGTCGCTCCCGCCTTGGCCCCGCTGGGGAGGATGGGGCTTGGGGTGGTAGGGTGTCTCCCGGCCGTGAGGGTCCCTCATCCGGCCCACCTTTGCCCTGCTCGTCCTTATCTGTCCTTTCCCGCTGGGGAGGATGGGGCTTGGGGATGCGGGGTGTCTCCCCTCCCTCCCTCCCGGCCCTGAGGGGGCTTTCCTCTCCCCGAAGCCCCTCAGTCCCACCTTGGCCCTGCTGGGGATGATGGGGCTTTGGGGAACAGCCGGCGGGCGTGCCTTTCCTCTCCTCGAAGCTCCTCAGTTCCCACCTTGGCTCCGCTGGGGATGATGGGGCTTTGGGACACAGCTGGCGGGGGTGCCTTTCCTCTCCCCGAAGCCCCTCAGTCCCACCTTGGCCCCGCTGGGGATGATGGGGCTTCGGGGCACAGCCGGCGGGGGTGCCTTTCCTCTCCCCGAAGCCCCTCAGTCCCACCTTGGCCCCGCTGGGGGGATGATGGGGCTTCGGGGCACAGCCGGTGGGGGTGCCTTTCCTCTCCCCGAAGCTCCTCAGTTCCACCTTGACCCCGCTGGGGATGATGGGGATTAGAGGATAGGGTCTCCCTCCCTCCCAGCCCTGAGGGGACTTTCCCCGAAGCCCCTCAGCTTCACCCTTGCCTTGCTTGTCCTTGCCTGTGGGGCTTTCCTGCTGGGGATGATGGGACTTTGGGGGTGGGATATCTCTCTCCCCGAATCCCTTCAGTCCCATCTTCCTCCTGCTCATCCCTGCCTGTGGGCCCTTTCGGCTGGGGAGGATGGGGCGTGGGGCTCCAGGGCCAACGAGGGAGCCGGTGGGGTGCCTTCCTCTCACTGAAGGCCCTCAGCTACACTTTTGTCCTCTAGTCCCTGACTGCGACTCTTTCTTGCTGGGGATGATGGGGTTTGGGACTCCAGGGAGAGCAAAGGCTCTAGAAAGGATCCAGGAGGAGCCGGTGGGGTTTTTAGAGCAAGGTGGACCCCCCTCCCCTCCAGCCCTTCGGATGGTTTCCCTCTTCCCAAAGACTCTCAGCTCATCTTTGCTTGTGACTCTTTCTTGCTGGGGATGATGGGGTTTGGGACTCGAGGACCACCATGGGGCTTTTGGGGCATGGGGGGGGGCTTTAGAGGGTCAGGGCAGAAGCCTTGGATACATCAGGCAGGCAGGCATAGTGTGATTTTTGAGTTTTTTCTCTTCTTTTTTAAAATGTACATTAAGGGGTCATTTTTATTTCATGATAAAAGACCAAAGGGGGGGGGGGATGGCAAGAAATGAAGAAGAAACTGAAAGACTGTTTAAATGACATCCGACTTTCTTCCCAGCAGACAATCTTATTTTCCTTCCTTCCTTCTTAGATTTTATACAAGTAATACAGTCTACCTCTCATCCGTTTCTATCTTAATCTTCAGATCTATAAATCATCATATTCTTTCTTTCCTCAAAAAGTCCACAATGTTTCCAATTTTTCAACAACAACAACAAAAGGTTTTTGTTTTTGATCTCTGACCAAACAGATCAGTTTTGCCATTTCTGCAAATTCTTTCATTTTCACTATCCATTCCCCCCACTATGAGGATTTCTCCTTCCCTTTCCTGCCCTCTCCTTCACCTTCCTTAACGTCTTTCTTCTTCCTTTCTTCCCTAACTTCTTCCTACATCTTCCCTTTCTCCAACATCTTTATTTTTTCTTCTAACGAAATGACCTTTCCTCTTAAACAGAAGGGAAACTTTAAAAAGGTGCTATAAACCCAGACGGAAAAGAATCCATGGTCCTGATTTATCTGAGAATTTATTACTGTCATCAGCAAGATAGGATTATAAAATATCCCAGAATCTCTGCTATTGTGGCTTTGTATTTCCACCCAAGTTCTTAGGATTGGCTCCTGTACCCCTTCACCTTCCCCCCCCCCCAGATTTTCAAGGCTTGCAAAAAAGGAGGAAATAATAGCTGGGAGAGGAAAGAGTGGGGCTTGAAGCCTTTCTGTTCTGGATCTCCCCATTTGATGACATCATAGTTCACATTCCAGGTGTTCTCTTCTAGAGCAGGGATGGGGCAAGATATGGATGGAGAGGCATTGGGACTGAGAGGAATCCAGCATATCTAGAAAATACCAGGTCCTGCCAAAGCAGAAGCTACTATAGACAGCTCCGAGGCCTGCCTGATGCTTGATCCTAGCTTTTGATCTTGATTATAAGCTTTCAAAATATCACCTCCTCTCTTCAAAATACCAACATTACACATTCTGAGCAATAATACAGTGTCCTCTAAACTCTCTTGTTTATCCCCGTGACTCTGTCCTGGCCATTTAGACAAATGGCCCTACCATAATATTTAGACGGAAAAGTCCCAGGTCATTAACAGGAAGACTGTAAAGAACCTTCAACCTGGGGTTACTAAAATGTCCTTTCAGGCAGCTTATGAAAGAGGCTAGTATGGGTTGTAAGAACGGGATTGCTTTCCCTAACCCCTCTGAACATTTGATTAATTAACTTGACAGATAGTCTAGTTTAAAAAAAAAAAGTTGCCGCTTTATGTTCTGAGCAGATTAATGACCTTGGAAGCCAGCGCAGTAACTACCTGGCTGTACAGAAAGTTTATTTTTCTGATTTCCTGAATCTTTGAAACTTAGACTGTTAAGACTTGAGAATCTGGAGAATTTTAAAAGCCTACTTGAATTGAAATAATAATACAAAAGGCTGTTGTGCTGTTGAAATTAGGGCAGGCCTAGCCTTAACTAGATTGGGGAATAGCCAAAAATCTGCAGGACCCTTACTGTAGATAATTTTCTAGAATGCACTTTATTACTAAACGGGAGGGGCTTTTTATGATGCTGATGGCATAACCAAGAATTTTCTGGCCACATAGTTTGTGGGTCTCTTTTTTAAGGACAGGATCAAAAAGCTCACTCCGATGTTGTCTCAGATTTTTTAAATCGCTGTTTTAACTGCTGCAATTTGCTTCGATATTGTGGGTCTGAATAAAAGCAGTGCACGAATCATTTCCAAGCTGAGAATTCTTAAGAACATTAGGAGTAATTAAGTAATGCTTGTCCTTGTGTGATACGTCTTTCCCATTGGGAGAAAGAATGCTTTTCCTCTGTGCTGGTCTCTGATGGCTCTGAGTAAAACCACTCTCATTGCGTAGATGCTTTCATCCTTTGGGAATTTGCAAAAGCACAACATTTTGTTTGTTTTGCAAGTTAATGCCATAGTTTGAGGATCTGTTAAGGTGAAGGTTAAATGCACAGGACTCATATAAGTTGATGGATGTGGCATGTGTCATATAAAACATGATACAGCTTGCAATAAAATACTTTAAATAATACATTATTGCATATACAGTAATATAATATGTGATTAAAATATTTTATACTGCTCTTCTGCACAAAGAGTGCAGGAACATTTTTTGTAGCAAGGACAACCCATTAGAAATGCATGTTACGAGAGGCTAATAATTAACATTTTCCTCCATTGGAGCGCAGTGAATTCTTCAATAACAAAGAAGTTGCTGGTGAGGAAATCAGGTTGCTTTTGGCAATGCAGAAAGCACACCCGAAAGTACAAGGAAAGTTAATGTTATGCTTTAGAAACCCTTGACAGTTCAGGGAAATGTAACTGACAGGAAGTAAATTATGTCTGAAAGTCACCTTAACCCTGCACAGGTGTGTGCAGGTCTGAAGGACTGAATGCAGTTGGGGATATATTTGTGGGAAACATGTACAGAATTGATCAATAATTGTTTAAGTAACTTTTAGACCAGTGGTTCTCAACCTGTGGGTCGGGACCCCATTTGGGGTCGAACAACCATTTCACGGGGGTCGCCAAACAACGCAGTCTGCCATTTTTTCCCCCTTTTCCTTAGCTGTGCTACTCCCTTTTATTCTATTGGCTTTTGAAAGCCAATAGAATAGACTCTCTTGAATAGAGTCTAATTCTATTGGCTTTCAAAAGCCAATAGGAATTGTCCAGGCTGTCTCTGCCCTGCTGAGCCCGCCAAAAGTCCCATTCTGCAAACGGTGCTGCACCAGTTGAGTAGTCCTCGACTTACGACCGGTTGAGTAGTCCTCGACTTATGACCGGTTGGGGGTCGCGGCATTAAAAAGGTTGAGAACCACTGTTTTAGACTTTAATTGGAAGCACAGCCAATAATGACAGGGAAGTTGGAGGGGCCCTTGGCGCTCTCTGAAATTGTTTTTCTCTAGCAGATTTTTCATTATGGGGCCCTTGGCATTCTCTGAAAGTGGTTGTTTTCTTGCAGACATTTCATTACCCAAACTAGCTAACATCATCAGTGCTAGTAATGAGTGGGATTTGACAGGGCAAGCCACTAGAATATAAACTCAGAGTAAATCCAGCTCCTTAATAGCCCTGATGATGATACCTAGTTTGGGTAATGAAATGTCTGCAAACTCGGGACCCCTCATTTCAACCTTGAGCTATAAATATTCTCCTTTATGGGCTGGGAAGCTTCTTCACACAGACCGACTTGCCAGCTGCAGTGTGTTGGGCGTACCCTGTGTGCATCCCCGATTAATGCAGGGCAACGATGAGAGCAAACAGGCCTAGTTAGTCTAGCCTTGTGGGAGTCAGTGATGTAACCTTGCATTTCTACTTTGTTCCCGGCCTGCTAAATACCCTGGGATCCAGTCAAAAGTTGGGTGACTTGAAATGATAGAAAAAAAAAAATGCCGGTGTGTGAGCAGAGAGGACTTGACTGATTACATGCTTAGTCAATCCCTGATGCTGACTAGTTTGCTCTTGTTTCCAAGAGTGTATAGTTCTAACAACTTTGCTTAGTTTCTTGCACTTCTTGCTCTTTGTCCTGAGATCTGTGGCAGGCACACCCTAGATTTCTTTTGTCGGCGTCTATGCTGTGTGTTGTCATTTTTTTATGGTGCTTACATAGAATTTTTAG